TCCTGATGTTCTAAGGACCTGTTTCTGATTGTTTCAAGCGCCTTTTGGGTTTGTCTAAAAATCCGGTGGGGGGGGGGAGTGGGGGACTGCTCGAAATGGTATTTAAATGTCCATTCGGCTTCCGTCCAAAAAGCAACCAGTCAAGGGAGTTTTCATCAAGGCGGGACGTTGGTCATAGGGCCTGTGACCGAGCCAAGAACCGATGACCAAGACAACCCTAAAACCTTGGAAAACCGAAATCCATTTTGGCCGGTCCTTCTCTTTTCCACATGGGTGTTTTTTTTTGAGGGACTGCTTCTTTGGGGTGTTTGGTTTCAGGGGGGACCAAAAAAAAGGCCGAAGCCAGTTTCGAGGGTCCAATTCCCATTTTTTGGAGGGGCTCCTTGCTGGGGTGGGGTGTTTCCAGGGTCCAATTCCCCTTTTTTTGGAGGGTCCAACTCCTTTTTGGGGTGGGTGTTTTACAGCAACGAAAGGAAACGCCGCCCGTTTTCCCTTTCGACACCTTTCTGAGGACTCCTTGCCCTCCCTGGAGCTCGAGCTGGGCGGGCAGCTCTTGTCGCTCCCCAGCCAGGCGCGGCCGGGGGGGAGTCGGGGATGTCCAAGCCGAGAGGGGGAAATTCAATCAAAGTCCGTAGCGCCTGACTTTTGTTTCTCGCTTTTTTGTCTTCTTCTTTTTTTGCCAGTACTCGGAGTTTTGGATAGTTATTTGAGTTTGAGTTTTTGCCCAGATTGGCGCACTTTTCCTTGAGTCAATGGGTGTTTCTCAAAATAGGGTTCCCACTTAAGCAGCTGATTTTCATTGAAACTCAAATGGGTGTTTCTTTTTTCAGGGGGTCCTCACCAACAAGGGGTACCCTCAACTGTTCAAACAATGGGGGCGCTCTTGAACCACCATTGTTTATCCGAGACCATCATTTCGTAAATGGTCAATAGTTAGTTTGATGTTTGACCTTTTGGGTGTTTTTTGAGGGTACCCCCGATTTGTGGCTCAAACGGGAACCAAAAGGAAACTAGCCTTTTGGGTCCCCTAAAAAAGACACTCATGTGGACCATTTGTCAAGGTTTCAAAAGGTGATCGGCTTTATTTCCAGGTCCTTTCACTTGCCCCAACCTACAGGATTTCGAGTTGGGCCCTTCGATCTGATTTTTGGCACATCCGACCATGTTTGGTGACCGACCTAGGTGGACCCAACAAAGCCCGCTGAAATGAGTTTCCTTTTGGGGAATTTATCTGGTATTGGACACCTTGGGGTCTCAAAATGGATCTTCGTTCCTTTTTGGTTGGCAGCTCAAAGGAAACCTGGGCTTTTGTGATGTTTTATCTCTGTTTGTCCACATTGCATGATCTTAGGGGAATATATCACTTGGCTCCCTTGGTTGTGTTGACCCTGGGACAATCAAGATATTGGAGCCCCCCAAAACCGCCTCGTCTCCTGTCCACGTCCAAAAGGCACCCACTTAAGTGGGACCGAAGGGAGTTTGAACATTATGCGCTTCATGTGGGCGTCTCCCCCAAGCTTGTATGGCTAGCTCAAAAGGCAACATGTTTAACCCACTGGAGAGCGTAGCCTGAGGGCTCCAAACTAACAAACACACATACATATGTAAATATACATATACATACATATATATATATATATGTATATATATATATATACACATTTATATAATATGAATATATATATATATATATATATACATATATATACATATATATATACATACACACATTTGTATGTATGTATTTGGTATGGTTCAGCCGGGGTTTGCTCATTGCCCAGAATTCGTTCCTTTCAAGATTCGCGGTTCGCGAGAGGCCTTCATGGGTTTCGTGGTGGGCGCCATGCCGGTGCCCTGGAAGCGGACCTTCGGCCAGAAGACCTTCATCCAGGTGGAGGACGGACCGACGTTTCCGCCGTTTCCGCCGACAGGATGGACGGTCGGCGTGAAAATCTCGGTGCCGAAACGTCGTCCTTTTTTTTAAAGAGACCGTTTCGAGCGAAATTGACACCCGCAGGCAAAACGGCATTGGACATACCTCTAAGAAGAAGATTCCTGTGCTTTGGGGTTCCTTGAGCAATGAGATTGCAACCCCTTCGTCGGGCCGCATTTCCGCATTTCCGGCCGGTTTTCTGAATCTCACCACTACAAGAACGGCGGACTTGGAACTTTTTGTTGTTGCGTTGGAGGTGACATTCCTATGAGCTCTCGGGAAAATACAGTTGGAAACCCGCCCCCCTTTGGGCCCCTTCCCGTTTCCTGGGTTTGGTCCTGTTGAGAAGTAGCTTGCATTTGGAAGTGCCAGCGGAAGCAGTGTTCGCCGTAAGCTTTATTGGGGGAGACAACCCTTCACCAAGTTTTTTTTGCAGGGGGGGGGGGGGAAAAGGGGGTTGGACTGCCAAACCTGAGGCCTGCGAGCTGCTGATGATGGACACAGGTGCGGCCCTTGCGGAGCACGGGGCCTTGTGGATTATTGGCATGCCCTTCTTCCGGACGCCTGGCGGAAACGGTTTCCTGGATGCGTGACAACTCGGATGAATAAACCCCCCTATGAATAGGGTGCCCGTTCCCTTTTCGTGGGAATCCGGATTCAGCCATTTTGTTGGTAACACCCTGACGGGTTCGTTAGTACGCGAATATTAGCAAACACAGCAGTGCCAGTTAAGGAGGCGTACCTTTCCTCCCATTAACATGGCATCCTGAAAGGGGGGCTCACGAGGAAGTTGCTCGAGGTAGCCTCTCAAGTTGGTGGGAGGGGAAGATGTTGGAAGATGGAATCCAACTGGTTTCAGTTGTTTTTCATTGCGGTTCATACCATCGGATTTTATAGAGGGACACTTTGGGAGAGGGTTCAGCACACGAGAAGTACCTCAAGAGTCGGAGGTTCTTGGATCAAAAGCCGCTCGGTTAGACTCATTGTCCGGCGAGCATCCTGGACCGAAATGGGTGTGAATTGTCATGGGTCCCGGACTCTGTGGTGGGCATCATTTTGGTGGAGATTCACTTTTGGGGTGGTTCCCTGTTTAAATTCATGGCCAAATATTCCCCAGCAACCTGCCTACATTGACAACTCATCGAGTCCCGGGTTTAATATACAGGCGATGTCTCACGAAGCCCAAACATGCCGACGCCGGCTTCTTTTTTTCCCGCATTGCCAGACTTCCCAAGAGTTTCCATTTGGAAGTTTCAGTCTCTTCCAGAGTCGCGCTGAACCCAAAGACAAGAATCAAACCAAAAGGCTGGGGATCGGATCTGCAATTTTCTAGGAAGTACTACACGACCTTTGACTACGGAAGCTCTGACGACCAAAGCACCGCCAGCGTTTGGGTCGCAGAGGCCGACGCGGCGTGCGAGCCAAGGGCTCTGATGCTTGGTCAAGCCTCCGCGGATGGGAGTTCCGAGGTGGAGATGGGGGGAAATCGGCCAAATTCGGCCGTTTCTTTGGGAGTTTCCCTTCAAAACCACCAACAAGAAGGGTGTTTTCTGCAAAATCGACGAGCCCAAATAGGTTTTGAACCCTGCCAGGAACGTGCACAATCGTGGCTTTCGGTGGACCAGGGCCGGCTGCGGCTGCCCGCGTGGATGGCGAACCGCACGAACCGCTCAGATTCCTTGGTTCGCCTGTGACGGGTCCAGAAAAAACCGAGCAAGAACTCATTACCCTCGTTGCCATGTGCCGTGAAAAGGGTGGAAGACAGTTTCCCTTTAAAAGGGACTTGGTGGGTTCCATGTTGGAGAGGAGGGTAGTTTGACTGTGGGTCAAAGTCATACACAGGGGCTGTTTCCCTTTCACCTGGATGACCTTGACAATGGGCCCAGAACAAGCAAACCAACCAAAACAAGCAAACAAGCATGCCAGCAAACAAAAGGAACCAACCAACAAAACCCTCAAATAAGCAAACAGGCAAAAGCAAGCACGCAGGCAAAGAAGCAATCACACATGTCTCCGCAGTCTCATCTCTACCTTAGAGTGAGCGTCATTGTCCTTTGTAGGTGAATTTGGAATATGGATACCCCTTTCAGTTTTTTTGATCATTCACTGTTGGCAAGAAGAAGAGCAGGCCATGATGTCAGTGGCAGCAGCGGAAAAAAGGTGCAAAAGGAGCGCCTCTTCTCTGGAATCCCCAAAATGACTGGGTAGCCTGCCCTACAAAAGGTACAACAGTAATTTAAACTCAGGAGCAACACTGTACCGGGTTCCGATTTCCGCCAAGCATTCCCTGCAAGGATTTGGTTTTGGGAATTCTTCGACTGTTTGACCCGCTTTCCGTGTTTGAACTACTTCCAATCTCAAATGTTCGGCTTGTGGTTTGGTATAGCTATACTTGAGCCACTTTTCAGGCCAATGAATCTTTGTTTCGAAAGATTTTGTGGTTGGTGGTTGGATATCTGTCGCGTAAGCACAATCTCCCCATATTGGCTCGGTCATCCTTGGCTTATCACAGGGGCTGTAGGAATGAGGGCGGGAAGGTTCGCACTTCGGTGATACCAGAGAACCTTGCCTTTCGGAGAAGTACCAATTTGGAAGGTCTTCCATTGGTATCACAGTGGGCACTTCCCACGACCCTGATATGGCTATGAATTCTCATTCGACCTGGTTGTACCCCCCCCCCCCCGATCCTCAGTCCCAGTGCCTAAGGTCTATTGGAGTCCAATATGGCCCCCGAGATTCAGTTGGGAGGCCCACACAACCATGGGATGGCCCTTTGGTGCAACATTCGGCAGAGATTCATGCGAGACGAGCAAACTTTACGTGGGATGACCATTTACCCACTTACCGACGAGCAAATCAGCAACATGGTGCCAGATCGAAAGTGAGTCCCGAAGTTGGATTTACCACTCACGGAGCTTTTTGACTGGGGCTTTCTAGCTGGTGGTTGGAAGGGAGGAGCTGGGGGTGTCCAAATGTGCCCTTAAAGAGAGGGAGCCAAGGAGCTACCAGGACATGGTCGCTTTGACAAACCATAGAACCCCACCAAACAAATACGATTTTGCCGCAGGCGTGGAAGAGCAGACCGAGCGACGCGTCCAGCGCCTGCCGCAAACCCAGCGGTTCAAACAACGCGAAAGGGAGAAAATCATCCGACCCTGTGGTGGTTCTTCGACCCTTAAACAACTGGTGGAACAGGACTGGTTTTCTTGAACAAGTCTTGGGCAAGAGGCTACCGTTCCTGGTTAACTTGTGTGAACGAGCTGTGCTTCCCTCTTGGAAATGGACTGTAGCCCTTAAAAATATTGGAAAATAACTGAGTCCCACGAGCTTTTTAAGATTCATTCACTAGATATTTTTCAGATTCTTGGTTTCAATAAGCGTGCTACCCCTATTCTGAGACAGACCGATCCGCCTTCTCTCTTGGTTGAGCAAAAACAGCACCGAAGGTCCTGAGGTTTTGTTACGATGTGATGGTTACCCTGCAAGAACGAATTGTCATGGCGGCGGATCTTCTTGAAAGATGCAAATGGGTTGCAAGAGTTTAGAGGTAGCACACTGGCTCCGATTACAATAAACCGCTGGACTTCACTCATGTTGATCGAGACGCTCAGTGACTAGTCGATGTGCTAGGGATATACATACTATACAGCTACATGCACAACGCCAGGGGCTTTCCCCGGAGCTGACGTGTATTGTCGTGTATCTGCTTATTTATGGTTTTAGGGTCCCGGTTTAGGGTTTTAGGGTCAAGGTTCAGGGTTTATGCCTTAGGTTTGGTTTTAGGGTTCAGGTTTAGGGTGAAGGTTGTAGGGTTGTCTTTATGGTTTCTATTCCCCTCCCTCCCACTATGGCAACTGAGACAGGGTACCCCCAAGAGGAAAGTCATCCGGGCACTCTCCCACAGCTGCTACTGTCGGTGGACGAAATCCTGCACCACTTTGAAACCATAGCAAACTTTTTGTTGGTATTTACAGTGAAAGCATCACCCCAGGGTTTTTCAGGTGGTGCGAAATGGATTTCGTCCATCGACAGTATGTTTGTTGGAGGGCGGGTACTTTGGATCGCACCCATTAGGATCGAGTCCATCCTCAGCGACGTGGAGCCGTGGGCTGAGAGCCTTGCGGGTCGTGGGAACCGCTGCAAGGGTTGGGAATGAACCTAGGCTGTCCCTGAAAGGAAAGAATCTTTTCTTCCTTTTTTTTTTGGGGGGGGGTCATTCCAATTCTCGTTCCCTGCAAAAAAAGCAGCAAGTTGCCCTCTTTCAGGGTTTCCGAGGCATTTCCCTTTAAAGGAACCCTCAAGTGGTGATCGTTTCAATGGAAGCCACCAGTAAATTGATCAACTGTTGATTCGGGGAAATCCAGTGCCCTCTGTCTTTCCAACAATGGAAGTGGAGGGGTTCTTTAAACCGAAAAGAGTCTTGCTGCCCTCTGACCGTCAGCTTCCATGACCAGAGGGAGGGAAGGTAAAGTCGAATGGCTTTCCTGAGTGATGTCCCTGCATGTCCTTAAATAGTATTTGTTGCGGCTAAACATCCACCAACAGTTACCCTTTGGTGTTTTCTTAAAGAAGAGGTTCCACAGCCCTTTGGTTCGCTGTTTCAAGGGGAAACCAAAAGGGCTCAGCCAGTTTCGACCAGTCCATTTTGTTTTCTGGGTCTGTGATAAAGCAACGTGAGACAAGGGGCAAAAGTTTGCACCGTTTCACTTTGGGAGCTACACACCATATCCCATTTTGAGCTCGAGTTCCGAGCCGTTCCTGAAAAATGGCCAATGTTACGTCTAAAGGGTCGGTCGGTGGACATGAATCACCTAAGGGATGTCCAAAGACCAAGCCCGCTTTATTTTCTATTTGCCTCATTTCCTGTTTTGTTTCGAGCCTCTAGCAGATTATGCCGAAAGGTGTGAACATTCGTATGATTTCCTTTCGTACCCTCTTGTCTAGTTTTGTTCTACAGTCTTTGAGCCACCCAAGAGGGAACAAGAGGATTCAGAATACCATGGATTGTGCTCGGTTTACTTGGTTTCTGTTGGGAAACCGGCGGCAGCTCTGATTTGGGTACCTTGGATTTGCAGACTCGGGTCAACCGAGCGCCCGGAAGAATCCTGGGGTAAGCCTTTGGGCAAACAATTCAAGCACCGTGTTTGGGTTCGTATTTGGAGACAAAGCCAGATGAGAAGGGACAACATTTGTGTGCTGTCGGTTGTGATAGTCCACAATCGTTATTTTGTTTCTTGTGGGCGTGCGTACGAGAAACAATCAATATTCACCACCAGTTGCAAGAAGAGGGTGCCAAAGTAAAGCGCACATGGACCCCCCAAATTGCACTCACCAAGTGCCAGTTGGAGACACTTAGCGTTGACCATGCCTCATCAATTTGTACGCCTCTGCGCCCGACAGACACGACACACAGACATACACACACACAGAGTCACACACACACACATATACACATGCCACGCCATGAGATGCCATGCCATGCCATGCCATACCATGTCAGAACACGGCATGACAGAACATATCATAACACAGCACAACATAATGCAATGCAATACAATGCAATGCAATGCAATGCCATGCAAAGCAACGCAGCGCAATCCAATCCACTCCACTCCACTCCACTCCAATCCCATCCCATCCCATCCCATCCCATCCAATCCCATCCAATCCATTCCAATCCAATCCAATCCAATCCAATCCAATCCGATCCATCCATCCATCCATCCATCCGTCCCTGCCTATGTACCTACGTACATGCATGCATGCATACATCCATCCATACAGGCAGACAGACAGACAGACAGACAGACAGACAGACAGACAGACAGACAGACAGACAGACAGACATACACTGATACATACGTACGTACGTACATAGATACAAAGATACATAGACGTCTACATTCATGCAAAGGGACGGACACAGACAGACAGAGACAGACAGAGACAGACAGAGAGACAGACAGACAGAGACAGACAGAGACAGACAGAGACAGACAGAGACAGACAGAGACAGACAGGGACAGACAGAGACAGACAGAGACAGACAGGGACAGACAGAGACAGACAGACAGAGACAGACAGAGACAGACAGAGACACACAGAGACAGAGACGGACAGAGACAGACAGAGACAGACAGAGACAGACAGAGACAGACAGAGACAGACAGAGACAGACAGAGACAGACAGACAGACAGACAGAGACAGACAGAGACAGACAGAGACAGACAGACAGATTGACAGATTGACAGATTGACAGATGGAACAGATAATATGTGCGCGTGTTGGTACCCATCCAACAGGTACTCCACCTAAGAGCATGTAATGGGAACACAAAGGTCGGTTGATGCTCGGTGTGCTTAAACATTGCAAACGTCTCCTGCGTTGCCACGGACAGAATTATTTTGTTCCTTGAGTTTCCTTAAGTGTCCTTTGCTTTACCTGCGCTTTTGCTGGATCATAATTCTGTTCCCTTTGCTTTCCCTTTCCCAGCGCATCCAACGGGATTCTCAGCCCGCGAATTCCAATTCAGGACGCGGGGGGAGAGTCAGACCGAGACAGCCACGCCAGCGACCCAGTGGCGCGGAGATCGGATCGCAGTGGGCACGTGTCAAAGTACCCATCGGATTCAACCTAAAACCCAACCCCAAGAAACGAGGCACACCCATATGGTGGGTCCGGGGAAGCCCTAAAACAAGTGGCGTCCTTTTGGTTTCCCTTCAACCCCCAAAGGGTGAGCCCCATAGGTACATGGGTGATTCGCAAAATAGGGGTTCCCCGAAAATATTGTTGCCATTCTGAGAAACTCCCATGATATATATATATATATAATGTATAGTGCGTATATTAGAGGCTCGGTCAAAATTACCGTATGGCGAATTTGGGAGCATGGCACCACCAACCCGGGGACGAAACCTGATTTCCCAAGCCCCCTGTAAACAGGTAATTTTGACCATGGCTCATCTGTAAATCTGATTCCCAGCAGTCATACACTGATTCAGTGTTGGACATAGCAGGAGTAGTAGGATCAGTAGTAGTGGTGGTGGTGGTGGTGGTGGTGGTGGTAGTTGTAGTAGTAGTGGTAGTAGTAGTGGTAGTCGATCATGTAGAACTATTTGGTTCCAGTGACTACTACAGCACGTAACCAAGGGAACCACTGAAAGTCTGAAAGGACAATGGCAACAGTTTTATCTATAGTGGCACCTGTGATCCTGAGTGGCCCCTTTCTGTCTTTGATGAGCCGCTGTTTTCTTTGCAAAACAGGTATGAACCCTGCAGGCTGCGCCAGACGTGCCCTGACCCTGACGGATCGGCCCCACAGATGAATGCCCTGGCGGCCAGCAGCGTCCACGCCGAGGAGAACTTGAGCGACATGAGCGACATGAGCGACACCAGCCCTGCGGAGGAGAACCCGGAGCCTCAGCCCCAAAGGCTAACCCGGAGCCTCAGCCCCAAAGGCGTCACCCTCGCCGGAGAAGAGCCCAGTGCTTCAAGGCCTCATCATCAGACCGGAAGACCCCAGCGCCTTCATCAACCCCCCGAAAAAATTGGCTCGCAAATTCATCCAGGTTTACGAATCCCGAGCCTGTCAAGCCCGTTCTTCCACCCTCAATGTTTCCCCTTTGAATACCCACCAAAAGGAAACTGGCAGTCAAAAGCAGATGTTCAAAAAGGGCAAGTACAGGGAATCCTGCGTAGACCCCTCAGGATCCTCATTTTAAAGGGGGTATAGGCAACCTAGGATTTCTTTTTCCTTTGCTGGTTCTCGCAAGGAATGCGGGAATGCCACCTACCAACGATCCCTTGTGGTTCCTTTTGAATTACGAAGCCCTTGTTGATTGCAGATGCTCTACACTATCCCCAAGGGAACACAGGGCACATGCCCTGCCTATCCCAAGTGGTTTGGGTAGTGGTTTGACAGCCAACCTTACAGCCAACCTTACAGCCAAGCTTACAGCTAAACCTCAACCCGCCCCAAACCCACCCTAAACCAACCACGCGGTGCATCTTAGGGTATAGCCCACAAGACAAACCCCAAGCCGAGAACCGGCAGCTTACGTTCAATTCGGCCCCTCAGCTTACTCCCGAACAGGTCGGAGTTTCAGCTGGCGCCCTGGCACGTGGAGTTCACATCGAAGCAGCTGAAGTGGGGGCCCAAGGGGAGTTGCTCTTGTGACCTTTGCCTTCCCATCATCATGGAACCTCAATGAGGGGGCCAAGACTATTTGCCTTTTGATTTGGTCCGCCATAAGTGTATTTCCGTTTGGGATGATGGTTCAAGGGCACCGCGCATGTGCCATCAGAACACAATCTTCAATTGCAAATCGCAACCAACACCAACAAGAGGACTTTAAAGGGATGAAGTTCCAGAGCAAAACAAGCAACACAAGCAAACTAGCAAGCAAAGCAAGCAAGCAAACAAGAAAGCAAACGAAGCGGCAAGCAAGCGACCAAACATGCAAGCAGGCAAGCAGGCAGGCAGGAAAGCAGGCCAGGAAAGCAAGGCAAGGACAGGCAAGCAAGCAAGCAAGGAAGGAAGGCAGGCAGGCAGGCAGGCAGGCAGCCAAGCAAGGAAGGAAGCACGCAAGCACGCACGCAAGCAAGCAAGAAAGCAAACATGAACGCAAGCAACCAAAATCGCAAGCAACTAAACACGCAAGCAAGCAAACATACAAGCAACTACACACGCAAGCAACCAAACACGCAAACTTAGCAACCAACCTTTGAGCAAGGCTCGCATGCTCAGCGTAGGTAGGGCAAATTCAGCCACCCAGGGCAATGCAAGAGGCGGTGGCCAGCGGCAAGCCCAAGGCGGGGGTTGGGGTTCGTTGGGCGAGACGGTCGCTTTTTTGAGGTGAGGTTTTGTTTTGAATGGACGCCGACAGGAGAACCACCATTTGTAGGGAAACTCTATTTTGACACATACTATAGAAATCCTGACCCCTCATGTTTTATCAGATGTCTACCTCCAGTGGCATTTTACTCCCATGGTGCCATGGGATGATAACTCAATCATAGTTGTAATTGAGGTCACACATATCTTCTCAGCGTCCGTTGGATTTGGTATTTTATGATTCGCGTTTGACCCGAGAATCCTTGAATTATCGCTCTTTTTTTTAAACCAGCTGCAGAGGATGCCAGGAAGCAGGGGCCCTGTTTTGCTTCCGGGGTTTGCTTCGGCTTTACCATGGGATTTACTATACGATGACTTTGGCCCAGCTTCGGTGACAAACTTGGCAACACGCCAAGGGGCATTTTCTGCTCATGGCCGAACACGAGCTGGGCATCTCGGCATGCTCTTAAACCAAGTGTGCGAAAGGCATAGTGACATACTGGTGATGATGCTAATGGAGTGATTAATGTATTTTGCGAGACACAGGGGATGCCTAAGTTTGCAAGCAGCAGGATTGAGTCCAAACGACCTGTGTGGTAAGTGTGTGTGTGTACCCTTGTGCTATTGATTGCTCGAGTTTGTATTTCTTTGGCCTGTCCTGTGTCACATACTGCTTCCCAAAATACTTCTTGGCACAATGTCTCCCCAAGCTATTCCGTAGAAATCAAGATAGACGAAGCATGAGCGCAATAGTGCTTGGGATAGGTACCATGAGTGTTCTCTGAGGACGACACTCATTTACAACATACTGCTCCATATCACCCTCCCACATTCATCAACTTTAACGCATCAATATCAACTTTAACGAGCTTGGGCAGAACAACTATGATCGTCGAGTATCTACAGGTGCCGTGGCAGGAAGAACAGTGCATCTCTATATATATATATATTTCTACACATTCATAAAAGAGTCCACGGCGTTGACACCTTTCTGGGTTCTTTTGGGGCAGGCCCTTCGGACTTAGGGTTGGTTGTGCGTTTCAGTTTGCCGTTTGATTGAAGATTCGTGGCCGCCTGGGGCCGGCCGTGAAGAACAGAACCACACCCACGTTTAGGCCTTTGTATCTCCGAGTTTTCTAAGTTCCGAGCCAACCTTTGGATGTGGCTCCAAGATCAACAGATGGCCAGACTTAGAGCCTTGCAGCTTTGTGCTGGGTGTCCTGCCGGAGCCCACTCATTGATGAAGGACACTGAAGTGAACACGGCATTTTTCCGGATGAATCGCAGGGGTTTCAATTTGATAGGCTATTTGTGATGCTACCCACTTTTTCAACGCCAACAGTTTCTTGGTAAGAAGCCTCATTCTCTTCTTGATCCGAAGAAAGATCCTGCTAAAGTCTGCGTTGGTGGACCTCTTTCATGGTGCAAGTATGACACTTCGAACACCTTTCGGGTTGCCATAGTTTTTTGCGTGTTCAAAGGGAAACCGAAAGGACACCATCCACTCATTTCCTGAGTGGATTGGATGACAGCCGTTTAGGTGGAAGCCAGGGTGTTGGCCTGCTTGTCAGGTGGCAGGGGCGCAAGCGCTGATGCAGGACACGCTGAATGGTTCCCTGGCTGCAGTTCTCCACGGTGCTCAGAGTGGTGCAAGTGCTAGCTTTCTGATCCGACACAGGCAACCAGAACATGCTGGAAAGAGGCTAAGTTTCGGGGAAAACCGGAGTATACCACCAGCATTGGCCACGGCAGAAAGGGACCCCATTCCACCCTGGGTCCCGGCCTTGGTTTTCGATGGCCGTCCCCACAACTGGCTGCGCGCACATTTGCCATTTTATCATGTTCCTTCCGAACAGTAGTTTACAAACCACATGCCAAGATATCGGGATATGTCCATGGTCCATGTGGGGAGGGGCACTGTCGAAATGTTAGCCTCATGTGGCTTGGAACAGAGCCTGCAAGGACGCTGGCAACGACATGTTGGACTTGAATACCAACAAAAGAATGACTGTACTTTGTGGCAGACTCCGTTTTCCTTCGTTTCATTTTTTAACTGGCAGCAACATTTGAAGGTTCCATGGAAGCAGAGGCACCCCCGAAGGAGAACTCAGGGCGCAAAGGGAGTGATCTCCTAGAGGGCGAGTAATGAAATCCTTCTGTAAGAAACGTACCTGGGCAGGTGGGAGAGGGCAGCCAGTGAGGATTCAGAAAGAGACCAGTAGCTCAGCCGAGGAAATGCACTCTGGCCCTGCGCTTCTTTCCGTTTGTGCCTCATTCTCTCTGCTTAGATGCTCGTCTTAGACCATTGTATTTACCTAGCATAGCGATGCGGGCGCAACAAGCCAAACATAAACTTTCACAGCAGCGCATGTGCACACCACGACCGCGGAAGTCTCATCATGAGTGGAAGGAGCCTCAAGCGGATCCACAATGGCCTGATTGAATATTTGGTGCTGCTTCTTCTGAGACCACACAAGCGTGACTCTGTCGATTTCGTACAACAAGTCAGCTGGTCATGGCAATTGGTTGTCTCACGAATCCGAAACCAATGTTGGTAGTTGGAGTGTAGAACGGGGATGCGAAATAGATGCAGCCCATCCTTTGGTTTTCCCAGTATGTTTCCCCCCATAATCCCATGACAAGCATAAGGGAAGAACATGGGGACCCGCAACCCTTAGAGCCTTCTTAGGGGTTCTGAAGAAAGGGCTCCTTTTGAACCTTGCTGGTGAGTGGATCAGCAACTTCAAGTCAAGGTCCTGAGATCTTGAGTCAAGGTCTTAATGAGCCTAAGCTAATCTGAAGTTGAGCCCATATTATTCAACCCGGGTTATTAATCGGGGGGTGTTCCCCTCCAAAAGTGATGCTTCCCCCAACCTGGGGACACCACCCTGTTCGCTCTGGGCGCAAAGGCATACCAAGTGGGTAGGGCCCTAGTGACATAGTGATGAGCAATCCTTTTGAGTCCAGGTCCTATCGAGCCGCAACATTCCTATACCTGAGCTCTCCGGCTTTTCAGTTTGCCGGTCGACCCCAGGCTACTCCCAGCTTTCCTCAGCGCTGGGCCCGGCCCTCAGGTTTCGCTCCGGTTTTGCTCCAGTTCCTGGGGGGGTGGAGGGAACCTCCAGTGGCCATTCGGTTGGAGTTGAGCCATGGCAGCCACGGATGACAGCGTTTGCTGGTTTCCCCACAACGTTTCAACCCTCCCGTTTGCCAGGCAGGCGGCCAGGCCGTTCTCAAGATTGTCCGATTTGGGTCGTTTGCCTGAAAACCTTCGCTTCAATGTGGCAATTGTGATGCCACTTCAATGGACCCATCTGCCCCGACCATCCTTCCCTTGAGTTGGGATGGTTCCCTTGAAGCTTGAAGGCTTCGCTTCCATTCCCAGCTGAACCTGCGTGAACAAATCTCGGCTATCAATAGGGACCCCCCCCAATTTTGCAGGGAATCAACGGTGAAGTCGCCCTAAAAACGGTGGCTACCACTGGCGCCACAAGGAGCCCGGGGTCCCGGTCCGAAATTGGTCCATGGCTCCAGGGCACGTGTTTGTCACCAGCTATGAGGCTGACCTTTGCGCCATGATTCTCAAAATTGATCGAAAGATCATTCATGATAAGGCCCATTCCCTTAGGGATCGAGGTCTTCCCTAAACAGCCCACAATTGTTGGTTTACCCGAAGAGAATCCAACCGGGTGTTATTTTTCATCCTGACCTGTCTGAGTCTCTTTTTAGGTACAGCTTTTTAATTAGAGAATGCCACCATTTCGGTGAAGATTATCGAAGATTTGAACGAGGTGTCCCATTCATTTCCCATCCATTGTCACATGGGCTCTCCAAAATGGGCTTCGGCTTCCTTAGTCTCTCCAGCCATGGCCAAAGATAGGTACCCTCCGCATGGGGAGTTTTGAGTTTCGTCTCAGGCCTCTCGTACAGCGTGGAGAAGGCCCTAAGAGCCAACCCTGCCAAGATCCACGAGCATGAGGCAACCGGGCGGAATCGTTTGGGCCTGGCTTAGGTCAAAATGGGGAGGACCCCAGAAATCAGGGTGGCCACTTTCCAAAAAGGAGTTTGGTTTGGTTTCCAAAAATGAATTTTGGGTTCCCTTTGTTTTGCCATTGAACCAACCTGAAAATGCCTCCAAAAGAACAAACTTTGCCCCTGTGGACAGGCCTTGTTGGTGGGAATTGGGGTGTCCAACCCATGTTGCTTCAACCGATTTGGCAACCAAGCTTCTCCTCTCGCTTTCCCTTTAAAATCATGCCAAAGGGAACCCAGGAACCTGGTCTCGTTCACGTCACCCTTCTCTCCCCACGCCAAAATCCCTTCCATCCCAAATCATACAGAGAACATGCCCCAATTCTATCTTTATATATATATACATATATATATATATATATGTATATATATATATATATCTGGTAGGACCTTCCATATCAGGATCCCTGACCTCGTTTAGGGTAATGCAACCTGCCCAGGAGATTGGATCGTCCCCCTAAGGTCCGGGGGGACCCTGCCATTATTTAGACCCGATGCCCGCAAAGCTCGGCTTTTGGTTTCCCAGCCCGTTAGTTGGGGTATGCATGAAGGCCCTTTTGATCAAGGCAGTGAAGGAAAAGACACTGCCAGCCCCGACAAGGGTTCTCGCGGCGCGGTCATGGACGCCGGAATGAGGCGGAGACGGGCGATGAGCGTGGATGCCGCCAGGGGCATCATGGTGGCCGAGCTGGAGGGTGAACTTCCGGAGCCTCGCGAAGAAGAAGGGCCACCACACGCTGGAGGTGAACGGCGGCAAAGGGTGAGCGTAAACCCTTTCTGGAGCTCGCGGGCGGTGGGGGAAGCGGAGTTGAATGCGATGAGACCTGAGGGTTTGCCCAAGGTCCCGGACACCGGGAGCTCCCGAAAGGTTGGGAAGGAGATGGACGTTCGGGGAGGTGCCGGTGACGCTCCTGAGGGAGATCTTCCTGGGCGAGAACGTGAGGAGATTGGTGGCCACCCGGAAGCTGCCGGAAGTAGAACCAGGGCGGAGGAGTTCTGGAGTGAGATCAGGAGAGACCTGAATAGCCAACGGCGGAGGACATGGAGAACAACACCTAGGTGAAGATCAGGAACGTGGGGATGGAGCTCAAATACATGGGATTGGAGGAGGGCTACATCGTGGAGAAGAACGGAGACCGGCGGACGAACAAGGGCCGAGATCATGGGCAGACCTGGTCTTATGCGAGGAAGACCTGCGGGGCGTGAAGGTGATCTCCGGGAACCGATGATGGTTGATCCGCGGTTTGCGCGACTGGATGAACAAGGAGGACAAGACGGAGGACGGCGTCTACATGGAGGCCCAGCACCGAGATCTAGCGAGGCGCGTGAGAGACCAAGGGTGCGAATGGACCTTCATGAGGGACAAGTACATCGGCAAGATCGAGGAACACATGGTCGTGATCAGACCGGGAGGGAAGCTGGACGAGCCGCAGGGACCGGAGCAGCCAGCTCATCGAGGAGGTGGACTCGTGAAGGGCAAGGCCTGAGCCTTGATTGGATCTGGAATGACGAGCACAAGGACGAGGAGGAGCTCATTGGTGATTTGGTGGGAAGGCGGTCGCTTTGAGGGACTTCGTGCTCATCGATGAGTCCGACGCCCTGATGGTGGCGGGTGTCATCCTCATGGTAATCGGTGCGGTGTGGGTGGCAAAGCAAGCGGTGGTTGCCACTGTGGGATGTGCGAGAAAGCTGAGAAGGATCCAGGTGGAGGAAAGGCCGAGGGACTTCATCCAGGTGGATCGCGAGATCGCGGAACTTCACGACCAATGGGGTCGGAGGTGGGTGGTGCTCAAGGAGAAGGAGAAGGGGCTTGAGCAGGAGCACTACTGGACTGCGAATGCTGCGTCATCGAGCTCGACGGCGAGGGTGAGGAGATGCAGCAACGATTGGAACGAGTTCCAGCACATGAACCGTGGAAAGGGCTGGGGCACGGAAAAGATGAGGGCGGAATACTACAAGGAGAAGAGCGAGGAGAAGAGCAAGAAGGGGGTTTGAGTCGGATGTGCCGGGGGGAGCCCGTTAGTTGGGGTATGCATGAAGCCCCTTTTGATCAAGGCAGTGAAGGAGCACTGCCAGCCCCGACAAGCCCAGAAACCACAAGGTAAGATGTCGACGTAGGGAAAGAAACAGGTGTCCAAGACCAACCACCATAAAACTCGTCTAATTTACGGTTCTATCTTTTGGAACAGCAACCTTGAGCATGCTTCCGGACCCCCCCAACCACAAACCTCCATCTTTCGGACAACCCCCAAACCCAACCAACCAACCAACCAACAAACGAAACCAAGCCAAAACACACCCAAACCATAGCAAGTTAGAAGTTAGCAAGTGGTCGGTAAGCCGTGGTGAGATACCCCGCTGAACGGAGACTTTTCACCACGGCTCTCACACCAGTCTCAGGATCATCTGATCACCACCTCCTTGACGGACCGAATCGATCGCATCCACCGCGCGCGATCGAGGCCTTGGTGGAGCTAGTGCTGCAGCTCCAGGAGGCCTGGCGCGACAGCGGGGCGCTGCTCACCTCGAGCCGCCAGGCGCGGATTTTCCCCATGGCTGGGGGAGGTGGGGGGAAGGGGACGGGTTTTTCTCTGGGTTTTTCTGGCCCTTCTTTTAGAAGATCTTGGTTTTTGTGCCTCTCCCAGAAGACTCGATTTTTTCTTCTTTTGTTTGGCTCTTGGCCCAGTTTTTTGCGTTTTTTGGTTGAATGGGGGTCCCGGAGGGGGGGGGACCACATGTCTGAATATACATTTGCCGTGACTTAAAGGCTCTCATTACATTGGGCACCGGACGGGTAATTCGCGGATGTCACCAGGAGCGAAGAACAGGCACACGTCTGTGAGTTCCATTTTCCGGGCGACATGGGGGGCAGCTTCGGTGCTTGTCAGGGGTTAGATCAGGCTCGGCTTCCCCATTTTAACATCAACACGCACATCCAACCTCCCCCTGTCTTACCCTTTCCACCATGTGAGGTATGTCAAAAAAGAGCTGGCACGGAAAAATACCGCGGCAACAGAAAGGCACGAGGGATGGGTTGAACCGGCAACGCCTTTCGAACACGCTGGACATTCGGGATGCAACAGACCTCATTTTTGAGGCAACCGTGGCTCCAGAGGTGTCTGTTTTTGGGGGCGCCTAAGTCACAGAGGGTCTAGCCATTCGGACAAACCACAATCTACTTCAGATGGATGAACTCCTGCAGTTGAGATGGATGAAGCCGTATCAATACTGGTGCAAGCGCCTGATGCGACGTGGAATTTGTCCACAGGAATCAAAAGCCACTCAAGTTCAAGTGAGGCAAGGACCGTGCCTCTTACATTGTGGGTATGTGTCGAAATAGGATGCCGGGGGGGGGGAGGGGCGGTCTATAAGGTTAAAAGGGTCACGAATCTCTCGTAATCAAGGCAGGTGTGTTCCCTTGGTTTCCCAAAAAGTTTGGATAGAATTCTCCCGGTCGACCCCACACATGGCCCGCAGGTCGAGTGTTCGGTTTTCCTTCCGACGTTGCCAAATGACTTGTGCAGCTTTTCTTTGGATACGGCCAAGTGGTTCGGTCTTACTTTTGCTGCGGAGTTTGTGATTCCCCAAGAAGGAGCAGAGTGTCATCAAGTGGCTTGCCGCTAGAAACTGGTCAATCCCCTCGATTACTTCTCACAGCACGGGTCCGCGTCCTTCACAACACTGGAAATTTGCCAGGCGGACTTGGAGGCGTTGGAGCGCACGCGCATGCGGCACAGCAGGCGGGGCTTCGAGTCGGTTTCAAGGACTCAAACCCAGGGCTTGATGCGAGAGAAACTAAAGGGATCCCTTCGAAACGGTTTGATTTTGGGCTCGTTTATGTTGGGGTTGTGTGGTATTTTTGACCGCGGCGAGCCGGGCTTCTGCTCGTTGAAAGGAATCTATTTGTTTGGGCACAAGTCGCAAAGGAAGCCTATGAAGGTGTGGAGTCACAGACCACCGGTGGGTTCCACGCGAGTTGGAGGTTGGCGAAGGTGATTTGTTGACCCCCCTTTTGGTGGAAGCCGGTTTTGCTTTGCATTTGCTGTAAGCTCTTCCTCCATTTGTTTAAGGGGATCCAGAAGTGGCCCTTTGTTGCTCTCTGAAGCAGTTTGGATACGCAAATGATTTCTGGTCCAAAAGGATCACCTTAATGTTCCCGGGTCCTTTGTGCAAATGCAATACGGAGGCCCTCATCCGCGGGCTTTCCAAGGCTTTCTGTTCTTTCAAGGCAGCAGACACATGGGTGTGCCATTTTTTTGGGGGAACCCACTACTGGTTGGCAACAAGGGGAACCCGAGTGAAGCCCACATGTGGTCAAGATATACCTTTGCCCTGGCAGGATGGTCACCGGCCTTTAGGACTTTGGGCAACCCTGAGAAGTGCTTTTCAGAGTGGGATGGTCATGAACCCTTGAGTAGGGATTTCAACAACCATGCTAAAGGATTCCTTTGAGGAAGCCATGCATGTTTATCAAGAAACAGGCGCAAGGAGGGTGTTTCCGTCACTGGAATTTCCCCTTCAACAGTTGCAATTTACTTGCTGTAATGACACTTTTACTGGAGGTCCAAAAAGTGGGAAATTGAGGGATCCCTGGTTTTGACCAGCTTTGTTGAGAGCTGGTTTAGGGTTGGTCTGGTTTGAGGGGTCGTTTCGGGTGGGTTTAGGGCTGGTTTAGGATGGGTCTGTCTCCTTTAAGGTTGGACGCTCCAAAAAAGGTGGTTTTCCTTTTTTCCTGTCAAAACCAACCAAAAAGGGGTTTCCCAAAATAGACAAACTCAGATGGGTGTGGCTTGGTTTCGTTTTTCTGCCAGGCTGGTGGTGCGTGCCTATCGGATTGGTGGTGAGGAGGCGAGGGCCGTCCGGCCTAGGGTTCCTTGCCCCTGGTGAAATGTGAACTCAACCATTGTTTTGATGGTGGTTTGAGCCCCAGCGATCTATCTTGTTTTGAGAGTCCCCACGCCAAAAGCCAATCAGACGAAGGCTGCATCCCGGAATCCCCTCACAGCCCCACAGAAACCCGCGAAAATTGGCCAACCAACACGGTGTTTGCGATGTTTTTTAGAGGACACTCCGCTTGATCACAAGACTCCCTACTATGTCCGCTTTCCGCCAAAACCTACTCTTAGGGGGCCATCCTGGAAGGTTGATACGATGCCGGGAGTGCTGGGGATGCTGGAATGCCCAGATGCTGGTGATGATGCTGACGGCTGCAAGGGGGCGATTTTGCCGGTATTTGCCATTTTTGTTTGTTTTTTCCTTTTTTTACAAGATCCAGATATTTAGGCTAACCCGCGTCCGGACGCGGGCATGCTGCTTGTACAGCAACGAAAGACGACTTGGATAGTGCCTTCATCTTCGAGGTAGAAGACACCTAGCGCAGCTGGCCTTGTTGGGTCCCTTGTTTTGTGGGATGTGTTCAAAAGGGGGACACACACACAAAACATTCTGGCCATTGGAATGAGGGAACAAACGAATTATTCGCAAGTGCTTTTCGGACATTCATGCCCTCCATAGCTGAATGGGGAACCCAGGATTACTCAACCCTGGGTTGATTTTGGTTGGGTGTCAACATCAATAGGAACAGCCCGAGGAAAAAGGTGTGTGTGTGTGTGTCGACGACAAGAATATGTGGAATTGGGGTGTGGTAGGGATAGGCCGGGGATGGTCGAATTGGAGTGTTGTGGACCTGGGATGGGCTTGTTCCGGAAGGGACTTCTGCCCCAGAATTTGATCGGCCACAGAGTTCGAATGGGCATTGCTTTGCATTGGGTACTTTAACACCACGTCTAGCCGCGAGTTGTAGCTATTGCGCCCCTTATCTAAGCCACAAGCCTTCGCCCCAACTAGGGCCTGTAAGGGTTTGTTCCCTTGTAAAATGACCCCACTCTTCCTTTCCAGGCCAAACTTGGGTTTTCGTTTCGTTGTGGTTTCCCTAAGGGTGAGACAGGTAGCACAAAAAATAAAACCCACACACACACACACACGCACACACGCCTCGTTATACACGCCTCGTTTGGCAGTGACGTGACCCATTTAAGCCCATTCGTTCCTTTGGTAGTGATGTTTTACGGGGGAACTATGGGATTGCTTTTCCCTTTGACGCCAGCCCGTTAAATATAGGGAACTCTGTTTACGCACCTTTGTTCAGATGGCCACCATGGTGCTGGCGCGCCTGCTGCTGGTTGACGTCGGGGGCTAAAAATCGCTCGCTTGAAAAACAACTCGCTTGCGGGGGAAAAAACAACTCCCCCTCCCAAAACGACAAACAAACCCTCCCCCCCCCCAAAAAAAAAACAAACGCAACCAGGAAATGTAGCCACACACACACACACGACGGGGTGCCAAAAGAATTGCCTTTTAGACCTGAAAGTGCCGCCCAAGGGGCCGCCTGTTTTAAGGGGCTACCAAAAGGCCCTGAAATGTTGCCGACCCCCAACAAAACTTGGGGTCATGATGTTGATTTGTGTGTGCTTTGCTTTAGGGAAACCCTTTCACGGTGGTCTGCCTCGTCTTCTGGTTATAAAGTCAGCAAGTGTGGTGTTTCCGTTCAAGGCATCACGTAGGGGGAAGACTCTGACTATGGTAGCATTAGCTTTAATTGGTGGTTTGGATGGGTGGTTTGGGATTGAACCTCTCCTTCTTGAGGGTAACTTGCAACCACCCCCAAAACTCTTCCGAAATACCAATCCAAGCCACCAATTGGAGGCAAGCTTATTCAAGGCGTAGTGCAGAAGAAAGGACGGTGTGTGAACATGGGTGTCTGCTTGAAAGGAAGCCACCCAATTCCCGGACGAGTCACTTGAAGACCTGTTTTGTTGTTTGCTTTTTCCGTATCATGGCTTTTGGGAAGAAGTGACATTAGATGTGTCTTTTGACATGGCCGAGTTTTGTTGACTGCGTGTTTTTCTGAGACCTGAACCGGCGTTTTCTGCGGTTGCCCCGAGCCTTACGAGACCAAGCCAGACATTTGGTCTGTTTTTGTTGGTCTGTTCGGCTTCCCGTTGCCAGCCAGCTCTTTCCACTTCCCCAACCCCCCCCCCCCGGGGAAACATAAAGGGGGATACCCTGTTCACAGTGGCTATAGTGGTTGCCTATCGCATTACATTTTTCGGGGTAGTGGTTGGGGGTATCGCGTTTTCTACCTTTGTGCCTTGTGCCTTGTGAGGGTCGGAACAACCTTGGTGCCCGTGCCATCATTTTTCGACCACCAAGTTGTTGGCTGCCTGCTTTTTTAGCAGCGATCGGACCGGCGGACTCTCCAATAGCCCAAGTGCTTGGCGCCCACAAACCTTTTCTTGCCACTTTCGATATAGGAATCGGCTTTAGTCCTTCCCACTTGTGAGGGAATCCGCTGAAAGACCCTTCCAACGAATTGCAATCAGGTCCTGCCTCTCTTGCATCCTTTTTCGCTGAATTTTATGGCAGAAGTGCAAGCCTGAGGCGAGCAAGACTTTCTTCTGGGACCCGTTTCAATTCTGCCCCAAAGGCGTTTCGCCAAGGGCCACCATTTAGTCAACCTGACATCGTGTTCGTCTCAAAGACCAGCCAACAAGGTCTGAGCCTGTCACATCTTCGATTTGAAGGCTATCATTTTGACAATGAATTTCAAGAGTTGGAACCGCCTCAACGTGGTTGGTGGACATGAATCCCCGCCCAAAAGGATCCCTGATTTACAATCACGTAGATGTTTGTCTCCCTGCCTGGTTTCCAATTGACAGAACTGGCATCCGTATCTCATTTGCAGTGGCCGAAGGCAGCGGAAGCCAAGTCGGGAGTTGAGGCGGCTCTGATAGCACAGGTGCTGTCCCTTCAATGTGTTTTCAACCAAACCCATTGAGCAACTGGTTTGGGGCCAAGCCCTGACCCCTGCTGGTTAGTGCAGTTGCCCCAAGCGACTCGACCTTTTGACCTGTGATCATATGTAGTCAAGGTCCCAAAAGGTAAACCTGCTATTTCTAGGTCTGAACAGGGCAACTGAGTTAAACAACAGCGGTCTAAACATGTTGGCACTGCTTGGCTTGACCCTGGTGTTTTGGGACAGCTGAAAGTAATGCAACTGAACCATTCACATCCAACCACGCAGCCTGTTTCTGCTTTGGGCGTGGCTTTTCTTGGCCACCTTGCTCAGAGAGTAAAAGGGATTCTGTCAAGTTTTAGAGAGGAATGAGAACCCCATATTGACAACCCCTTGATTAACAAGGGGACGTCCCATTCTAGAGGCCCTTGGGGTCGACATTCAAAGGGGCTTCACCCCGAATGGATATCGGAACCCCCTCGGAGTTTTTCTCGGTCCCCCCTCCCTTCCCTCCACCCCCCTCACCCAAACCAACCACAGGCACCCAGCCAGGCAACTAACCTTAAGCCTAGTTGAAAAATAGTTTGCAACACTTCATTCTTCTTTGCAGAAGCTAGGCTTATCAAGGCCAGCTTAGTATACTGCAGTTCCTTCGACTAATGCTTGAAACACCGCAGAATTGCGCGGCGCATAGGCTTGAATTGACTCAAAACTTGCTTGGGCGCTGGCAAAAGGCGAGGTTTACGGACTGGAATTAAGATGACGACTCCTAGAAGTCAGCATGCTTCTGAACTTGCTGGTGCTCAGTAGGGAATGACCCAGGGTGTTGAGAATGAACCTAGGGATCCCCCTAAGGAAACCACAAGGGATGGTTCATCGGGCTCATTCTAAACTCATGACATTTCGTTGCCTTCGAAACCTGCGTCCAAGGAGATGCTGCTGCCGCAGCACGAAAGACGTGCGGGCCTCGTTTAGGGCGGGTCCAGCTTAACACGCTGAGGTGGTTCCCCATGCGTTCGACCACTAGGAGGGTGTCTTTGGTAAGGGTAACATCTTGGGGCCGACTTTTGAGGGGGGTACCGAACTGCAAGGATCACATGGTCTTCGGCGGGGAGTATAGGGATCTTTTTTGACGTCCTTGTCTGTTTTATGTGTGAAGGTTGCCAACCACCGGTATGCATGAAAAAAGGGCATCCCAAAAACTGTGGTGTTCCTTGTTTCTTGTTTTCAAAAACAACAACAATACTAGGGTGCCCTCAAAACTACTCAAGGGGTGGCAAAGCTGAGCTGCGGTTGGGCATCTTTGCAGCACCGTGACCTAACAGTCCAACGGACGGAGTTCGTGGTCCCCAGGCTGGTCTTCCGGAAGGTCCCTTGGCTATGCGGCCATGAGTTTGGAGAGCTGGAATCAGCCCAAAAGTGGTTGGTGGACATCATGTCCAGCAAAGGGTTCCCTATCAAGGCGCCTGATGTTGGAAGGGTAGAGCATCGCTGCAGATACTCCGGTTGCCAGGTTTTTGAGGATGGGATGGTTTTCTGGACGTCCAGTTGGTACATCATACCCGTGGGTTCCACTTTCCTTAGAACAAATGGAATTGTAGTGTAGGGGGGACCCCACCCCCCTCCGCATCAAGGATGTTGATATAGACGGCAAGGCCTCACCGCAGAGATGCCGTTCACCATGGACAAGCGTGAGAGCCCAGTAGTTCAGCTTGTACCAAGCATGGCAGTTCACCGGAGGGTTTTGGAAGACCATCCGCTTGAAATGGCCTCAAATGAGTAACACACATACAAGTTAAGGGGAACTTTATCTTTCAGTCGCCATACACGATGTCTTGTTTTTCGATACCTTTGGAGGCCGGATTCTGGATTCCCATAAGTAAGCCACACTCAATGGGGGGGCGGGGTTGTGCATGGGTTCGCACGTTCGGCCCTTGATCCTGGCTAAGAAGGACGTCTTTTGGCAGGTGACACCCAACAGCAAAGGAACCCTTCGTTCCCGTTGCCTCGAATCACCAGCCAGGGGCTGGCTGCTTCAAGGCTTGCTTCTAATGTTTTGTGCTTGGCAAGGTGTTTTCAAGCTGTGCAGGCCCACGCACATCAACAGAAGTATGGCACCCGATGGAATCTGAATATGAACTTCTGTGTACCTCCGATGGGTGCCAAGATTTGATGCAAGGCACATGCCGGCCACTTGAGGCCGTGCTGGATACTTGTGCGTGTTTTTTGAGGGCACGCTTTTCATGTTGATTTCAAAGGGAAGCCAAAAAGGTAAGATTTGCAGAGGTCGCCTATCTTGACACTCCAACAACTTGGTTTCGAAGGCGTTTGTTGAATGGGCGTGAAGTTTAATGGAGCCCGTGGTGGACATTTGAACCATTTAGGTGGGGATTCATGCCCGCCACTGAGGTGGTTCCAACTTTAAGTTTCATTGCGCTGTGAAAACATAAGAGGCGGTCTATGGTCAACTTGGGATCGACTCTCTCTCGCTCTCTCTACATGTCCTGCACCAATCCAGGTCTCAGTAAAAATGTGCCATGCCCTTTTATGGGTGTGACATATTCGGATCGTGGCTGACAACACCATCTTAATTAAGCAAACTAATACTTGGCACATCCACGAAAATTTGTCTCCATGCAGCAAAGGGTCCCAATTAAAACATGACTCTCTAGTGTCCTCCCCAAATTTGTGGGAGACGCTCGGTTGAGGCCAACACTTGGAGAGCAAAAGGTACGGCCGATTCAACCCTTACCCCTTCCACCCGCGAAATTGTCTTTGACAGTCCGTGCTGCGTTCCTTTGAAGAGGCATTGGAACTCACCAACTTGGCCTAACTTGTGCAGCCAATTGCCACTTTTGCTTTGAAAAGTGACCCTCCGGACCGTCCGACCCCCTCCAACCACTCCGAACCCTCCGACCCCTCCGACCCTCCGACCCCTCCGACCCCTCCGACCCCTCCGACCCCTCCGACCCCTCCCCCTCCCCCTCCGACCCCTCCGACCCCTCCGACCCCTCCGACCCCTCCGACCCCTCCGACCCCTCCGACCCCTCCGACCCTCCGACCCCTCCGACCCCTCCGACCCCTCCGACCCCTCCCCTCCGACCCCTCCGACCCCTCCGACCCCTCCGACCCCTCCGACCCCTCCGACCCCTCCGACCCCTCCGACCCCTCCGACCCTCCGACCCCTCCGACCCCTCCGACCCCTCCGACCCCTCCGACCCCTCCGACCCCTCCGACCCCTCCGACCCCTCCGACCCCTCCGACTCCGACCCCTCCGACCCCTCCGACCCTCCGACCCCTCCGACCCCTCCGACCCCTCCGACCCCTCCGACCCCTCCGACCCCTCCGACCCCTCCGACCCCCTCCGACCCTCCGACCCCTCCGACCCCTCCGACCCCTCCGACCCTCCGACCCCTCCCCCTCTCCGACCCCTCCGACCCCTCCGACCCTCCGACCCCTCCGACCCCTCCGACCCCTCCGACCCCTCCGACCCCTCCGACCCCTCCGACCCCTCCGACCCCTCCGACCCTCCGACCCCTCCGACCCCTCCGACCCCTCCGACCCCTCCGACCCCTCCGACCCCTCCGACCCCTCCCCCTCCGACCCCTCCGACCCCCCCTCCGACCCTCCGACCCCTCCGACCCTCCGACCCCTCCGACCCCGACCCCCGACCCTCCGACCCTCGACCCCTCCGACGACCCCCTCCGACCCCTCCGACCCCTCCGACCCCTCCGACCCTCCGACCCCTCCGACCCCCTCCGACCCCTCCGACCCCTCCGACCCCTCCGACCCCTCCGACCCCTCCGACCCCTCCGACCCCTCCGACCCCTCCGACCCCTCCGACCCCTCCGACCCCTCCGACCCCTCCGACCCCTCCGACCCCTCCGACCCCTCCGACCCCTCCGACCCCTCCGACCCCTCGTCCTGTCACCGTCGCTTTTTGCCGTCCACATGCGCCTTAGGCCCTATCGACTTTGCCAAAACGTGATCCAGCGCCACGGGCTCAGACGGGTGCCCTTCCGCGAGGAGTCTTTCGTTGTGGAGCCATGTGTAAAATGGGCAGCTACAAAACATAGCTCCGCCAGACAGTGGCCGCTGTCGGCTTGTAAGGCTCTCTTGTCTCACGTTTTGCGGGAGGGACCATTTCACTGAGGGACCATTTCGGTGGCCCGGTGGTGAGGCTCCCGAACCTGGCAGGATTTCACATGTTTTGCTTTCAGCTGCTTTCAGCTGCTTCATGGGTTTATCCCAACAGGATTGTCAAACGTGTCTCCCGCGATGGATAGGAACCACTGTGGAGACGCTTTTGCTTGCCACTGATTGCCTGGCGTCTGTGCTCCATCGGCCCCCCTCACTTCCTCCCTTCCAAGCTGCACGTCAACCTTGCTTTTGAGGATGGGAAAACACCCATTCCATTTTCCCCAAAACCCGCATCAGAGCTCTTTGCCGCTGTCTTGGGGCCTCCAAGCAGAGCGAATATGCACGACCCAAGATTTGGGTGTCTCCAAAATTGCAGAAGCTTGAAAGAATGTAGGTCTGCAAACACCATCCAAAGGGCTTCCCAATAGTAGGACATCTGAATTCTGTACTTGACAGCCAACGGACTCTGTTTTCGGAGGACATTGTTTGCTGTGGCACTGTCTGGTACACAGACCACCTTGTTATATAGGGATGGAGCATGTGCCCTAACTCTCAGGCAACCCAGGTAAAGAGGTTCTTTCAGAGGAACGTTTTTGAAAAAAAAGGCTGCTCACATGCGCAGAGGGTTGTTTTGTGACAGATTCCCGAATGTTTGTTTGGGGTAGACGTTGTACATCCCAAAGTGATGCTTTCTGAAGTGCCGCTCCGCGGGCTGTCATCGAATGCATACCCTGCCATATGGAGCAGACAACACATTCAACGACCTTTTTATCCAGCATGCAAGCGCACGGAATCCCGATGGGGGCAATTGCTTGCGGTTTGTAACGTGACGATTCAGCTGTGCACCAATTTGAGTTTCTGGGCAACCTATAGCGAAGAGGGTTCCGACATCGCCTTTGATGAAGGGTATGGGGATCTTTCTGTGGGTGAACTAATTCAATCCGGTTTCCATTCAAAGCCTGCGAGAGCTGGACATGGGCTTAGGCCTTTCCTTTTTCGGGGCTCCCCATACCTCCCCCATCCCCTTCTCCCGCCTTGAGGCTTGGACCGGCTCGGCATGGTGAACGCCCGCCGTCGCCGGCGCTGGCTGCGCTGCCCCCATGTCGAAGCCTCGGAGTTTCTAGCGAAAATGGAAGTGTCGAAGGGTACGGTCAGTCAGGGCCCAGGGCTGCACGGTATGCCTGGATAGGCTGAGTGGCCTGAGTGTGTCTGTTTTTGCGGCTGCTTTTGTGTGGGGTTTGCAGAGGACCATGCAAAGCAAAGCCTTTTTTTGGGGGGTTTATCTATTTGGAGACAAACCCCGTTTGTCCGGGATGAGCCCCAGGAGTGCCACTTTTTGGAGACATCCGCGCTTCTTTTTTTTTGGGAGACTCAATCATAGCAGCGACTCGCAGCCAAGAGGGGCATTTTTTTGGCGTTTAATGATATTTAAGTGATTGTTATTTGATATTCCAAGTATTGGTGTACGATTTACTACATTGCATACATCATTAAATTATTTAATGCCTTCTTCAGCACAACCATATTATTTGTAAATGGTACAATGCATTTGGAGTACAAATCAAATCTTGTTATTGAATTAAACAACTTATATGATATACTAATTGTGTTTGAGTATGGACATATGATGACACTTTATACAAATTGTTTGGTGATGGTGCTAAACTAAGCAAAGTCACAGCCTGAACACTGGGCTTGGATGTCTTGGCCGCTTTCAAGGACCAACGTCACAATCTGAAACGGACACGCCTCATCGATAGATGAGTTCTAAAGGCACACTCTGAAGCTTCAGGATATGTTGGGAATTCCGGAACAGCCCTGGCATGTTGCTTTTTTTGACAACACCCTCTTGAGGATGGTGCAAAGGGAAACCCAAAGGAAAGCCACTGTTGGGGGTCTAACTCTCTATTCTGGTACCAGCTCCAATGAACATGCACGCATGTGTTTTTCCGTTGCCTTTCCGATGCTCAGGCCAACATGCGTGTGGTCCTCGCGGGTGAGGCGTGCAGGGAGGGGACTGTGTGAACGAAGGCATGTTTCCGGGGACCAACTTTCTACTCCGGGGTGGTTTCGGCGTCAAGACACGTTGGCTTAGGGAACTTGGACGCTCACAGAAAGAAACAAGACGACCGCAGCCCCCCACTTTATTATTATTATCATTATTATTATAAGAATAGTAAATACATTAATATAATAAATAGAATACCACCGCGAACAGCATTCTCTTGGAGGCCCCAAGAAAGCCAAAAGGACTGGCTCGATTTTTGTGTCCAACACCTGCGGGACCATGGGGGGAGCTTGATGGTGTTATGCCGTGCCGGTTGAATACGGGTCTCCAAAGAAGAGTCGCCGTTTTGTGCTTCACCTGTCTGAGGGTAACCCAGAATTGGTGGTTTGGCTTGGTGGTTTGGGGGGTTGAAGCCCTGCTTCTTACAGAGGTAAAGATGAAACCATCAAACCAATCCACCAATTGGAGGGAAGCTGATTGGAGGACAACGTGTGAAAACAAGCTTGCTGTACAGAGCTGCCAGGCGATTGCTTGTGCTGCTTCCGACTATTGAGCAAAACTGGAAGCAACCAGCCCGAGGTACCCTATCTGGAAGTTCTTCGAAGATGGTGTCTGACCCCCCAAAATGGTGGGTTTACTTTCGTTTTCCGGTTTCCTCAAACACAGACAAGCCGCCCATATGTTGTTTTTCGAGTGTTCGAAGAAGGGGTGGCCCTACCGTTCCGACGCGAGTGACGCCCGTTTGCCATATTGCAAGTAAACCAGCTACAAACCATGGTTGAATTTACAGGGTTTCCCTTGTTTCCTTTTCAATTTGTGTGTCGTGTGCGAGTTTTTTGAGGACCCCACCTTTTGTGGTTTCAAAGGGAACCCACAAGGAGAACCACATTTGGGGGGTCCCCTTAAACAACAACACACCCATGTAGGGCATCCACCGGATTTCACCGGTGCCTTTCTTAATGCTACATTTTTTCAACCAGTCGAGCCCTTGAGGGATACAGCAACCGACGGCTAGAAGGCCGCTCTGCGACTGTGCAGAGGGGTCTTTTTCAGGGCTTCCAACATTTCCCCAGGGGCCCCCCAATTTCCCTTTTTTGGACGGCAGTTTTAGTGGAGCCCACTAGTAGCTTGCAACTTTTCAGGGAAATCCGGGCATGGGTTGGTTTAAACATCACCTTTGGGGCCAATTTAAAGTGCGACAAGGGCGTTTCAGCGGACATGGACTGAAGACCGCAGGCCAATTTAAAGTGAGTTTCCTCTTAGAAGGGTGATGCTTGAAGAGGCCTTAATCAGCTTTTCTACCCCAAGTCATTGGGATCTGTGCGTTCCTGAATCCTGCTTTGCAAGCCGCAGCTTGCCTCCCATGGTTTGGTGCGCAGACTTAGACTTGATATTATTTTCCTCTAAAGGGAGCCTGTGCGGTTCCAAGTTCGCGCGGATATTCCAGACTGCAGCTTGGCTTATCTGATTTGCACAGCCAGCTATGAGGCAATAGTTGTCCAATACCAGTGTGTGCGTGTGAGTGTGAGTGTGTGAGTTACTATTGATATTATTATCCTTATTTTGGGGATGGAGTGGTGGGGGAGGGCTCCCCTATTTTAACAGAAACCCATGTAGTTGTTCGCGAGTTGGTCATTATGATGTTGTGTACATACAGACATCCGTAGAGCAACACAGCAACGCCGAGTTTGTACTCGATTTGGGCCATGAAATATGTTGCGGCGCACATGAAAAAGGACCCCTCAGCCCTCAGCCTCAAACAACCAGCTTCATCACCTGAGCCTGAATGGAGCCAGTGAATCCTCATTGCTTGATGAATCGTTGGTTGAAGACCCTGGATCCAACATAGACATGGGTTCATTCGTCGAGCCTTTTGATCGAAGCTCTCGACCTTCAGGCCGAGGCCTTGATTGGTACAACCAATTCCCCCTTTTCACTTGCGCGAATTGGGGCTCGTCTTTTTGGGAGGGTACCCTTTTGGTGGAATTTTTCATTTGAAACCAAAGGGGAACGACCCCAAAAAAGGGCACCCTCAAAAAAGAGACCCAATTGTGCCTACTTTTCAGTTTGGTGGAACTGGAGTCAGAGAGACCTGGGATGATTTTCTGCGGTCCATCCGTGCGATGTCAGGTCTGGCGCCAGCTCATGGAGCGATATCTCAACGCGGACCCGGCCTTTGAGCCGCTCAACGCCTGTCCGGTAGCTCGGTGTAGTGCGTGGAGTCCGCGAGTGGCTCCGATTTTTGGTGCACCTGTCATAATGAACTTATGCATGGGTACCCATACGTCTATATGTAGCACTATGAGAGTGTTGAAGCCATGTGCGGATGAGACCTCGCGAGGGATTTGGTTTGCCGATTTGATTCAGGAAGGCACATTTCGGCTGAATGTCTTTTTGTCAGGTTGGCGAATGGCTGTCACCCGGAATACTGTCAGGCCGTCAGCCCTCAAGTGGCAGGTAGGCCATTTGTGACTTCAACCCCTAGAAGCCGAACAAATCAGGCGTAAAATCCCGTGAGTGAAATCCTCGGAGTCAGCCGAGGGGTGTTCTCAGCTTTTGCTATGCGTTGCATCGGCATCAGACCCGCGGCTGCAACATCTCGGCTATGGCAGTTTCTCCATCCGGAAGCGTAGCCCTCATGGACAGCGAGCCCAGTGCTCCCTTGCCCCGCAACTCCACGCGAGGATCACGGCAGCAGTACACTCATCCCACCGTGACGGGGCCAGGATGGTCATTCCTCATGGGCTCACGGAGTGGACTACGCGTTCGAGCAGTCCGGTGTTGAAATGACCAATCAGTGAGCTTGAAAGAGCTCATCGGCCAGTGGCCGCAGCTGTTTGGATTTGTCTCTGCTTGAGAGACGCGAAGGTCGCTCTGTGGTAACCTGCGCTTTTGGGGTTTGCCAGGCAGCCACTGTGCTTGACAATGAGATATGCGAGACTTTGAAAGTTAATCACAAATCCAGAATTGGTAGAGCCTTGGCTGGTGAGGCTGCGCGTGTCCCATTTAGAGAAACCGGATCACTTTTTGGTGAAACCTATAGCCTATAGGCTTTTAAATCCGGGCTTGAAATTCACGGCGAGTTAAAACTGGGTCCGCCACAACGACATCCGCCAACACCACCATCGACTTGGTGCTGTACAGGGAAATCGGCCCAAACGTATTTTGAGAACCCCTCAAGATGTTCACTTCAAGGCTCCCAGCAAAACGGCTCTTTTTGAGGGTACCCCTTTTTGTCGCTTTTCAGGCGAAACAAAAGAGAAACCAACTAATCTGAGGTGTCCCTATTTTGAGACATGTTCATTTCCAGTTCGGGCCGAACGAGGCATCGACGTCCCACTCTCCTTGCGGGAGTTCCGCATTGCCTCCGCTTTCCTGGAGCGGGGCCCGGGGGAGGTCGAAGCGAAAGAAGCGGAAGGATAGGGTAGACGGTACTAGTGGACGAAATGGGGGGGGAGGGAAATTCGGGGTAGACACGTTATATTTAAGGGTAGACGAAACAAGGAAGACTGTGCAGAACATCGGATGTCTGTGTAATTCCCTGCGTGTTTTTGGGCCATGCAAAATTAGGGGGCTTTTGGAGGATGTGCGAAGAAGAACGGAAAGGACACCTGAACCAATATTTGCGTCCAGTGCCCGAAACCATCGCTGGCTGTCAAGTTCATGAGTTTTGGACCGAAAAAGCAGTTCGCAAACTGCAGGTCTTGATGACATGCTGCGCTTGTGGTTCGAAGTCTGAGCTCAGCCTTTTTCAGCTCGGTTTTGCGCTGCTCGCCGGTCATCCCATGCAGGGACTGTACCCCTAAAGGATCATTCCCCCCACACATGTGGGTCTGTTTGTTGGGGGGTAACCTTTCTGGGTTTGGTTTCGAAAGGAAGCCCACCATTTCGGGGTCCAACCTCAAAAAAAGACACACCCATAATTTCTGGCCCGATCTTTTTTCCCTGCCTATTTTCCAGTTGAGAAGAGGAATCACGTGAGCGGGGGGGCTTAAACAATTCAACCCACGTTTTCAAGTATAGTTGCAGGTGGGGATGTCACTCGCTCGCATAGGGGTTGTTATGCTCTTTTTGCGAGGGGGTTCCTTCACGGCACATAGTGGGCCATTCTGAAGATGCACTACTTTGGTTTCCTTTTGGGTTTCTGGCTGCCCGGCAAAGCGACTCTATCTAATAAGCTTCATTCGTCGCTAAAATCGCCCCTGTTTTGGATTGGGGGGGGGTGGGCCTGGGGGCCCTGACAGCCGTTTTGGGTCATGATGTGCCTGTGCACCCTTGCTAGGAGCTCAGCCTCAGCGAGCGGGTGATCGGACTGCTCTACGAGGCCTTTGTCAGAAACCAAAAATGAGGGCAGTCGGGGTTGGATCCTGTGAACTTTTCATTTTTACCTGGTGGAAAGGATGTTCCCGAGTATTTTTTTTGGGAGCATGCCCCATCCTTGAATTGTAGAGACCTCTGAAAAGGGTGGTCACCAGCCATGCGCCTTGTGAAGCTTTCGTGGTTAGGGGGTCCACTTCTTTGGGGGAGGGGGGTCTCCTTGGATTCGACCAACAACAACTAGAGGTTTGGCGGTTCTACTGCTACTCCGTTTTGCCCTTGTTTGGGCAGCTCCCTTTAGATACCAACCAAAACGGGCTCTAAATGGATTGTTTTCTTGAGCCAGCAAAAGAGCCCTTAGGTCGTCACACGCCCGAGAAGCGCCTTTCAAAGGGTACTGGGTAGCATTGGCCAACCTGAGTTGCTTGCAGTTGGTTGCATGCCCATTGCTCATTGCAAGTGGTCAGGCCACCAATCGCCTGGTCGCATGCGCCAGACGGGGTGAGTTTTCACTTTGCTTCAAGCACGCCCGTGTCAGGTTTGCGCCGACACCACAGGCTGCGGTGGTGAGGCGGGGTCCGAGAGCAGAATTCAGAGATGAGATCACCAGGTCGTGACAGCTATGGCTGCTTCCCTAAATATTGCAAGAACACCGGCCACAAACCATGGTAGATTACAAGATTTCCTTATTTGCTCCCTTCGATGTTGGGGGAACCAGCCACATAACTTATAGCCATGTAGAGCAGCCGCAGTATTGCATTGGAGTTTGAACACACTTGTCAGCCATCAAAGCCGGGGTTGCGGATAAAGGGACAGTCCTAGCCATTGCGGCCACCCTTTTGATTGGTTGCACGGTTTCGAGTAGACTCCTTTAATGCCACAGGTGCTTCTGGACTAAGCCCTTCGGAGGTCGAGTCAACTCTTAATTTTGCTGGAGCAAGCCTAGACAAGCAATGCAGGCACGAAGCTGCCAGAGCAGCACAACAGGAATCATTTTTTCCCCAAGGCACCCTGTGCAAGGTTTGTTAAAAGGGAAGCAGAAAAGAACACCAGTTTGAGGTCCTATTTTGAGCGAGACCCAGTGGATAAGCTGCAGCTGAACGTTCCACTCTGCAGCGCGATAGTTTCAGTCACCCCGCAATCAAAAGGCAGCATAGTGAAGGCTAAAGGCGACAGTCCACTTGCCATCAATTGGTGCAGCAAAAACCGGCTTGTTCTTTATGGCCCCCTCAAAAAGGGTGGTTTTCCTTGGGTTCCTTTGAACCAAAGTGAAAAGGGTGCCCTCGAAACAATCACACCCACACACCCACACGCCGACAAATCCGCAAACCCACACCCGCACACCCTCCCACCGGCCCTCCCACCGGCCCACCCACCGGCCCACCCACCTACCCGCACACCCACCCGCACGCACGCACGCACACCCGGCAGTACGCGAAAAAAAAAAGAAAAAAGAGGACAAACGTGAGTGTTGGAGTTCTGCTGCCAGTGCACGGGTAGTACAACTGTCAACCAGGGCTTGTCCTCGCCCATTTTCGCACACCGATCTGAGCGTTGATCCCCCCCTCATTCAGAGACCATACATTTTCTGCCGGGGTTTGGAGGGCCCATTGTTTGAAGAGAAGCGGCCCCGAGTGTGGGAAAGGCCTGGCTAGAACTGTGGCCGACCGTTGGGGCAAAGGCGGCTGCTAGCATCTCGCTTATGGCGAGCGGCATGGGCAAATTGACTGGTGACCTAAAAAAAATGGTTTGATACCAGCCAGCCAGCCAGCCAGACAACCAACCAGGCATTTGCTACCCATGAAGGCTTCCATATTTCCGTCTCTCGTTTTTGCCTTGTACATAAGACCGTACCCAGATCAAGATCCAAGGCTCCACCGGCACCCCACTTCTGAATTGGCAACCGGGATGTGTGCGGATGCCAAAGCAAGCGATGTTTTGCCGCTTGGTCCCTGAGTTGGAATGATCCCAACCCACGGGTCCCCTTTACCCCAGGGACAAGTTCCACGAGAGCTCGCGCGGTGTGTCACGCTGTGTCTCCAATGTGGGACTCGGTGTGAGGATGTCCGAAACCCGATGCCTTGGCATGTCCAGAAATTTTCCTTGCGAGTTGCGCCAACTGATTCTTTATGGCGAGCCAGACACCCTCCTTCAATAATGGAATGGATGGCCCTTGGGAACATCGAATTTCACCGTCTTCCATCTCCAACCCCCCACCCCCGTTTGGTTTGATCTCCTTTTGCTTGAGGCAACGTTGTACAGCCTTCAGAAGGTGCTGAGCCGCACCTTGGCGTTAAACTTGCCGCCGGTTTGCGAGCTGAATTCAAGGAAGGTCTTGTACTTGGGGACTGGGGACCCGGATCTCTTCTTTCAGGTTTTGGAAAATCGACTCTGCAGTTGCAGACGAATCCCAGAAGGGGCACAGTTCTATGAGGGTATGATGGGCAACTGGGAGGTGGGTTGCATCGGTTTTCTTTAAGGCCAATGTTGACGTCGATATCCTTTTGGGGTATAACATGCTTTTAGGAAAACCAGTTGTTCTCTCCAAGCAGACATTTTGTTGGGTGTACTACGAATTCCCCTACGAGGCAAGGTTTTTCTGAGCAAGTCTGACTTTTGGACAGATGATTGGACCCCCCTCCATCATGTCGATGTGAGCAGTTCTTTTCCCACAGGTGGCAAAGCGGACAGCCCTACAGACACGAGCCGAAGTATGGTCTAGCATGGCATGTTGCTAGGTGGTGACCCGGCCTTTGAACCTGAAGATCTGTGCTGTTCTGACACAACGGTTGGGGACTTGTGCAAGCCTTAGCTAGCCACTGTTTGAGTACGCTCTCTAAAGGAGTCTTCTGTCATTGTCTGGAGCATTGAAGGGTTTCTAGATTCCGCGTCTAACACACCAACGCATCTTTGTTTCGCAATTGTTTGAGGCAGCATGTGCTCTTAGCGTCTCGCCCCCCTTGCAGTCAAGCCGGGGTCAGGTCGGATGTGCATTCACCTTCCTCTACAGGGCAATCAGCATGTTTGCAATTGGCTCAAGCATTTGGGAGCTCCGGAATGACGCTGGCTCACTTGTGGCTTGCCACTTGTTATTTAAGACATGGCATGGTCTTGCAGGTGTTTTTTTAAATCAGGCACACCCTTGTATGTTGTTTGCGGAACCAGCACAACGTCCCGTCATCAAGTCGAGCGTGTCATACTCAAGTCGAGGAGGTTGCCGTTTTTAGTGGACGTTCGGGGTCCTTTCGCACCGTTTTATTTAACGCGCACGGTCCCCGGATTCGCGTTTCCGGTTTCCTCTTGGCATGCCTAACTGGTTCCAAACAAGGGTGGCAAACGAACCCTGGTAACCACGGCTGGATTTTGCAAAAGCACCCTGGCACACGGACTTAATTAGCCTTCTCAACTTGGAAACAATCTTAGGGGTGAATTCCGAGTCATACAAAACAGGCGTCCAAATAGTCGAGACCTCGCCCGAACTCGGTCGGAGATTGAACATAGGGTAACCCCGCAAAAGGCGTTTGTTTTCCCTTGGTTCATTTCAAACCAACCTGAACAGGGTGCCAACTCCAAAACAACATCTTGAGAAACACCGAACTTCTGCAACATGTTGGCTGGTCTGTTTCTCGGGCTTCGCCCAAAGTAGACCAAACCGCTGGTGGGGACGGCTGGAGGTTTTGCCTCCGAGGCTATGGCGCGCGGGGCTGCGGCCAGTGGGGCCGCGCCGCGGAGTTGGCCGCTGGCCAGGCGGTCTTCGCGGCTCGCTACGTCTTTCCCGCCTTTTGGTGCCCGCGGTGTTTCTTGCTGGTGCGATAGGCGAAGAATGACCCTTCCGGGTGGTGGTTGAATGAACCGGTTTTGGTTGGATTCCCGAAAGGAAGCCATAGGATGGATGGTTTATAGGGGTCATTCCAACTTATTCCCTGCTGAGAACCAGCAAGTTTTTTCTTTTGGGGGGAGGTACCTGGGGGGTTGGAGAGAAAAACAAGGTGGGCTTACAGGAAAGCCGAAGGGAGAACTCCGGCATGTCGGCATTTGGGAGGTTCTCAAAAGGGATTGTGGAAAAGCCCCGTGTTGGCTTGGTTTTCAGGTTGAGACTCAAGCGACAACGAATATACCATTGTTTTTTTTTTTTGGGGGGGGGTCCAAAGGCCCCTTTCAACATCAGACTTGAGTCACCTTGTTGACTTTTTGCCCTTTTGGCTTTGGAGTCATTTCCCCTTTGAACCAGGTGAAAACTCTTTGCAGGTCGGCTGGTCAAAGTGCTCCAGCTGACTCTTGCATGAACCAAACAGTCCAACTGGGAAAACAACATGTGCACCCAAAGACAATGTTGACAGCCTTGCTCTGTATAGAGGTGTCCTTCCTTAAGATCAACCTTTTTGCATGGGGTCCGAATCTGACCAAGTATCAAGATCGTCTTGGAGCATTCCCCACAGAAATCAGGAGTCGGGAAATGTAGTCCCTTCCAGTCAACCAGAAATTCCGTAGTCAGGAAAAGAAGGGCCTTGCACATTTTGCCAAACACACTGCCGAATCTGCAGCCAAACTCCGGATTGTTGCAATCATGATTAACGGCTAGTCCAGTTCTCCTCCGCAATGCAGCCGCAGGTAGTCGCCAGACGTGTGGCATGGGTGTCCGGCATGACCACCATTTAATCACCGAAACTCTCGCAAGTTCCATGGCTTTCGCTTTTCTTCAGGGTGAGCAAACCTGCAACGAATCATGGAAAGCAGCCAAGTGCCAAGTGTCACCAGTGAACTGGTCAAGTGCTTTGTGACTGGTAAGATCCACTGAGGAAAAAAAAACGGTTTCCGCTGTTTTTCGTGGCTAGGCGATTTCAAGGTGTGAAAAAGGTCGTTGCTGGCCCTTGCGGCCAGCTGCGCTACAACCCCAGCCTGCCGCGCACGGCCACGGCCTCGTCGGACGAGGCCAGCGGGCCAGCGGGGGGTTCCTTTGACCCGTCGCATGTCTACATGTGGGAGTGGGCTTGGAGGGTACCCTGTTCACTTTGGTTCAATCGGAAGCCAAAAGGGTCCAACACTCTTGGTTATGTCCTTTTCCTGGTCATCAGTCGGATTGCAGAGCACCAGTCGGGTTGCCAGCCATTTAATTTGTTTCCGTAGCAATTCAGTTGGTTTAGTGGTAGTTATTCCATTTAACCCACTGGAATATTCACTCTGAGCAGAAATCAGCCCCGCTTGGTTTCCTCAGTCGAACCCTTCTCGATACACCCCGCCCAGCCCACCAGCCCAACCCACGCCGGCCGCAGGCCTCGAAGGTGACGCACACTGCCACAGCGCCGCGCCCGGAGAGACCTGACATGGCGATCTGGAACCCAAAGGGGAGACCCCGAAAGGAGTCACCTCCACACAAGTTCCGTGTTGGGTGAGTACCTCTTGGTCTCTTTTATTTTGTTGTCTTCATGTTGTGTCCTTCTTGCGTTGTGTTGTTTCGTTGCTCTTTTTGCCCTTTGTCTCTTTATTCTGGCTTGTTGCCCCTCTCTGCGCCTTTTTTCATCTCTGCTGGCCCTGTTTGTCTGCCTGTCAGCCATTTCGTCAGTCTTGCTTGCCTGCCTTTGTCTTTGTTCGTGTTGCTCGCGTTATTTGATATCTTGCGTGATGCTTCGTTCTTTTTCAGTTCCTGGTCTTGCAGACTTTGCTTGGTTTGGGCTTCGGTTGATCTGCTCCCTGCGCAATGCCCCTTCCTGCCAGGGTAGCGGGGGTCAGGCTGAAGGGCTGACCATGGTGTCCAAGTTCGAGGCTCCTACTTGGTTTGCTTTTTGGCTTCAATATGGGTATGTATGCTTTTTTTGGGGGGGATTCCCTTTTTGGGGCTGCTTAAAACACTAAAGGGAAACCACACTTTTGGAAGGGCCTCGACAACTAAACTCGCTTCCCATTCCACCGGGATGCCCCGGGCAAAGAAAGTCGCAGGCCCCGACCAAAGGATTTGGTTTGCGATGGTTTTTTCTCCAAAGGCTCCTTACTTGGTGTTGACGCCAGGGTCCAAAAGGCGCAACAGGGTTAGACTTTGGCAACTTCTGGCCTTTTTCACAACCGACTGGAGCTATCTTCGTCGACTTTTCCTGGTACGCATGCAGAGTGGCTTTGCTTATTGTGCTATTGATGGAAAGTCTAACCCAAAACACTCTCTTCCACCACCTTATTCAGGAACAGCCAGCTGTTTCGAGTTATTTGGATGGTATCCCTTCATGGTGCAGCATCTAGTCAATCGGAAACATCGGCCTCTTTCCAACAGGCATTGGACTGACAAGAGAGTTTGAAAGACTACCATTATTTGGCCAAGACAACTCCTGTCCAGTTCCAAGATAGTTGGAATGCGGGTACTGCTTTCATGCTCAGAATCGTCAAGTTCCGCAACAGCCCGTTGGAGGGAGCGTACGACTTCTCGCCATTTTGTTGGTTGTATTTGCTCGTACCATCAAAACTCAGGTCCGTGTCAAATCGCCGTGGGGTTCCTTGAAAGGAGGGCCTGCACCGGGCACTGTTGTCATTACGCGTGTGGCGTGGTGCCTTAGTAGGTTTTGTGTCCAAAGTGACCCACCAGTTTGGGCTGGGTTCGAGGGCTACTCCTTTGAGTCTCCAATCCTGAAAGGATATGCGTCTAGAGTTAATGCTTGTGTGGGTTCCTTGTTGATCTGCAGGAGACTAAAAAGTAAAGATGAACCTCATCGCTGTGTTTGAGGGGACAACCCATTTGAGAATTAATTATCAATAATCAACTGTTGCAAAGCCAATGGCATGGTCTTTAATTGCCAAATCACCACCAGTAAAATCACCAAGTTCACACGCTGATGGGGTTGCGCAAGATTGAGTGGTGAGGTGAGGGTGCGTCTGTGTGTCTGTGTGTCTGTGGGTTTGTCTCAAAATAGGAAACGCCCCCAAAATGGGTGGCGTCCTTATGCTTTCCTTTTCAATTCGAGCCAAACATGGACCCCTCAGACCTGACACACCAACGTCATAGGTGTCCTTTTAGGTTAGTTTGTTAAAAGATAAATGGGTTCCACTGGTTTAGATTGGCTTCATTCCATGTACCAGGCAACCCCATCGATTTGTCCAAAAGGTCGCCTATGACCAATCATTTCTGCATCCGAGCGCCTCGTTCATTCGTCTGAGATGGCTGGCCGGCGAATGTCTGGAGTGCTGCAGAGCAAGGCCGGCGCCACACGCCCCTGGAGGAGTCATACAGAAAACAGGCGAACCCCTGAAGACGGCTGGGAACCCCAGCCATCCAGTTCCTTGGGTCTTTTCGCATTTCAGGGCTTAGTGGTTTCCATTTGACCCACAAGTGAAACTTTAGGGATCTGAGGACAGCCCAGACTTGGGCTGCGGGGTTCCAAAATGGACGGTTTGTCTTAAGTCTTTTAGTTCGGGCGGGGCAGAGGTTCAACAGGAAGACTGAATGCCTGAATTTGTTAAGCACCAATCCGGCTGATTCCTAAATATGCACTGCAACTTCCCCCACAAGAATCACATGGCACCTCAAAAGGAGATTCCTCTAAACATGTTTATTTTTTTCTGTCGGGTTCAGTGTTAATCTAGCTCTTACTTCGGGCTTGGCTGAAGTTGGCTCAGCTTTGGCAGGGCTCCTTAAAAGATACATTTTGCCCATTTGAAACATGTCTTTTTCCATCAAAATAAAGGGACACCACCATTTACGAGGCAATGTTCAGGTGTATAATGTAAGGATCCCTGTTTGGGCTGCTAGGTTTAGGGCTGGTGTTCAGCGCTGTTCAGGGTTGCTGTAGGCAAACAAATGAAACAAGTAATATTTGTGCATTCCATCCGTTTGTTTGTTTTGTGGCTATGTCAGGCTCAGCCTTTCTTATCCGCAATACCTCCCTCACTCTATGTCTATTTCTAGTTCCAGTGTTCGTTTTAGTCGTGGTAACAGACTGTGATTTCAAGCTTGATCTATCTGATCTATCTATCTACCTACCTATCTATCTATCCATCCATCTATCTATCTGTTTATCTATGTACCTATCTTTTTATCTGTCTATGTCTCTATCCATCTATCTATCCATTCACCTATCTATCTATCTATCTATCTATCTAATCTAATCTAATCTAGTCTAGTCTAATCTAATCTAATATATCTATCTAATCTATCTATCTATCTTATCTTATCTTATCTTATCTTATCTTATCTTATCTTATCTTATCTTATCTTATCTTATCTTATCTTATCTTATCTTATCTTATCTTATCCTATCCTATCCTATCCTATCCTATCCTATCCTATCCTATCCTATCCTATCGTATCCTATCCTATCCTATCCTATCCTATCCTATCCTATCCTATCCTATCCTATCCTATCCTATCCTATCCTATCCTATCCTATCCTATCCTATCCTATCTATCTATCTGTCTGTCTATCTATCTATCTATCTATCTATCTATCTATCTATCTATCTATCTAATCTATCTAATCTATCTAATCGATCTAATCTATCTAATCTATCTAATCTATCTAATCTAATCTATCTATCTATCTATCTATCTATCTATCTAATTAATCTAATCTATCTATCTATCTATCTATCTATCTATCTATCTATCTATCTATCTATCTATCTATCTCTCTTATCTGTCTATCTCATCTATCTATCTATCTATCTATCTATCTATCTATCTGTATATCTCTCTTATCTGTCTATCTCATCTATCTATCTATCTATCTATCTATCTATCTATCTATCTATCTATCTATCTATCTATCTATCTATCTACCTACCTACCTACCTACCTACCTACCTACCTACCTAATCTATCTATCTATCTATCTATCTATCTATCTATCTATCTATCTATCTATCTATCTATCTATCTATCTATCTATCTATCTATGTAATCTATCTATGTAATCTATCTATCTATCTATCTATCTATCTATCTATGTATCTATCTATCTATCTATCTATCTATCTATCTATCTATCTATCTATCTATCTATCTATCTATCTATCTACTCTATCTGTCTATCCATCTAATCTAATCTAATCTAATATACATCTAATCTATTCTAATCTAGCTCTACTCTACTCTACTCTACTCTACTCTACTCTACTCTACTCTACTCTACTCTACTCTACTCTACTCTACTCTACTCTACTCTACTCTACTCTATCTATCTATCTATCTATCTATCTATCTATCTATGTCATTAATCATCTCTTCTTCTCTCATCTTATCACATTTTATCTCATCCTATCTCATACTACCTCATTTGCTCTTATCTTATCTCAGAATATACTCTCAGCTCATATCATATCTTGTCTATCAACCGTATCTTATATTTTGATGTATTATATTATCTATCTGTCTATCTATCTATCTACCTATCCTATTTTAAGTTAGATTAGCTTATATTATGTTGTATTATGTATCTTCTCTTGTCTTATTTATCTGTCTAGTTTATCTCATCTTATCCTATCTATCTGTCCGTCTGTTTATTTATCCTATCGTCTCATTTTATCTCGTCTTTTCTCGTCTTATCTTATCTTATCTTCTCTCTTCTTATCCATCCATCCATCCATCCATCCATCCATCCATCCAGGCAGCCAGCCAGCCAGCCAGCCAGCCAGCCAGCCAGCCAGCCAGCCAGCCAGCCAGCCAGCCAGCCAGCCAGCCAGCCAGCCAGCCATGATTCCATCCATCCATCCATCCATACGGCCATCCATCCATCCATCCATCCATCCATGCATCCATCCATACAAAGGGCGCCTAGAAGGACGGTCCGATTTGCACGTGGTTACCTATCGAATGCCCAGCTTCGATGCACAGGTAGCACAGATGCAGCTGGCGCTGGAGCTGCAGGGTGAGGCAGCGCGGGACCCGTTGCGCAGGCGCTTTCGGGGGCTCCTAAAACACAAGTGAGCCACTTGCTCAAAACCGATTCGGGTAGATGAAGATTAGGAAGGGACAATCCCAACCATAGCTGCGGCCGCCTGCTGAATTCTTTACATGGTTCTGGGCTTGGACCATTTTAACACCGGGTTTTGATTATGACTCAAGTCAAGTGAGCCAAAATCAATTTACCCTACGACCATGGAGGTGCGACGGATGCCAACTTGTTATTGAAAGTAGGGGAAGGGAGCACAGACGCGTACCTGCATGTTTTGGGTCTGGTTGGAGGTTGGTTCACTTTCCAAGAAAAATCCCAGCGAATCCGAGTGCTCGAAAGCTGCTTGTTGTGCAGTTTAGGGGTGTTCCAGATCCGCACTCAAATTCGAGAAGAGCAGGGGGAGGGAATGAAAACAAGATTATTTTTCTCTGCGGATCAACATGGCCGTGGTATTTTTCACCCTTTTCAGGTTGCTTAAAAGGACAACCAAAAGCAAAGAGAGGCTAACGCCTTGAGGCAGTTTTGAAATCTCGTTTCTTTTCTATGCCGAATTCATAAAGATACCAAGGTAAAGAGAAGAATGGCGTGACCTAAAATAGTGCACCTGGCCTTCAAATTGCATCACACCTGCGAAATGTGGGGTTAACGCACTGTTTTGAGTGCGCGAATATAAGGGATGTAGTGGCATCCGATGCCTGGCGAAAGATCTTGCCCGGGAAAGATCTGCCAGGAAATGGGCCAATCTGAAAATCACACAAAAGCACGGGAGGAAAACCAAATAACCTGTGTGTTTTTGCAATCCCCCAGACAAAAGGCAATGGGCATGACCAAGACATTTCCCTCACGTTTTTTTGTGGTTTTCTTCAAGTTTTTGTTTGTTTGTGCAAATGGGGACTTTGTAGTAGGATGCCATTCAGGCTTTTTTGTTGTTGGTTTTGCAAAACATGGGCCTTAACAGGATTGCTCAGAAGTCAGGCACTTGAGGAATTGTTTGTCTTCAGATTCCTCACAAATTGTTTGGTTTAGTATATGTGATGTTTTTTGAGCTAAACCACACGTGTGGGAACACCACTCAGAGCATTGGTTTCTGAAAGCAAAACCACCATTTTGCGTCCCGCTGTTTGACACATCCCACCATGCTTTTAGCAGGGAATGAAGCCTGGTTCTGGGGGAAACTTCATGGACCACACATCCGAAACAACGGGAGTCGCCAAGCTATGTATGGGGTACACGGATGCAAAAATAACAGTTGTTTGGTGGTAAATTAGGGTTGTTGACGGACTTGTACGTAGCACATCGATTATTTTCCTATCTGGCAGAAGGTATAGAGCTGTTCGTACCGACGCCAGGGAAAAGCGCGTCTCTTGGATCCTACTTACGTACCGCAAACGTGACATACCCCAAAATAAGTTGTCATAGATGGCGTTTACAGGGACAGTCCAGGGTACGCCAAGAGATCATCCTTAAAGACTTGTAGGTGGGCAATGCTCCTTGGTTAGTGCCCCCCCCGGTACCTCATCAGGGGTCCTGGTGTTTTTCTGGAAGAAAGGAATCCAAACACTAAACAGGAACCCCCCCTGATTAATATGTGGGGGGTCTATTCATCTTGGCGGTTCCCCGCCACCCGATTCCTCAGGTTTTAGCTTTTTAGTTGGTTTAGTGCTAGTTTCCATTTGACTGTAACTTCGAGTTAATTATGCACTTTGAGCAGGGGATCTGAAAACGGACAGCTCAGTTCATCAGGGGTGAACACGACGTGCCTCAAGACCCGGCAAGCTGAGGCAGTGCCCACTACTCCGCCCCGGCCGACGCCCATGGTGTGCCGGGCACCGAGGGTCGAATCTGCGCCGGAAGTGGAGAAACTAGCCCCAAAGCAGGGGGACCAAAAAGGGGGGGTATGCAATATGTAGACGCTAAACTGAGTGTATATACTCCAAGTGAGTTGTTCCCCTCTGTGCAGTCCCATGTTGGGTATTCCCAGAATGCGGGACCCCATATATCTTGCATTTTTGTTGGGCGGAGCCTTTGGGTGCCGGGGGGACATTCAAAATGTGCAGCCCTGTTTTAGGCCTGATTTGCCACGATGCTATCATTAATTCTTCTGCTTCTTATGTCTTGCTTAGTTTAGTTCTAGGTTTCTAGCGGCCAAAGAATCTAGTTTGTTTTTGTGCGCAGCGACCAGATTGAGAAGCGATTGTCGTTGCTTGTCTGGCGCTTCTCCCCAGCTTCACCATGAGTCACTGGCCATGGTCGCACTTTCCCCGCGTGGAACATGTGTAAGCTGTAAAATGTCTTGAATCCGGCGCACGTGGCTTGTGGCTTGCCTCCTAGGAACTCCAGACCTGCAGATCGCCCATCTACCACAAAAACCTCCCTTGCCGGACCCTAGAAGTCCGGATAACACCCCATTCTTGTTGGTCTTCAGGGGAAACCAAAAGGAAAGCCTTTGCGCCAGGTTGAGAGGTCCAGCCTTGAAAACGGCATACCCAGATGGCTCCATGAAACCGAGGGTTCGACTTTTGCTCAAGGCTTGATCCCTTGCTGCGAAAGTCGGGAAAGGGCTGTTTGGGGTGCCACGTGTGCTCGGTGGTCCCTGTAAAAAAGAAGAAGAAGCGATTTCAAGCTGCGAACGGCTGGATGTATAGGAACGAACCCCTAGAATGAACCCAGCTGGGCTGGACTCCCTTTTCGGGTAGACCATCTTAGAGGCCAAACAGTTTGGGTACTCGTGAGTAGATGCCCTTACCAGTCTCAGACTCCGAGAATCGAGGCGGGTCTTGGTAAATCCCTTGACTCTACAGAGTCAGGGACGTCCCATTCGAATTCACACTTGAGGTCCCAGATGCCTGAAGGCAGACCTGCCGACCTTCCCCTACGTCTCAGCCGCGCCCTCAGATCTCAGCAACCCGCGTGTTGCAAAAATGTCAGGCCTTGCCCCGAAAACCGAGTCTGCAAATGAAGTAGAAATGCTTGGTGCCCCCCCCCCCCTTGGCAAACAAATAGCATGTATAAAGTCTGGTTCATTGAAACAATATCAGTCCGCCCGCTCCCCCCTCAAAAAAAAGCACACAAGAAGAAGAAACCATGTAGGAGTCTGCCTTCTCGGCAAACATGTGTGCCGAGAAAAAGCAAAAAGAAAAGGAAGAAGAAGAAGAAGAAGAAGAAGAAGAAGAAGAAGAAGAAGAACAAGAAAAACGACAACCCCCACCCCTCGCAAAAAGTCGAGTGTAGAAGTCTGCCTTGTTGCAAAACAATCCTCCCCGGCAATGAATTTGATGAATTTGTGAGGAATCTCCCTTTAGGACCCCCCCTAAAATGGGTTCCATTTTAATTTGCGAAGTTCGAACCCAAGGAGCCAGACGACCACCTTCCTTTTGGCATTGTTTCAGGGGGCCCTGGTTTTCCCACCTCAAGCCTGTCTTGGACCTCCATCTTACCTCTTGCCTTTTCTGCTTCATCCATTGATCTCTCTCCCTTTCTCTCGCTCTCTCTCTCTCTCTCTCTCTCTCTCTCCCTCGCTCTCTCTTTCTCTCTCTCTCTCTCTCGCTCTCTCTTTGTCTCTTCTCGCCTCTTCCCCGCACCGCTCTTCTCTACATCTCTCGCTCAGCGCACGTTTTGCAGGTTGGGGAGTTGCTGCGGAGCCATACGGAAGCAGAAGGCTCGACCTTAAACCAGGCTGTGGTCCAAACCAGTTTGGGGGTGGGGTATTTTTGTCGGCCTTTCAAAGGGAAAGCAAACAAAAAGCCATTCTCAAAAGAAACAAGAGGGACACTTGCTTGTTTTTTGAAGAGTCTTGAATTGCCCACTTGTCCACCCGCAAGCTGCGAAAAAAAGCAGAAGTCGTGTAGTTTGGTGTATCTTGGCATAACTGGCTGGTTTTTGGGGACTCATTGCAAAGGGGTTATCTCACAACACGCCTCCCGACCCGAGACATGCAGTGTTCACATAGTGCCCGGAGCTGGCGGAGCGGTCCGACGGACGTGCCATTGACAAAGAGACATTGGTGTGCAGCAATTGAAACGGCTGGTGGATGTTAGACCAGCGCTAAGGAGCAAACGCATGTGTATATCCACATGTGTACATATGTATATATATATATATATACAAGATATATATATATATATGTATACACAGTATATATATATATACAGTATATATATATAGAGACATACGCCTATATATATATATATACAGTATACGAGGTTTGGTCAACATATCCAGAAATCCATAGTCCACTTGGCAAGGACAGCGGAGTCTCTAGATTTCCCATAAAAAAAGAAGAGCATGCTCTCTGTTTTTAGGGGGACTCCCAAAATATGTGATTCTCCTTTTGGCACCTACCAAAAATGGGACCTCAACAAACAGACAGACCCCTATTTCTCGAGTTTGTTTCCTTCTTTCCAGTTGACTTTTAAAAAGCGCAATCCAAATTCAAAAGCCCAGCGAACATTGCAAGAACTCGCTTCTCAACATTGTCGGAATCCCGAAATGGTGGTTGGTTTCCTCTTGGTTTCCCCCCCCCAAAATTATCCAAACGGGGCGGGCCCCAGTTTGAGGAATACCCAAATGGGCGGTACCCAAATGACCATAGTAGATGGTTATACTAGCTGGTGCAATAGTGGTAGCAACACCTATAGGAAGCTTCATAGCCGTCTTGGAGCCAAAAGTCAATGGGGTGAAACGCGCGCTGATCAAATGAGTCTTTGTCGCGCTTTGCTTGTGGCTATCTTGTCACCGGCAAGGTATGGACGACCGCAGCCCCGCCAGCAGCACCGAGAGCCGCGGCCACGAAGGCGTTTTGTTTTTTGGCGTGCCGCCGTTTGTCCGGCTCCGAACGGCTTCAATTCAGGTTGCCCTGAATTGGTGGTTTGGATTGGTGGTTTGGATTTGAAGCCTGAATCCACTGGTTCCTGCTGGTCCCGAGCCTCAACGGGCTCCAAATGACGGAAGCTGATTTAGCCGGGGGTTGGGCCAGGAACTTGAGGTTTACTCAACTTGAGCTTCCTCGGACGAGTCGTTTGTGGGGGTGCCAAGCACCGGATTTTCCCAGAGGTCACCGGTGCTTGACCCGGAGGGATGCGGCTACCAACGACTTCCCCCCTGCACCAGGATTCTAAGACCATGGACCGCGGATGCCACTTTCATGGATTCTGGCCCTGAGGAAGGAGCACTTTTCCCGTTTGGGGTTGAAATTGGTTTCAGACCATCTAAGTTGCCGGACACACCGTTTGACCAACTATTACACTTCGGGGTTTGCATTTTCCCTACCAAAGAGTTACGACTTTTTGCAGTCGAAGTCTGGCCAAGGAGTGGAAGTGTGTCGGCAATCCGCTCACACATGAGCGTTGATAAGAAGGGGGAACGACAATGAGCAAGAATCGCCCTCGTTTTGCCTGGTGGTTCAAGAATCTCGGGCGAGTTACTGTAGTGCCAAGGATCCAGAAAGTTTGTGGGTACGCGCCAGTCGCGAGGCGACTCTGTGCAGGATGAGCACCAGGCAGGGGCGTTCTCAAACTCGCGGGTCGTGCCTTAAAGGAGCCTTAGGCAGGCCACTACACTGGGTGCTAAACAGCCCGCAATTTGAGCTTCTGCCCACAAGAAAGTTAAAGGGGGTGGGTGTTTTTTTCTCATTTCTTTTTCGGACCCTAGGCCTATTTAACACCCTGTACTCATTAAACATTATAAAGGGGCATTGTGCGTAGTAGCCTGGTTAGCACACTTACCACGGTTGTAAGTCTCCTAAGTGGGTTATAACCAGGCTTACTAACCACTTTCTAAGTACCCTGCCCCTGTAAGCATAGTAGGTGAATGGTTGCTTTTTGTTATATGGTGGGGCAGTCTGGTTACACGTGTTTTTTTTTTTTTTTTTTTTCTGGTTGCCCGCTAAAAGCTAAATTAGCCACTTGAGCATGTTGCCTCTTTGTTTATGGACGTTGCCCCCCTCCTTAGACTTGCCCCACCCCGAAGTTGAGTCCACCTTGTTTGGTCCCCAATTTAGATTTGCAGGTGGCCCACCGTGGTGTAAAGGGAAACTAGCAAAAGAACCGATCCCTACTTTGACATCAACTAAAGCAGGGGTCGCCAAATATGGGGTGGTTTCCTTCTGGTTTCCCGCAACCAAGGGGTCCGAAATCATTGAGCCTCCATGCGACGGACAACTCTCTGATTTCCCCCCCCGCTCTGTGCTTCCCAAAGGAAAGCTTCTAGGTGGGGACCCCCCAAATTGGTTGCTGTACCTTTTTCCAGTAGCAAAAAAGAAGCATCCCAAAGGGGTTTCTAGATTTGCGTGCGTTTACTGTTGAATCAAAACTCCCTTTTGGTGAAAAACAGGAAATTGCCACGTCTGACAAATCTTCTTTCTGTGGCATGTGAAGCAAATGGAAGGAGATGGAATGAAACCAGAATGCCTCCTTAGCTCCAGAGTGTTCTCAACACGTTGGACCCTGGTCGGTTGGTCGGTCGGTCGGTCAGTCGGTTGGTTGCTTGGTTGGTTTGGTTTGGTGGTCGGTTGTTTCAATGAAAACGACAGGAAACCAACCATGTTAGCCAATAAACCCCTTTTTGAAGAACCCCCGCCTAGGGAATGAAATGCTCTGGTCTTTTGGGGGGCAACCGCTTCGGCAATGTCTCCAAAGAAGACCGTGGGTGGAGAACGAGAGGGGTGCGATCCACTTCGTTTCTCGCCCACGGAAACAGCAACCTGCGGCGCCAGTCAGCAGAGTCAGCAGCCGAAGGTCGCGCCAACAAAGACGGCCAGTGAGTTGCACGCGCCTGACGCTCTCTCGGTTGCGGGATATGACACTCAGGCGAAGCGCCAAGGGCTCGCCTCCAAGTTGGCAAGGAGTCCTTCCTGCCTTTACAAGGGAGTCGATGGGAGCAGTTGGGAAGCAGCCAGGAGTACCTCCTTGCTGTGAGTCTTATGGTGGTTCCAGGGAATGGAATCACGGGGTTTGCTGTTGGATTCCTTCTGCTGGGCATTCCCCACCTTGATTCTAGTTGTCACTGCTCCTGGAAGTCCATGTCCTTTTAACACGGACCACATGGTGGGTTCCATGTTAGTGTACAGCAGGGTACCTTTTTTTAATGGGGGAGCTAGCGGACATTGCCCATGAAGGTTCCATATCCCATGAGACACTCGCAACGGCCATTTGATGGGGAACCTCTCAAGAATTCATGCAAATACATTTCTATGCGGGTTTGTGTCTTTTTCCGAGGCTACAGGTTGGCTTTAAACTGAAACCTAGAGGACAGCCAAACTCCAATTTGGGGGGGGTGGCCTTAGTTTGAGACGTATCCATGTAGGTGATATCCGCTTAAAGGTCGCAATTCCACCCATGTACAGGGAGCCCTGTTGATCCGTTTACCAGGCTGCTCTTTGTTTTTCTTGTTTTGATGCTCATGTCATTTGGGTTTAAAGGGGAATTACAAGGAAAGCCGCATTTGTGGTGGGTCCCCTACTGTGGCTGGACGAAATTCTGCATAGCTTTGAAGCCATGGGACACCATTGTTCGTTGGTATTTACAGCCTAATCATCATTCCGTTGGGTTTCTTAGGTGGTGCGAAAGGGATTTCGTCCCTCCACACGTATTCTCACACATCAGTTGCTAGGTCCCCCAGTAGTGCCCTTTTACCCTTTTTTGCGGGGGGTTCCCCTACAAAAATCGACCACAGGAAAAAGTTGGTACCCTTCTTCTAACCTCTCTACTGGAGGACCTAGGTTGGGTGCAAGTCAGAAGTCTCCTGCAAGGCAGCGCAGGAGCTGGGCGAGGACGTCATCCTCTCCTGGGCCACCGGCGTACCTGGGCGAGACCGTATGGGTGCTGTGCTTGTTTTCTTTGGCCAAGGGTTACAATTAGTTGGCTTTTTTTTTGTCTTTCCCCGTGGGTTGTTATTAGTTGTAAGCAGTTTGAGGTCACCCACCAACTTGGGTGTTGTTTTGAGCCCTTTTCGGGCTTGATTTTAGGTTGAAACCAAAGAGACAATTCATTTTACACTCCGGAGTGACATGGAACCCAAAAAGCCCTCATTGGGGGTTTCTCTCAAAATAGCAATCCCTGAAACGGTTGATTTCCTTTTGGTGTCCTATAAATACCAACCCAAAAGGGTCCACCCTTTTCAGAACATAAGAATCTTCTTTGGGCATTGGACGTCTGGGCGTCTGGGAAGACGAAAGCTTTCCTTTTACCACTTCCACGGTTGGAAGGAGGGCAAAAGGCTGTTTCGGCAATAACCCAACTTACAACTTTTTGCTCAACTGAAAGCAGACAAAAGGGGTTTGGCTTGGTCAGCAGATGACCAAAGCAAGTCTGGGTGGACGCTTGGAAACTGGTTTCATGTTGGGTTTCGATGGGCCAAGGACCAGGATCCTGCGAACGAACCCCCACCCCCCGAAAATGAGGGCTACTAGGCAACTAGGGTCTATCTAGGACATGAACATGGCAAGCAAGGGGCCAAAAGTTGCCCAGTGGATCCTATAGTACCAGCCGTTTTGTGTTTGGTTTTTAAAGGCTGGGTCCCTTGGTTTCTTGCAGGGAAGTGGAATCACTGGGTAGGACATCCAATCTCATTTGGATTAGGCCGACAAGTGCATATTGTGAAGTTACCCTTATAGGAATGGCCCTTTTCGGCATCACAGAAAGGTATGGAAAATACTTTTGCGTGCGGGCTACCTAGGGAGTAGGGCTCACTGATCAAATCATCACTTCGGCCAGCGGTCTCCTTGCAATATCCGCCATTTGATCAATCATACTCCCCTGCAACTCATGGAACCCTGAAAACATTCGTAGAGGAAGCTCGCCTGTTGGGGGAGCCCCCCTTTTGGGTTCCATGTGAACTTGTAGGGGAGTAATCAGTCAAATCAATCGGCTACTGTCGACCCATGAGCAAGATCCTTGGGGGTTTCCCCAAAAAAGTGCTCTGGATTGTCCCCCCCCCCACACAAGCTTATCAATCTCGTTTTCCCTTTATGAGTCTTAACTGGAAATGAGCGGACATTCATAGAAACCAGCTACAGGAAGTACGCAACACGAAACTGGCCAAGCACCCACCCAAAGTTGTTTGGGTGGCCAGCCATGCAGACTCCCTCTGGCACCCATAGGGTCACAGGCAAACTCAAAGGGAAACGCAGGAAAACAGCAAGTTTTCTTTCGGCATGTTCCCTTTCAGAAACTCCTAAAGATTAGCAGAACACTGCTGTATTGCTAGCACATCACCAGTTTCACAGCTGGCATCTCCAAGCATTCAGGTTTGTATTGCTACAACATGAACGGCTTCGCAGCTGGACTCGCGTGAATTATGAGCATCGCATACACAATCAAATGCGTAAACCACACTGCACACTGTCAATTTCTCGCGCTCAGACAAATTCAGTGGCACGTCTGGGCTCAGGCTTCTTTTTTTTTTGGTAGATCCGTTGGGGAAGCAGGTTTCTTGGAGGCAGAAACAAATACTTTTTTCAGGTGCTCACGGACGGCGTGGTTCTGTGCAAGGACGAGCCCGGCGCTCGAAGTGAGGAATCAAGTCCATAAGGTCAATATGGACCCGGCAGGTTCCCTGAGAATCCTGTCCAGCCTTCAAGATGAAGCAGGCGGTATTGTTTACCCCTGGTTAAGCACCCCCCCCGGGGTTTGATCAGTCAACATTCTTGGGCTCCTTTCCGCGATATGTCAAGTTGAGCCCTTTCCCCACCCACAAGTGACGCTCAATGTCCGTTGTGCGTGAAACGCACTTTTGTGAAAGGGCTTGGGGGCTCAAAGACGCCGGTTGCTTGTGGAGGTATGATGGATGCAGAGGTCTGGTGAGCAAATATGTGAGTTGAGAGAAATGTTGACCCCCAATGAATAAACCCGTCCTATTAATAGGGGGTGATCCCCTCCAGAACTGATGAATTCCCACTACACCCAGAGACACGCCCCTGTTAATAGGGCGGGTTTATGAATCCAGGGTCGACATTATTGTGCTGTACCTGCACGGTTCAGGCTCAACTTGAGGCATCCCACTAAAGACATCCAACAGGTTGCGCCATCCACCACGGTTTCACATACCTTCAAGCATGTATAGATGTACTTGCCCTGGCGCACCTCATATGTATAGATTGGGCTGTTCACAGTCAATCCTTAGTTTTTGTGCCCCGTGGCAGTGGTTCCCCTTGTTGTAGAGGTGTGGGATCGCCCCATTTTGAACAACCCAAATAGACGCCTGCAAACACAGAGTACACACGCGTGTGTACCTATATGTACACACACAGCACATACATATATATATATATATATGTATAGTTGTATGTATGTTTTATTTGTCTTTGTATACGTGCATTTACACACACACACACACTGCCAAGTTTCCGTGTCCACTTCTGGCTCCTGTGCCTTCCCAGGCGAGGCGACTACTTCCGCTGGCCGGGCGGCGCAGTTGCCTTGTGTTTGGATCCAGGGCCAAGTCTGTTCGGGGCCCATCGTGTAACCCCTAATTGGCTTGCTCGTGCCAGCAGGGAATGAGGGAATGCACCCGATAAACCACCCCTCGTGGTTTCTTTTAGGGGGACCATTCCCACATGTCCTACTGAGCACCAGCAAGTAAGTTTGGATTGGGGGTTTGGCGACATGAATCCCTGTTCTTGTAGAAGGTAAATGGGAAACCACCTTGACCTCCAAACCGCCATAGCCACTATGGCAAGTTTGTGCTTTCGAACAGGTTTAAGCGAGGGCCTGCCTAGGAGATCCCTATTCACTTTTGATGACGACCATCATGTTTTTCGGCCCATTTAACTTTCCCTTTGTAGAGGTGATGGGTCAAGCCCCGTTGGCCTCACCCTGTCTCCGGGTCCCCTTTGTGATGGGAGCCTGGGAATTGGGGCCCTTTTTGGGACCCCTTTCGGAATGGTTCCGCAGGAATGTTTGTTATTCCTGCTTCTTTGGTTCGGGGGAGTGGGGGGGCAAACCTCACTTGTTGGGGTCATGCTAAAACGAGCTTCCTGTTGTGATGCTTCTTTTGCAGTCATGGGCCCCGATGTTTTGCAAGCCGGTCTTGCTTTGGGACCGTTTTCGTCACGGGTCACCTGATCTTTTTGCTGCGCCTAGTAGAGCCAACTCAGATTTGTGGAGTCACGGGGCGGGGTTCCGTAACCCCGAAGACTTTTGCACCGGCCACGCTGTGTATGGTTTTCCGATGTGGAAACAGTGGTATATATCCCCCGGCTTGTCCTTTGTGGGTGTCGGTCTCCTGGATGTGCCTCAAATTTTGGGACCCCTCCAACAATTAAACAAATAGGGGTTTGCCTTTGGTTTCTCCTTTAAAGTAGATCCAAACAAGGCACCCTGAACAAAAAGACACATCCTCTTGGTTCCATCTGATAGTCTCAGGTTGGCCCGCATCGTGCTATACGATATGCTGGACGAGGATGCCTTGCAGGCACTCAATTTCCAAGTACTTTGAGGGTGGCTGTGACCATCTAAGGCCCTTCTTCTGGTTTGACCGGGAGCTGCCTCGAAACCGCCATTTTGAGGGGTCCCCTTATTTCGAGACGTACGGATCTCAAGTCGTTTGAGATCCGTGCAAGGCAGGCGAAAGCTTTGATCCCTAGAGCGACCGTAGGCTCACTCGACCTTTTGGTTTTCCTATGTTGGCCTGCTTTTAGCAGCAGATCCGGGTCCCCGGTTTCTGGTAGCAATCTTTGGTTTGGGAAAAAGCACAGGACTCGAGTTATAGGGGAAGTGTTTAGTGGCCACGAAACTCAGAGTTGCTTCCATTTGCTGAAACGAAAGTGTTTTTGTATTTTCCCCTGGTGGTTTTCAAGGGAGTCGATTTCACTACTCGAAATATTCTCACTTTTTCCAGGCGAAAAAGCAAATGAAAGGTTATGAGGCTGGAATGGCAAAAAGACTCCAAGGTGTTTGGGCCAGCTGTCGGTTCCGCTAGAATCGACCTTTCAAATTGCAGCAGTCTCATGTTCGTTCCTTCCCAAGAAAAGAGCGCCAAACTGGGGAACCTAATTCGAGGATGCTCTGCCAAGATCGTAGGAAGCTAGGTAATCAGGCAGGTTGTCTTTCTTTGAGGACGGTGGATTTAGAGGGAAATCAGAAGGAACCAAAACACAATTCTTGGGGCCGGATTTTGACACGCACACGCACACACACACAGAGGGGAGGAAATGGGAGCACTTGGCTGGCAACAGTTCTGATAATGTTTAAATGATGTGTTGCCCCTTTCGTACCATTTTGTGTGAGCCCCGGCTCACTTTTCCAGGCAGAGCGATCCTTTCAACACTACCTTGTTGGACAAAAACAAGATATTCAGCCCTCCTGACAGGTGCCGTTGGTTGCTTATTAACATGCCACACTCGAAAGAAGGCTTCGAAGGACCACCCTGGAAACTGCTCCCCATGGGCCCTTGGAATTGATGGACAGCCTCAGGATGCCGGCCCCATGCGAGTTTTGGTCACAAAGTCCAGATGTGAAGGTCTATTTTGGGAGGGACATGGGAACTCGCTCAATGTCCCCTTGCCACAAGACTCCATACATAATTGGTCCGTGTCCTCTTGGGATTTTGACAAGGTGTGTGTGTGTGTGTTTTGTGTTTGTGTGTTTGCGTGTTTGTGTGTTTGTGATTTTTGCGTGTTTGCGTGTTTGCGTGTTTGTGTGTTTGCGTGTTTGCGTGTTTGCGTGTTTGAGTGTTTGCCTGTTTGCGTGTTTGCGCGTTTGCGTGGTTGCGTGTTTGCGTGTTTGTGTGTTTGCGTGCTTGCATGTTTGCGTGCTTGCGTGTTTGCGTGTGTGTGTGTGTGTGAACCGTCCTGGAGCACGGACGCAAAACTTTATGCAGCAGGGGCGTGTGGCACTCTCATCCTACCACACGCAATGAATGATCAGCCTTGTGTACCTGCCTTTCCTTCTTTTTCCTGACTGTTTTTCTGTCCTGTTCGCTGTTGCTTCCCGGTTTCTGTTCTGCATTGTCAAGCAATTTCAGCAGTTGCAGGTTTTTCCAGCCTGTTCATCTCGGCTAGTGAAGCCTCTCGAGATAAGTGTGTTTACCCACGGCCTGTCCGACATGGCGCTGTGGGCTGGACTCGCCATATGCGGGAGCCCCCTGCAAGGGGATGACGTTCAAAAGTTCACGTTCAGTTCACCTTCGCATTGCAGTGCCTGCCTTTTGAGCAAGGCAGCTCTCATGAGGTATCAGGCTCCGGCATCTTCATTCGCATTGCACTGCCTGCTTTTTGAACAAGGCAGCTCTCATGAGGTATCAGGCTCCGGCAGCTTCATGCGCGAGTGACAAGCCGGTCAGACACCGACTTTGCCGTTCATTGATTCACGCTCTGCGCTGACTCAGATCAGTTCAATTCACATTCACGTTCGAGAGACACCCGCATTGACATGAGCTGGACCGACAAGGCAGCTTTTGTGAGGCACAGGTCATGTGTGAATCAGTTGCTACATCGTGCCTGCCCATGCCGCAGTTGTCTTTTTTGTTGTGTGTGTGTGAACCGTCCTGGAGCACGGACGCAAAACTTTATGCAGCAGGGGCGTGTGGCACTCTCATCCTACCACACGCAATGAAGCTGTGGGTGAGAGTGGGAAGCAAGGCCTGATCAGCCTTGTGTACCTGCCTTTCCTTCTTTTTCCTGACTGTTTTTCTGTCCTGTTCGCTGTTGCTTCCCGGTTTCTGTTCTGCATTGTGACTGTCAAGCAATTTCAGCAGTTGCAGGTTTTTCCAACCTTTTCATCTCGGCTAGTGAAGCCTCTCGAGATAAGTGTGTTTACCCACGGCCTGTCCGACATGGCGCTGTGGGCTGGACTCGCCATATGCGGGAGCCCCCTGCAAGGGGATGACGTTCAAAAGTTCACGTTCAGTTCACCTTCGCATTGCACTGCCTGCCTTTTGAACAAGGCAGCTCTCATGAGGTATCAGGCTCCGGCAGCTTCATTCGCATTGCACTGCCTGCGTTTTGAACAAGGCAGCTCTCATGAGGTATCAGGCTCCGGCAGCTTCATGCGCGAGTGACAAGCCGGTCAGACACCGACTTTGCCGTTCATTGATTCACGCTCTGCGCTGACTCAGATCAGTTCAATTCACATTCACGTTCGAGAGACACCTGCATTGACATGAGTTGGACCGACAAGGCAGCTTTTGTGAGGCACAGGTCATGTGTGAATCAGTTGCTACATCGTGCCTGCCCATGCCGCAGTTGTCTTTTTTTTGTGTGTGTGTGAACCGTCCTGGAGCACGGACGCAAAACTTTATGCAGCAGGGGCGTGTGGCACTCTCATCCTACCACACGCAATGAAGCTGTGGGTGAGAGTGGGAAGCAAGGCCTGATCAGCCTTGTGTACCTGCCTTTCCTTCTTTTTCCTGACTGTTTTTCTGCCCTGTTCGCTGTTGCTTCCCGGTTTCTGTTCTGCATTGTGACCTGTCAAGCAATTTCAGCAGTTGCAGGTTTTTCCAACCTTTTCATCTCGGCTAGTGAAGCCCCTCGAGATAAGTGTGTGTGTGTGTGTGCGCGCGTGTGTGCGCGTGTGTGCGTGTGTGTATGCGTGTGTGTGTGTGTGTGTGTGTGTGTGTGTGTGTGTGTGTGGGTTTGCGTGTGCGTGCGCGTGCGCGTGCGCGTGCGCGTGCGCGTGCGCGTGCGCGTGCGCGTGCGCGTGCGCGTGTGCGTGCGTGCGTGCGCGTGCGTGCGTGCGTGCGGGTGCGTGCGTGCGTGCGTGCGTGCGTGCGTGCGTGTGTGGGTGTGTGTGCTTGTGTGTGTGTGTGTGTGTGTGTGTGTGTGTGTGTGTGTGTGTGTGTGTGTGCGTGCGTGCGGGCGTGGGTGGGTGGGTGGTGGTGTGTGCGTGCGTGCGTGCGTGCGTGCGTGCGTGTGTGGGTGTGTGTGCTTGTGTGTGTGTGTGTGTCTGTTTTGGAGGGTACCCTTTTGGGGATAGTTTTTTGGTTGAGACCAGAACCACCCGTTCCGGTGGTCCAAATTGACACACACACACACACCCACTGCACAAATTTGGCCTTTGCCGTTTGGTTTAGGGTTCCAAGTGACGTTTGATTTCTGAAGACAACAAGGTCGAATTTATGTGGAACTCAGGAGCCTAGGGCCAACCCAACGCTGAAGCGATTCCCAGGACCGCGCCAAGTCCGGGGAGGACGGGGCTTCTTGAGATGCGAGAAGTCGCCGTCTTGAGATGCCCAAGGCGTGGAATTCTTAGAATGTGTATGCCTTGCATTGAGGGTACTTTTTTTTGGTGGGTTTAAAGGAATACCCAAAGGAAAATCATCATTTTGGGAGTCCCCCAAAAAATGAATCACCCAAATGGCCGAAGGAAAGCCGCCATTTTGGGAGTCCCTTAAAAAATGAATCGCCCAAATGGCTGAAATCGGCTTCCTTTTGGTTCGCTTGAACGAAAAAGCACAGCACGGACGGGTTTGATTTTTGTACAAAGCACTGCGCATCGCCTTTTCTTCCCGGCTATTGTTGCGTTTCGCCACATTTTCGGGCGCCAGCTCCATGTTCCCTCTGATTTCGGCCCCTGGGCTTCCGTGTGAGAAGGACCTGGGGGCTGGCCCCATCACCTTGAAATGGTCTTGGGACGGCCTTTGGAACCTGACCAACGAGGCTTTGGACAGGTGTCCTTGGTGGTATTGGTAAATCGATTGCGATTCCTGGTTGGTTTCATAATCTACCATCCATTGTCCCAAAAGAGCACCTATGGTTTGCATCCTTTTCCGCGGGACCGGAGCTTTGGGTCCAGGGATGGGAGGGGCAAAACGTGTGGGTTTCGGTTAGGTGGACACCTCTGTGGTTCTATGTTCATTTACTACTTGCGAACAAGGACACCCGGGGAGCTCGCAGGAAACCCTTGCCATTTAGTGGGGTGGGGGGGGGTGGGGGGGGGGGCGATTCAACTAGTTTCATCAGACATTCGGCGAGAACAACTGCCTGTCTCAGCGTTTCTGACCTCCCAGCGTTTGTTTTACTTTGGGGGTCCAAGACTCGTGAATCGTCATGTTTCGGACGATGCCACTTCAGACAGCAAGCTCATGGGCGGTTTGTGGGCCCGGTGCTTGGGTTCCGTGCTTCTGGGGAAGTTCCCGGAAGTTCCAGGCTTTTTGGCAGAAGCTGCTGGGTGTGTGTGTGTGTGTGCGTGTGTGCGTTGTTTTGAGGGTACTCTTTTCAGGTCTGCTTAAAGGGAAACCAAAAGAAAATATCATGTTTGGAGGTTCCCGTATTTTGACACATACCCACTTCTTGGGAGGAGGGTTTTGCGAAGGGGAATGCCCATGACGGGAGAAAAGTTAGTTGGGGCCAAGCCCAAATGCATCGAAACTCAGGCGCCTGGGTGGTATTTGCTGAATTGCTGGACCCTTCTCGGGAACCAACATGGCAAGCGTTTCACGGGATCCAGCTTGCAATCCATTTATTCTTTGCTTCAATGCTTGAGAAGTTCTGTTTCAGTCTGCATTTTCAATATGAAGGTATGGCTTTTTGTTTGAGCGCCCATCGCTCGCCGGGCTCGACGTAATAATCTGCCAGATCCGCGTGCAGGGTTCTCTACAAGTGTCCTTTTTGGGCAAATCAAACATCACTGGTCGGGCTCCAGAATTGCGGTTTCCCTTTGGTTCCCCTGAAACCAAGGGTTCCCACCAAAAAGCACGACAGCACTCAGAGGACGCTTTGGATTCATTTGGACCGTGGGGGGGATTTCACCCCCTTTTCAGAATTCATTTGAGGGATTCCTCTCCTTGTGGCTATGGGTTTGAATTGGGAACCACCTCAAAAGTTATTGGTGGACCTAAAAGATGTCCACCACGGGGTCCCTAAATGAATTTCATAAACATATGGTCCTTCGGATGTTCGAACCGCACAGGTGTCAAAGTGGTTGGGACTTGGCTTTTAAGGAAATGCCAATGGGTGTGTCCCCTTTGCAGAAGCGCTCCCATTCTCTGCAATGGCTGAATGTATGCACCCACATAGGAATCCCCAATCTTGGTGGTTCCCAGCCATCCAATTCCTTCGGTGTTTAGCTTTTTGGTTGCTTTTATATGGTGGTTCCCATTTAACCCACAAGTTCTTCACTTTTAGCAGGGGATCAGACAACGGATAGCCCAGCAATGTGAACACTGGCACCGAAGCCCCAGCCGTCCGAAATGGGCATGGACGCGTACCAGCTGTGCCTTTGCTCCAGGACTCACGGCCGGTGAGTCGCGCAAAGGCGTGGGGCTCTTTGCGTTTGGCACTTGCCACCCTCCAGCTTTTTTCCTTTCAACGTGAACAATCAGCCATGTGTATACATATATATATATATAGGGGCAATCAGTATCCTACTTTAAAAGGGTCGTTTGGGGATCCAGGTGGATGAGGAGCTGAGCTCGAGGGATTGGTTTGTTGGAGGGTAGGGGACTTGACGGGTTCTTACTGACCACCCTTTGACATCGCAGCTTTGTTTGTCTCCACATGTATACGTACATTTGTCCTCCGCAGGTTGTGGATCTGAAACGCATTTTTGAGAAGACCTTTGTGCGTCTTTGAGATCAAAGCATGAGCAACTGACAAAAGTTGGTTTGTCTACTGTTGGTTTGGGGAGGACATGACCCACCCAAATTCCCACAGAATCCACGGGACCATCCAAATGTTCCCTTGTGCTCTTGGGAAAACAATTGATTGCTTTCATGGAGAGACACATGTCAGAGAGGGGCAGAAGTCGTACGCCAGTCTTCTTCAGACCTCGACAGATAGCGGCGTGCATGGTGAAACAAATCATTCCTCGGGGTTTGACAGAAGGATGACATGTTTTGTCTCTGGAGATGAATTCGAGGATTCTCACAAGTCTTCAGCAACCACTTGGTGAGATGGCTCCAACTCTCAACAATCATAGGCATGGTTTGCGCAGGGAGGTCCTCGCCTTTGAAAGCCGCGAAAAGATGAGACCCGCGTCTCTGATTTCTGCGCATGAAATCCGGCAACCGTATGTCATTGCGGTGCCACAAGCACTGGTTTCCATTTCGGGGGGGTTGTATTTCAACCAAGATATGGGGGTGGGTGTCTTTTTTTTTGTAACCCCTGAGGGCCCCTGTTTGGTGGTTTTAAATGGAAACCTAGAGGAAAATCACCCAGGGAAACCCAGAGGGGTGGATATATAGACTAGGGACTATAGCCATTTTCTGGGTTCCCATAGGTCCAACAGAATCCAACCCGCACTCGACGTCAATTCCCTGCAGACCGTGGCGGACCGTGCCAACAAGCGCTCGAGCCTGCTGGCGGCGGTGCTCGGCGACCTAGTGTGCTCGCTCCTTTCGTCCAACGTTTTTGGGGGTTTGAATCCCCTAAACTGGTGGTGTTCTTTTAGTTGTCCCTTTAAACCAACCCAAAGAGGGGTTGCACAAAAAGTAGCAACCTTTTTTTTGGGGGGGGTCCCCTTTTCTTGGAAATTGCTCCCCCCCTTTGGGTAGATTTCATGCCGTTTTGCGAATTCCCTTTTGTTGGTGAAGCAAATACGGTGAAAGCAACCTTTGTCGCACACCTTCCGAACCCACGGGACACCAACCATTTGAGATCCGGCATTCGGGCGCGTACCAGCGTACCCAGTGAAGGACATAGTTGAACTCCCTTTAAAGGGGTCGGTTCCATTTGTAGTTCAAGGAGCAAACGGTTTCCTTGAACCGCAACACAAACAAGAAATCTCCAAACGCTCGGGGTCGAACGACTTTCTCAGGCAGCCTCCAGCTTTGAGACCAAGCTCTTTAAGGTTTACTCTACAGATTACTGGAAGAGCGGAACGGTTGGCGGGGTTTGCGGTTCCTCCGTTGGAGAAGTTGAGACATAGCCAAAAAGGTCTGAATGCTCAAAAGATATGGATGGATGTTTAAGTGTGTCTAGACCCTAGTTGGCATGGTGGTCTAGTGGGGCTTGTTCAGCTTGATGCGAAGGTGGAGACGTACCACTCAATGGTTGCAAGGAGGCCTTCGGAGAACTGTAGATCAATCTAACAGGTCTCTGAAAGGTAGTCTTACTCCAATGCCCTTGCGCCATTTTCAGTCTGGACTGTTCCAACGGAAGTGCCGTCCTTTTGGTTACGACACTCAACTTGCTCTCCTTCGGTGCGACAAGTGCAGCCGCAAGCTGTTTGCGAGTGTAGAAGAGTTTGCTGGCCATACATCAATTGACTGAAACCTTTGCTAGATTAGATCAAGGATTGTGCTGTTATTTCAATAGTAGCGGGTATTGGTCCAGCTTGTCTGCGTAGATGCTTTCCAGTTACAAGTTATTGCTCCTGCAGTTTCCTTGCCTCACACAGAACGCGTCCAACAACAATGCAGGTACAATGGCCAGACACGGGCGTGCACGGCAGCGCGGCCGTCAGCACACTTGCCTTCCGCGATGCGGTGAATCATACTTGGACTTGGCGGACGCGTCTCGCCGGGTGATGGCGGCGCAAGCGGGACTCGCGGCATCGTTATACCGGAAAGAACATCATTTCCCCGGGACGGTCTTCGAAGCTCCAGACGCAGGGCTCATGGAAGAGCGGAAATGATGTCAATCAACCGATGCGCACGAGATGCGCTTGTGGCAGTTCCACAACGCAAGCAAAGCAAAGATTCTTTCTGCGGAATCCCCCCCCAAAAAACCACCCATTTGTACGCAGAGGAACTCCTTTTTTTGACATGGACGGGTTGCTTCCGTTAGTTTGTAGAGTAAACATTTCTTTTGCCAGTTTGGAGACAGTCAAACCCATTTAATGGTCCCCCGAGCCCTTCATTTCCCCTAAAGGAAGCCAAAAGGTGATGTATAATTTTGTAGCTTTTTTCCAGACCCCCTTAATCACATAGCACTAAGCTTAGTTGACACCCTGGAAGATGAAAGCCAGAGGTTCGGGCAAGTGTTCCACCGCACCATGGAAGGACGGGATTGGATAAGTTGTGACCCGTTCAAGCGACGAGCTGCTTGGTACCCTCCCACCAATTGCCATGGAACCTGACAGGGGGTCCCGTTAAGAGGAAACTCGCCTTCCAGGAGCCCCCCTGTCAGGTTCCATGTTATTTGGTGGGAGGGTAAATCATCTTCGTCGAGAAAATCGAGGTGCATTGCACATGCCGGCCCATGAGGGCATGATTCAAGAGGGTCATGTGCATGATAAAGGGATGTTGAGCTTCAAGTCTCGGGCCCTTTTCACAAGGGCATGTTTCCCCTGGTATCTCCGTTTTGGCATGAAAAAACACCTCTGTGTTTGCGTTTACCCCTTGCAGTGTCTCATGGCTGCCTGAAATGGGTGGCAAGGTTTGGATGGGAAATGCGATGCCCCCTGTTTTCCGGTTTCCGAAAGGAGGTTCCCGGTTTGAGCCGCTCCCTTCCAGCAGAAGCGTCTTGAACATCATTCATTCGATAATTTTGTGCTAAAAGCAATCTGCGAGCCGGAATTAGATCTCCAATTCCTGAAATCATAGTTTCTTAGTCCTGAGATTTTGGTTTGAGTCTTCCGTTTCGAAATCCCGCAGTTTGGATCTCATGAAACATGTTGCCAGATGTGTGGAGATGTGATTTGATAAACTCCAATTTGTTGGCTGCGGCTGCTTACCCCTCCAACAAACATTGGGTGTCTCTTTTCTTTTGGGGGAACCCCTTTGATTTATTTTAGTGTGCAACCGATTTAAGGTCAGTCGACAATTCAACATTCCAACTCCTCTCTCCTAAGCCACAAGGCCGGGGGCCTTTTGACATTTTGGAGGTGGGTCTTAGAATGTTAGACCCGGTGCTTCCGACAATCTGCCCGACCCTTTTTTTCCACTCCACGATCCGAGCCAGCACATGTTGGGGGGGGAACACCCACCAAGATGAAATTTGATAGGGGACGGCCTCCAAAGCGGTGGGTGGCCTTGAATTCACAACGAAGTTTGATGTACATGGTTGGACCAAAAACCCTTTTCTCAGCATCCCTGCTGCCGGAGGAGTGTTGTCTTCTCAGCCGGTTCGGAAAAAACATGAAGACACCCCAGTGTTGCAACCCTCCTCAAAACGGGGATGGAACCAGCCCATTATGTTACAAGCAAGTTTCAACTGGCAAGAAACTTCCTCCTCAATCCAACTGTGGATCCCACAGAAGCCACGAAAGGCTGGCCACCCGGCATTTTCCTTTCAGTTTTAGAAGGACGGTTCCCTTGGTACATGGGAAATGGAGTTACTGGCCACGCTCAAATCTTGGTCTGCCCCACTCTGCCAGGTCGGCTGTCGCGGAAAAGTCGGAGAAGTCGGAGAAGGTGGAGAAGCCCGGGCCCAGGTGAGCTTTGCGAGTCTTGTCTAGGCACGGTTCCCGGAATCCGAAGATCCGTTTTGTAGTGGAACAAATCCAATTCTCCACTCTCCATGTTGAGAACAGGAACTCAAGCGCTCAACTCCAATTCAGATTTTACATGTCGAGGCAAGGACGAGGACAAGCATCAGAATGAAGCCCATGGACTCCTATAAGCTTCTCATTCACAAGACGTATGAGTTTGCTTGTTGCCAGAGGATATGCATAACGCTTGTTGACAAAAGCTACTCTTCTGTCAATGCTCTTTGATGAATCCTTTTGGCAAGTGGCCTCTGCGTGTGTGTGTGTGTGTGTGTGTGTGTCTTTTTTTGTCATCTAGTTAGTGTCGTGTGTCATTTACCGTGAGTTATCATGAACCTTATCGATGAGCGCAAGCAGTAGTTTTTCAAGATTATTACCAAGCCCTAGTTTAGTTTTTCTTTTCATTCTCACATCCCCCTTTTGACTGATTCTATCCAAGTGTCCGATTCAGGGCGGACCAACACGTACTTTCTGCCCTGATCTCGCCCACCCACGTTTTGCATTTCCTTTCCAGCTTGGACATGCTTGGGAATATGTTTCCTTCACAATGCACCGTTGAACGACTGGATCGAATCTCAGAAGGCACCGGTGATTGTATGTTTTTGTAGACCTCTTGGGGACATAAATCATGTCCGTGGCGCATTTGAACTCCAGATGCTATGTCAATAATATGTTAATAATCGACATTTCCTAGAAATCACCCGGAGCTTGATTGACCCCAGGTAGGTTCAGTTCATCAACTAAGTGCTTTTCGGTTTGGATCTGCCCCTTGCGCGTGCTTAGGCGAGGATCCGAGGCTGGGCTTTGCGGATTGGGCAACCTGGGCTCTTGTTTTTCTTGGTGGTTCTCAGGCATCCGTTTTTTCTCTCCTTTTCTTTTTGTTTTTGGGTTTTTAGCTTTTTGGGGTTTAGTGGTAGCTCCCATTCAACCCACTAAGGGGCAAACTTTTAGCAGAGGATTTGAGGACAGCCCAGATTTTGGAGGGTGCCATTTTTGCCATGGCTTGAAGGGAAGCCGAAAACCGAAATCCAGTTTTGAGACACCCCTATTTTGATGCTGTCTCGGGGAAGGGGTCGTCCTTGTGAGGTTCAAATTCCATGAATTTGCGCTGCGATGGGGCAAAGCCGAACGGCGCTTATTGAGTTGAAAGGGACACCAACCCGAAATGGGAAGCCAAAAAGCACGTGATTTCGTGTGTTGGGTCAATTTTCTTGAACCAGGAGTAGCTACCAAACTCTAACAACCTCCTTTTGGTTCCATTTCCAGAATCGAATCGGGCGTTGCTTAAACCAATGCAACTACCTTCCCACCCTACTGAGTCCCCCTGCCTTTTTGCCGGAAACAGCAGCCTAAGTCATGGAAAATCGAGAAACCCCTCTTGTTTTGGGTTGGTTTTGGGATTTGACGCCCTTGAGGTTAACTGGGAAACCGCCGATAGAATCCCGCGCTACATCTGCAGGCCTTCAGCCGGGGCAACCTGGTCTGAACCTCGGGGCTGGACCTGGGATGTCGGGCTCGGAGAAGGTGTGTCAATATGGCCGTGTCCCATTTACGGGAACACGCCCCCCCCAAAACAAATCAAAAACAAAAGCAAAAGCAAGATAACGGTGGTGTTCCTTTGGTTTCCTTAAAGACAACAAAAGCAAGGCACCTCAAAGAAAGACATGTGTACATATATATATATATATATATTGGCGGTTCCCGGCCATGCCCTTGGGTTTTGAGCTTTAGGGTTTAGTGGCAGTTTGCATTCAACCCACCAACAGTTAAACATTTAGCAGGGGATCTGAGGACAACCCATACATATATATATATATATGTGCGTGTTGCAAAGTTGTGGTCCCCCCTCCCCCCAACCCATGGTCATGGTGCTCCACTGTGGAGTGTCTGTGGGGTGGGTTCAGGGTTGGCGAAGGCTTGGTCTGGGGCAAGGGTTGGTTGAGGGTTAAGCAGTCTTGAGTGATTTAGGCTGGGCTTGGAGCTGGCAGAAGGGGGTTTCGGGCCCGCGGATGCTTCCGAAGGGGTGGGGGGGTGGGGGGGATACCATTGAGGGCGGAGGGGTGAGAGGAAAAACTAGGCAAATTTGAACGGCTCCAGGTGGATTTCAATATTTTGATGCGTTAGGCATGAAATCACTTGAGTCATTCACTTGATGTCATTGTGTTTTGTATTCCAGAAAGGACACACTCTTTTTGAAAGAAAGGGCACTATGTTTAAGTCATTTAAAGCATTAAACTGAGTGTAATGCTGTTGTCCACTGTATCCTTGTGTTATTGTGCTTTGACATTTCAAACAGGCCAGCATATCCAGAACCATGTAAATCGCTTAAACCATTTAAACGAGTTCAATGCTTTTCATATTCCGGAAAGACCAACCCTATCAAACCAGTTGAACCATTTAGATACGGAAATTGCAGAGGTGGCGATAGCCAGGACTATTTTAATAACATTGCAACCATAAAATCACCATTGAACACATTAAGCATGCTAGAATTAACTCAGCATCTCCGCCCACGTTTTTTGTGCTCCAACGTTAACCTCTTCTGGCCATTGCAAAGCAGCAGCCCATCACACAATAGATTAAGTGTGTTACATGCTTTTAATAATATGTCAGAAAGGTTATAATGCAACACATGCTTAAACCATTGACATTATTTCGAAGTGTTTAATGTTCGTAACATGGCAGAAAGGCTAAGTTGTTTAAACCTTTTGACTCAGGGACAGTAGTTTAAGTGCTTCAATATTTTGGGTGTTTTGGATTTTCCGGTGATCTTCACATTTGCACCTTGTCTTCTTCGAAGATGCGTCTCTGCATGAAAGGAATGCGCGGGCACGAAAAAATGTGGTTGAGGCTGTCCAATGGTTGCGAGCCAACTTGGACTTCAACGAGCTCCCCCTGGACAATGGCAACGCAAAGGAACAATATCTTGCACAATGGCGAGAGATGGAGAAAGTGGCCAGCACATGACTTTGGCAGCCCTAGCTGCTATCTCTGGGCACGCAATTGAGTTGTTCCTCATGGAGGAAGCCAAGAAGCCGAATGGGCCAAGGGACCAAGGTTTCCTTTAGGCTTCCTGGGACAAATCTGCGGGTGTTTGGGGAAGCCTAGGTCACCCATCTTGAATCCCTCCAACCGTAACGTTGGGCAAATGAAAGTGACCATTTGGTCCCAACCAATTTCATCCAAAGGTTCCGTTTCTGCTTTGTAGGTCACTCCACTGCTGATCAATTTGCGCAGATGGTACTTCTGGATGGTGAATTCCTATGATTCACCCTGGATGGTGAATTCTCATGATTCAGCCAGAACCATGGCTACGCATTTCAGTAGGTAATTCCCATACGCTTTTGAGGAACATAGAACCCAAGAACGCACCATTTCTACAGGATTCTGCTTTGGGCCCGGGCGGCATTTTGGTTTGCCCAGTTAACCTAAGGCACTAAACTATGAAGTAGTTTCCTAATACAAGCGGGACCAAATTTGGCAAGGCCGGCACCTCCATTGTTTTTTTGCGGCCCGAAAAGGTACCGGCACGGCTTCTGCCGGCTTTATAGACCTGGTTCAGTCTCCAAGTAAATTGTGTGTGTGTGTGTGTTGCTTCGACCCTTTTTCGGGTGGTTTTGAGTTGGAAGTTATAAAGGGAAACCACCCAGTTGAGGGTTCCCTCATGATGAAAGACACACCGGAATGTATATCCGGATGAGTCGCAGATCCCAGGGGGGCACTGCCAGCCTGGCGTCGCTGATGTCCAACATTGTCGAGGGCAACGCCAAGGCGAGTCTATCTCGACAGAAAATCAACCCCTCCGGTAGTGGGAGATTTCCTTTCTTCCAGGACCCACTGATCTACAACTGGGGACACACATTTGCCCCAAGGCCTGGAAGAAAAATGGGGAGCTTTTGGGAAGATTGCAAAAGTTCCTGAGCATCCTTGCGAGCCACAAAGCAAACAGGTCGATTCATGGCGCGTAATCCAGGGTGAGCTAAGCTTCAAAATCAGCACGCGGAGGAAAAACGGCACCCGGCGTCAGGAGTCAGGAGTCGTGGTGCTGCGTGTTTTTTTGTTGATCAACAATTAACAAATATCCATCCCCTTGTAAGCATCCTTTGAAGGGGAAAGTAACCAGATATGGGCTATTCAGTGCGTGAGTACCAATGGCCATACTTGATATTGTTGCTGAGATCTGCTGGTGAAGTTTAGCCTTAGGAGCATGTTCTCGCCTGGCCAAAAAACGCGTGGTTCCACAGAGTCAAGTTGGGATGCTTCAACTGTCCAACCCACCAACTGATGTTAGGCTGTATCTCCTGTCCCAGGATTCTCAGGCAGATCCTGGGGGATCTATGGGTCCATGGCCTCAAGGTCGACCCTGATGAACTCAGGGAGTTCCACTTTCTGTGCGCCTGCACGACCAGGTGTTGAACCATACTGAATCAGGGCAGCTCTTGGATGGTTTGGATCAGCGGTTTGATCTGGTTCTTGCTAAAGGGCAACCACGCACGGTGTGCGGGGTCCAAACCGCCAAACCATCAATTAGCAAACTAGAGGGAACAAATCATCAAGCAAACCATCAATTAGCAAGCCATCAAGCTCCAAACCGCAAGCCAGAGGGCAGGCTAATGAATGGGCTGGTGTTCAGTCAAAGAGACTCGCTCGTGAGTGGAAGCCTCCTGCAGGTCTGGTCCCAACTCAACCTTTAACACCCAGTGGTGCCCTTCTGTCCTTTTTCTTGGAGAGAGTTTCCAATTGTCAACAAAAATGGTGCCTTTCTTTTCTCAACTGTAAGCAGTAGGTTTCGGTTTCGAAAGACCACATTGGTGCTTGCCCACCAGGCACATGCGAATCAGAAGAAGAGGGCCGATGAGGTCCAACAGAGACTTGGCACACAGTCATGTTTTGACAAGGCCTTTCCAGGGCGCATTGATGACGATTGGGAGAGTTGTCACCCCTTTTGAGGACACAGGGTGAAAGGCTGTGCCGCCTTGAAATTGGGATCGGGACAGGGTACCCCATTTTGTCAGCCGAATAGGCGGAAGGCGAGGTTAATTTCAGCTTTTCCGTATTTGGCGGTATGGTTTGGAAGCTGTCACTTTTTGCTCGAGTCAAGAAACTCCGTACCAGCAATTCATGATTACACCTGCGCAGATCGGCATGGGGAATCTCCTTTCGTTCTTTCATCCTTATGCCAGATGGTTCGTGGTCGGCCAACTACAGTTTGCGAAACTGACCCTGGACTCAGCAACCCTAAGCCTGATCAATCTTCATCTGGGGTGACAGTTTGCCTTTGCGAATCGCGACGCTCCCCGGCTCGTCCAAAAAGGCCTGAACAACTGGAGATATGAGGCCCAGGGAAAACATGGGGCACTCATGTGCCTGAAGACTCCAAGCCTTAAAGAGAGCCACCCTTTCGCCCGCCAAAGACGAAAACTGTTTTCTTTTTGTTGGCGGTTCCCATGCGTCCCCTTAGGTTTTAGCATTTTAGGTTTTAGAGGAGGTTTTCATTTAACATTCAGTGCCACTGAATGTTAAGCTTTTAAGTGGGGATCTGAGGACAGCCCGGCTTTTGTGAATTTCAGGGTTTCCTTTGGTTGTCCTCGCCAGGCCAGGCAGACAAAAAGCAGAAAACATGTCACCGATCACTTCTTGGGACTCCGTTTGCTTCTTATTCTTGGTGATTTATTTTTTGCCTCACGTCTGACATCTGCAGATCATACTTCCATCTCACGTGGTAGTCCATTGGCTTGCTTTCAATAAATCCAAACTGAACAGGGTTCCCTAAACTGAACCTGTGATGTGGAGCTTTGCCAAACTCAACAGGTTCAAAGCGAAAAAAGCCAACCTCCGGTTCCAAGGATGAGGGAGGCAGAACGGGCTGGAGCCTCAGCAATCGCTTGGACAGTCATGTCTTGTTTTCTTGCATTCGAATGGAAGCCATTTGGGTGTGTCTTCTTTGGGGACCCCTCAAAATGGTGGGTTTTCCTATTGGCTTCCTGTGAAACCGCCACCAAAGGGGTCCCCAACAAGACACCCACGATATGAAAACTCAGAGCATCCTTCGGGATTGCAAGCGGCAAGCTGGATTGACTGTCCTTCCATGGTGTGACTCCCATTTCGTTTTGTTGATTGCCCAGGGGTTTCTCTTTCGGCTCCGGTAAGCGGACTTCCAGTTGGAGCCACCAGGCTAGATGCAAATGGTGTACCAGCGCATTCCTCATGTTCCACGGCAACAGGGTACAATCCTGCCACTCAAACTGCTAAATCAAACCCCAGATCCTGGCAAACACCCGCCCCCCCCACACACCAAACTTGGAAGTGCACAGACTCCCCTTCAAAAGGAGCGTCGTCTTCCAACTTCTGGGTTTCTTCAGGGCAATTCACAGATGCCCTCGCCATAAGGAACTGATTTCCCTTCCTTCACAGCCCAATGCCCTCTCACAAGTCAGTAGACCATTGCCATAAGGAACTGATTTCCCCTGATCCTTCACACCGCAATGCTTTCTCACTGGCAGTCCCTGGCAGACCATTTTCCTTTTGGAGCTCTTCCGGGTTCCATGGAAAGGCCGCCAGTCACTCTGGCCTTTGGGGGCTCGGCAAGCCGTAGGACTGGTCTATTCCCATCCCTGACCTCTACCTGGCACGCATGCGAGTCTGCTGCTCAGAATGGGCCACATTGCGTCAAGGCCCGAGCCTTGTTGCTCTTACTATATCGCAGGGGTCCAAACAGCTGGCTTGTCGGGACCATGCTGGGTGCAAATGTGCCACCGCCGAACATGTACATACTTTGGGCTGCTAGGTACCCCTTCGTTTGGGGAATTCAGACAACCATTGTAAAGGTTCCTGTCAAGAAAGCCACCATGATCAAAAGAAGGAGTTTTGACAACTGCCTCCGACTCCTTGGAACTGGGACCCAGAGGCAAACACGCAAACGAGCAAGAACCCAGGACCCAACAGTACATCGGCTAACACGAAAAGGTCCTCCATCTCGGCCATTTTCGGATTTCGGCCACTTCAATTGGGGTACCCATATGAAAATTGGTGTGTCTTGGTTTTGGTCGTGCCCGCCAAAAATGATCGCCGAAGGTTCCGTTTTCCTTCGGGTCAAGAAATGGCTCCAAAGCCAAGGGTGCATTTGCGTGGTTCCTTTCTCGCCAGGAAACATGTAGAGGGGAACGCCCAAAAGTGGCCTTGTTGCTTGCAAGTACGGCGAACAGGGTGCCCTCAACACACGGCAAATCCATCACCCTCCCAACTCGATCAAAAGAAGCACAGAGTTCACGCCAGGTGGATTTGGGAGTTCGCTCGTGCCGCGCCCAGAAGTTTGTCACTGAGAAAGAGCGCCATGGAAATTTATCGTGGAACCCCAAAAGCAGGGGTCCTCTAAAAGCGATTCCTCCTACAAATTTTGGGTATTTTGAGTTCCATGGGTCGAGTGACATGAAAGAAACTGTTTTGAAAGGGGGCCTGTGTGGGTCTTCCGGCCTATGGGCATTGTAACCAGACCTGACTCAGCGATACGCAGAGATGCACGTCAGACCTCTAAATATCGTGCTTGACTCATAGATGCCCGAGAGACCTCTAAATGTCGTGCTGTCACAATCATGGTTGAGTGGACAGTTTTTTTTTTTGCGGTTTTTGAAGACGTCTGCTTCCATGATAGGACAAAGGGTAGTAAGCACAGATGATTCTTGCTTTATTTCTCCAGACAAACAACAGCGAGCTCACTGATCCTGGGGTAAGATGAGGCTCACCCGGTCACTCACTTGGGGATTCCTTATTTCCGACTTGTGAACAATACAGTTGGCGCCTGCATTTGTGAGAATTATTGAATGTGCTGGCAACGCACAAGCGCGACAAGTCACCGACTGCGCATGATTTGCCCAGATGGTGACCACCAGTCACCGACTGCGATGTTGGTTCCTTTGGGCCAGACATGCTGAACTCCACGTCCGTTTTCACGAAAGGGGACCGATGGGCCGCCTGCGCCACGGATCCGCCGGATCGATCCCGGAGCTCCTCGGATCGGATCCGGGGCAGTGACGCCGAGGAGGTTTCGTTCTGGCACTCTGAATGTTTGGAATTCGGAATGAGAAGGACGTCACAAAACACTTGGCTCCTTTGCGCCGATTGACGTCCCACAACTTCGCCCGTCGCAGACCCCCCACCCTCTTTTTTCTGTTGTTAGGGGAGGTTCCCTTGAAATTTTGTCTAGGGGGCCGTGTTTCCCAGGGGGGGTGTTCCCTTGAAATTAAGTACCAACAAAACGGAGCCTTTTTGGGAACCACGGCCACTGGAGCTTGAGTTCCCATTGCAAGTCCAAAACAAAAGGGCCTCACTTGAACTTCCCCCCTCCCAGTTGTTCTGCTTTTGTTTAGGGTATATGTTGGCAAACAGTTTGTTTATGGTAAGTTTCCTCTCCACCAGAGGGTCCCTTAAGTCTTCTCCGATGCACGTCAGGTTCATGTCAAATTAGGTCAGGAGGGCACCTTTAGTCAAAAGTTGGGGCATCCCTCGCCAAAAAAGAAAGAAGCTGCGCTGAAAAGCTGGCAGGTCGAAGGACCAGGATACGAGCTCTCTGAGGCGCGCGCTTTTTCTCGTATCGCGATCCGCGGAGCTGGAACCGATCGATGACCAGTGGTGTTTCTCAAAGTTTGGAGATACCCCCAGATTTATTCTCCCTGTTGGAATCCATCTCTGGATTTGTTGTTTTTCTTGGTCCAGGGGTCATTAGCAACTGGAGAAAACTGGTCGGTTTCCTGTTCAACACCATCCACAGGAAATCCACTTTGAGAACCCCCCCAAGGGTAGAAGATTGAGTCCGGGACGTATTGCGGTGCCCTGGAGGTTGAAGGGAAGCGAAAAGGACAGCAAATGACAATATACCCCTCCCCCCAATGACTTCAGAGGACACAGCCAATAAACAATCATGGCGCTGTGTCTTTGAGTTTGGTTTAAGGGGAACCAACAGGAAAACTACCAATTGTGGAGGTTTCACCATTGTGAGACACCCCTATATATCATATATATATATGTAACATATTATAAAGACACACGTGTGTAGGTTTCAGTACATGCCGAGCCTTTTGGTGTTGGTGTACATCCAAGGTCATGGTTCCCTCTGGCCCACCCCCCCCAACTCCCGACTTTGTGAATGAAATCAAACCTATCGGCACCTATCGGCGTCGGTTTCCTGCTGCAGTGCCGGGACCCGATCGGCGCACTTTCAGTCAATGACTCTTTTGAATCCCTCAAAACAGGCATTTTTTTGAAATGGTTTCTGAGGGTTCACGAAATTTGGGGACTTCAGGATGTTTTAGGTTGGAAAAAGTCCAAAATCTGACGATGCACAGATCGACCAATTCTCAGGAGCATCGTGGTGGGCGAGGAGGCCAAGGCTCGCAGAAGGTCCATCGCACACAACCTGCTACTTGGCCAAGTCAGCTGCTTCGACAGTCGACGTCGACTGGGAGTCGAGTCTGGGGCGTTTGCACTTGTTCGAAAAGTAATCCATGGATCTGACCACTTTGTAGAGAAGAAGTTTCAAGTTTGGGTGAAGAAGTTTCAAGTTTGGGTCAACTGGCCTACTCAGGAAACAGGTTTTTGTTTTGGACCTCCAAAAGTGCATTTTTGATGTAGCACACCAATGAATGCAACTTTTGAATGAGAAAATCCAGTGGCCCGGGTACAAAGGGCAATGATGAAAGTTGAACCCGGGTCCTTGGGCGTTAACGCGAAGTGTTCATTTGGCTGCCTCGTGTTTGAGGTGCAACGTACCTTTTTCTGCGGTCGTACCAGCAGGAGAGATCCGTATTAGCATGGACCCCTGGAAGGGGGCTATGGGGGGGGGGGGGGGCTATCTCTGGATAGGCCTAGGGTAAGCCCAGGATAAGCCGTTAACAAGGCCTTATTATGGGGTTAACAAGAAATAGCACCCCCCCCCCCTTTTTTGGGGGTCCATGATACGATATCCCATTTGGAGGTGTGCTTGTGCTGGGTAAATGTTTGGAGGTTAACAAAGGAAATCAACGGGAAGCCGTTGGGGTCTAAAGGAGCACCCCACTATTTTCCCCCTTAGTAAATCTTTAACAAACAACATTTATATTGCGGGTTCATCCCGAACCCATTCGACGAACTCGACCCCAATTAGACACACCGGAGAATCTACGTTTCCATGTCCTCGTCCATAAAAGCCCCCAACCCTTGTATTGCTCACCAGGCTAACCATCAGCCCATCTTCCCAGGGTGAAAGTAGATGGCACACATTCCCTGGTGGGTAAAGGGGGGGTGACAAGACCAAATTAGAGAAATTGTGCCTTTCGCGCCTCTGTACGTCTTCTATACATTTTCTCATCCCCTGTCAATCCCCGGTTCACCCCATTTGGGTGTGTGTTTTGTTGAGGCTACCCTGTTTGGGTAGGTTATACAGGGAAATCAACCAATTTTGAGGGTCCCCTTTTTTGGTCAAGCAAACCCAGAGCCATTGAGAGCAACGCTTCTTCCCCGCTCCACACTTCTTCCCCGAAGCTAAGGCTCGCCGAGTACGGGCGTGGCGCGGAGATGCAGTCGGCGGCCTACTGGGGGGTGCTTTGCAGGGGGCTGGGGGCTGGTGGATTTCGGCCCCCTGTTTGGTCGGCATTTTAAGGGAAGCTACCTGAAGAGGCCCCCTGTTCACTGCCATTCCGAAAAAGGGTATATAGAAGACTGAAGAGCTACCTAGATGCGAAGGGTAGACAGGCGAAAGCACCTTGCATCCACAAAGGCCGTAAAGACCATGAAGGGGTTTCTCAAACTATAGGAATCGGTCCCCTAAAATTGTTGGTGTCCCCTTGGTTTCTCCAGTGATTCCATTTCCCAATATATAGGTAACCAAGGGAACCACCCGTCACAAACAAGGACAAATTGCTTGCCTAGTTGCTATAGCGGCGAAACCGAATTAGAGGGACGGTTGCTCCTGTGCCAGAGCCTTTGGAGCAATCAAGAGCCATGGTTGGAATTCAGTGGCATCCTCCAAATTTTGTTTTGTTTGGCAGGTTCCCAAACATCCGATACCACCGGGAGCACCCGTTGCAACAGGGTTTCACGTGCACGATCGAAGATAGTTGATGTTACCTGGAGCCCGATCAGGGCTGATCGATCAGCTTGCTTGCAGTACAGCGAGCTCACTTTGCCGGCGGGCATTCTACCTGTTACCTCTGCCTGCCTTCGGCGTGATCAACCACCTACCACCCACCACCCCCACCACCCACCCACCACCACCCCCACCACCACCACCACCCCCACTACCCACCACCAACCACCCACCAGAAAGTCTGCTAATAGTTGCCAGCTGATGGATTAACCGCAGACAAAGAGGTTGGCTTGTTACTCGCTTCGTTCCCACTGCATTCCTGGGCACTTTTTGCGCTCCGCCATCCTGTTCCCCACAAGGTGACAGAAGGACCTCTCCTGTTGGTGCCGGTTGAATACCCTCGAGATGAACACTGAGCTTTGATTCAGGCAGGTTGGGATTTGTTCTAAAGCATGGTAACCGAACTAATATATGAACACTATTTTTTTCAGGCCACTTACCTTATCCAAGCGATCCTTTTCGCAATCAAGTCCCAGCCTGAGGTGTCCCAATTGGCCCTGTACGGGGGGGTCCCGTCTCTTTTTGGCGGGAACAGCGTGTTTTTGCAGGCAACATGTGAAAACAGAACAGTAGCCCCTTGCCCTTGATTTGAAGCCAAAGGAGGCTTGGGCCAACCCGTTTCCTTTTATCCTTAGCCATCGAAAAAGGGGAACCAACTCCAAACAAAACAGACCCATATTGCAAATCCGTTGTGGTCCCACCGATTCGCGCAGGAAGCAGAGCCGTTCTGAGCGGGAGGTCTGGGCCTCAGGCGGATGGTCTCCCCTTTTTGGGTTCCCGACTGTGCCTTGTGGATATGTAAACTAGGGGGAATCAAGCAGAACATGGCGGGCTTCCTTTTGGCTTCGCTTCAAAAACCAACAGGAGTTCCCTCACCCGGAGTGTCAACTTTGGATGGGTTAGTTTGGAAAAGGAAATAGATGGGTTCCACTGGTTTAGATGGGTTTGATGCCCCATACCCATCTAGTTTTCCAAAGGGAAACCTATGTTTGGGACGGCCCTTTGCAGTCTTTAGAGCAGAATTGGCCATTTGGAATTTCCATTGCGAGGTGCACGCCAGTTGGCCCGTCTTTCTCTTCTTTGGAAAGCCCAGCTGATCGGACGGATCCTATGCTTGGAGGAAGGGAAACCAAAGTTTGCACAAGCTTGCATACTTGCTGGTGCGATAGAAATGCCCCCCTACAAACCATCCCCTATCGTTTCCTTTAAGGGAATCCTCATGGTTCATTCCCTCCTTCCCTGCTGAGCGCCAAGCATACGTGGCCTTTATGTGGCAAATTACCGTGGAGGTTGAGACAGCTCTTTGGCGCTGGGGCTACAAACCAGGGTTGCTCAATCACCTTGGCTCATGGTAAACAACCAAGGTGATTCCCATGATAAAAGCCGGGGTGAATCCTTGGTTGCTAAGACCAGCGCGAAGGGTTCGAAGTGGGCAAAAGCCTCAACTCGGTTCGGAATTCCCGAATACGTAGTTGGTTTTGGTCTCCCCACAAAGACGAACAAAACCAGACCCCCAAAAAACAAGCCCAGGTGGTACAGAGCTTATTTGAGAAGAGGACCCAGGGCTTTCAGCTGGAAAACAAGACACCCTATAGCCGAGGGAAGTGACAGGCTGAGATGCTACAGCGGCTGCAGCCCCTGGTTCCGGAGCGGGAAGCTGAGAGCTGTGGCCTGCGTTTGGTGCAGGGGTGGGGGGGGTAGGGAGGGGGGGGGGTCAGGGGTGGAGTTCGGCTTCGAAATTCTTAAATTGTTGCTCCCCAAAATTGTGGTTTCTTTGGTTTCCCCTTCAAACCAACCAAACGGGGTTCTAAACGCCCCTTTGGGGAGGGACACGGGGCGTTTATGTTCAACCAAGTCAGGGGACTCTCTGATTACCTTATGACAATAGAGAAGCTTTGAACTTGGCACTTGGCATACATGATATTCTCGTTTGCGAGTACCGAGGGGGAGGTTAGAGCAGGGTGTTGGCAGGCAAAGGGCTTGCGGACATTTGGCTGTGAGTTATGCTTGGAATTTCCCGGCACATGGCTGGTGTCAAGAATACCCCATCCAAATGATGTCCATAGGGTCCCCAAAGAAAGTTCATCGCCACATGAGTTCCTACCGAGATTCCCCCGTTGGTTTGCTGGACTTCAGTGGGCCGGAGGTGCCGGGGTGTTGTGTTCCCCTTGCTCGGTTGAAGTAAACAACACTTCATCACTTTCGCGGGAGTCCTGTCAGGGAGGCGCTGACACCCACTCTGGATTGAACTGCTTTCTTTTAAATTGGACAGGCTTTCTCACACCAGTCCTTCGTGGAGGGGAACTGCTTGCGTTTGTTGTTCGGGTTTACCTCGTGCTGTCAAGCACATCCCAAAAAGTTGGGGGGGGGGGTCGAGTTGGAGGACATCCAATCGGGGGACACCCCTTTCGCACGGATGTACAGGGAAAAACGGTAAACCGGTAAACCAGCCATGAACAGTCATTAGAGTTCCCGAGGATACAGGACTTACGCCATGTCATGAGCAGGGGCACAGGGTACTGTGGAGCAATAACTCCGTGATCTCAACAACTGACCAAGTCATTAGTGGGGGGTCAACCCAAATCCTTCCCATAAAAAAATAGGGGTGCCCTCTAATTTTCTCATGACTCATGTCCCTTGCGCAAAGAAGTAATTTGGTTTGGGAATTATATGTATCAAGGGCTGCTGTCACTGTCTCAAAATTAGGGAACATGCAAAATTGTGATTTTCCCCTAGATGTGCCTTCAGGCACCCACCAGGCACCTGGTTGCCTTTTGGGTTCGGACAGCCTTTCGGGATTGCAGCGCTTTCTGCGGCAATGGCGCGTCTGAGCCACAGGAGTCACGAGACCTCCAGTGCCCTTTTTGGAGGAGGCGTCCTTCTGAAATCGAACCCTGAAAAACCCTGTCCACCACGATCTTTCTGTCGTTGCCATGGAAGCCTCCAGAGAAATGGCCTCTTTTAAAGGAAGACACGTCTTGCTCCCCAAAAAGTCAGGGTCCTTGGCGGATAGGAGGGTACTCACATTTTCTGCTCTGGCCATGACTTAGTTTGGCTTTACCTCACGCTGAGAATACATGACAGCCCTTGCCCGCACCGCAGCTGGTCCCCCTCCCCTCCACAAGGTGCCCAAAGGGAAAACAGACCCCTTTGAACAGGGGTCCCGGCATCTTCCTTTCTGATCCATTTTTAGCATCACGTCTGGGTAGTGAATTCTATGCAGGCTCTTTTTGAGTTGACGCTGAATGGGAACCGAGGATTTTGTAAATCCACCACTTTTGGGGCACCCACTATAAATCTGGCAGATTTACCACTCTTCAACATGTCCCTCTCCTGTCGTGGAGCACCTGGAACTCGAACAAAGAGCAGTCCTAGAGGACTCCCCCAAAAAGGTCCGGGTCCCGAACATTCGCTCAGCTGGCGCAACCTTAGGGCGGAGCTGCAGGGCTTCAGGAAGGAGTTCGCAATTCTGGCACAGGAGTGGGCCATGAGCTGCATGGGTCGTCGGTTTTGATCGGTCTGGACAAAGAAATAGATGAGTTCCACCGGTTTAGATGGGTTGAACAAACATATGCACCCCATTTACCAGGGAAACCCATCTATATTACAAGGTCACACTATTGGCCATGGGTCTTTGGCTTGAAATTGGGACAGTCATTGACCCCTCTATAGGAAATCAGACAACCATAGCATGACTATGGCCCGAGATATCAAAGCAGTTTTGGCCATGGCCCCGTGACCAACCTTTTTTGGGGAAAGCACCTGCTTTTTGATGGGTCAAAGGGTGTTCAAAGTCCTCACATCACACGTTTTGGGAAGACCATGTTGGTGGAGAACAGAAGGCGTAAAGCCTTTCTTGCCGCTCGGAAGTGAGAGTCAGGAACTGCCCCTTGGGGCCTTACTAGAATTTAGCCCATGAGATTACCACTTGGGGGTTGACTGTCTGTCAGTGGCGGGGCCACGGAGCAGGGCCGAATCCGATCCTTTTGCTACATGGGGCGTGTGTCTGGCCAGTCAATTCGGGACTGGGATAGTGCTTTCAAGGGAGGCCAAAAGGAAACCAGTTTGCTTACATGTCCCCTACTCCACGAAACAGCTTGCTCAATTCCTGGGTCTGCAAGGCGGACTACTGCCTCCCCTTGAACGTTGTTGTCAGCAAGGGCCCGCTGTTGTCAGCAAGGGCATTTTCTTTCAGAGTTGATAGAACTTGGCATGCCTTTTCCACCGGTGTCATGTTGCTTGTTACTGCGTAGTCACGGTTGTCCCAGACTCTAAGAGATGATATCTGATCACACAGGTGGAGACTGGGTTTGGTTTCCCTTGCTAGCCCTTTACCACCCACATGTCCACCGTTGTGCCACGTTTTTTGAAGCAACCATGATCATGCGCGGAAATCCATTGCTTTGCTTTTTTTGCTTTCGCAATGCGAGCACAGCCCGAGGGCCCCGTTTGCCATCTCATTTACGTTTGCTCTCATTTGGTATAGTTTCTACTAGGGACCGGAATGCATTTTTCCTTGTCTAGTAGAACAAAGCTCTGAGTTTAGCCTGCTGGCAGTTTCGTTTCTTAGTAAGTTCGTTCGTTTGATTGTTTTTTGGTTGATGGTTTGTTTGTTTGGTTAGCGCTTGGGTTTGTCTAGTTGGGTGCGTGGTTGGTTGGTTGGTTGGTTGGTTGGTTGGTCGGTCGGTCGGTTGGTCGGTCAGTCGGGCTGTCGCTCTCGTCTTTGTCTTTGTGTTGTTTTTTGTTGTTTGCCTTTGTTTAGTTTGCTTGTTGTTGTTTGCTTTGTTTGTTTCATTTGCCTTCGCTTGGTCTGCCTGTTTGTTTGTTTGTTTTTTTGTCTGCTTGCTTGCCTGCCTGCCGGCCTTCCTGCCTGCTTGCTTGGTTGCGTGCTTGCTCGTTTTGCTCGTTTTGCTCGTTTTCCTTGTTTCCTTGTTTCATTGTTTGCTTGTTCGCTTGTTTGCCCGTTTGTACGTTGGGCTGTTTGCCTGTTTACTTGGTTGCTTCCTTGCTTCTTTGTTTGATTGCTTGATTGTGGGTTTCTTTAGTTTGCTTGCTTGTTTGTCCTTTGTTGCTTGTTTGTCTTTGCACTCTTGCTTGCCTGCCTGCCTGCCTGCCTGCCTGCCCGCCGGCTTGCTTGCTTGCTTGCTGGCTGGCTGGCTGGCTGGCTTGCTGGCTTGCTTGCTTGCTTGCTTGCTTGCTTGCTGCGGTATTGCAGCGCTTTGCGGGTTTGCGCCACCGGTTGCTGCCAGTTGCCGCCAAACCAGCAGGGCGTGCTGCTGGTAGCAGGCGCTCGCAAGTCCTTGCGAGTCGGTTTTCGCATGGTTTTGGCCGTTTGAATCAATAGAAGGGTAACCTTCAAAAGGAGAGACTAACAAAGGAGGTCATGCCATGCCCATATAAAAAGGTCGCGGGTTTCATAGGGACTACATCACCCGGGCTTGATGCCAGCTTTGAATTTGTCCCAAAATAGCGGACCTCACCAAATACACCGGACAAACCAGGCTTGTGAAAGCTGATTTACAGCCACAAGGCGAAATTGTTGGAGGGTGGTGACCCTGAATGATTTGTTGTGTGACCCGCAATAACTGGCAACTGTCACAGTAGTCGCACCATTGTTGCGCAAGGCCACACATCTTCAGAAGGTGATTCACATATGGGTGTGAGATTTTTAAGAGGGTACCCCTGCTGGAGCGGTTTTACACAAGTAGAGTATCCATGTTCTGGGCTCCGCTATTTTTGGGACACACCAATATGTATATCAATGTATATGTATATATAGAAAAACGCTTTTCGGTCGCTATGTGCCCGCAGGGTTGGCCCCAATTTGGGGAAGCAGGAATCCTCCACTTTCGGGAAGCCCCAATTTTCAGACACGCCCACATTGCGCTCTTTTCCAATCATGTAAGTGAACAGGCCGTTTCCAAGATGATGGTAGTCCTCCAACCCCCCTGTGCACTTCCGTGATTGGACAGAGAGCTTTGTGGGAAGGCTATTTGAGTAAACAAGTCTTCAACATTTCTTTTATATAATCCACGGTGCCGCCTATTTGGATCTCGTGCGTTTGGCAGCAACGCTGCTGGAGTGTGGAGTTCTTGCACCCAACACAGCGCACCCGGGGAAACCGGCAACCTCCCCATTCTGTCTAGGCATTGTTTCCAGAAAACCGTACGGGGAATTTGCATTTTTTTCAAGAACGATGGTGCAGCATGGGGAACCAACGTTTAGAATCAAGGATCATGAGAACCCGGGATTGATTAATCCCTGGTTGATTAATAGATTTGGGACTTGGAATTTGCTTGACGTTCCCAATTGTTCTAGGGAGCCTCTACCTTGATGAGTTTCAGGATCCGTATTGATTGGGGCTGTGTCACCAAGGAACCCAAAGGCAATTACCTTTGACGCACATCAGGGGCATGTGGCTTTTGTAAAAGGGCAGCATCAAACACGTACAGACCGAGTTAAAAGCCGACCCATGTGAGAAGGGTTCCATGTTTTGCAACTTTTGGTTTCTCCCCCTTTTGCTCCACAAGATATGCGTGACATGGGGCGTTACGCAAGCACCACCCTTTTCTTGCAGTGTAATTGTGGTTGGTCTTTCTGCTTTATCAGATTTGCCTTTCTTAGCAGGCGTTCATTCAAAAATATGCTATTTGAGAATCTTCTTCACGAAAAAAAAACACATTAATCATGAAACACTTTGTACTTGGGTAGATTTGCAGCTTCGTTTGCAGTAATCGAGTTCTGTATCTGGTGTTTTTTGGAGCCTAGTGGAACCAGGGTCACTACTTTTGGAGCTCACGAAACTCATTCCGTTTAAACGGAGCTTCCATCCCCAAAAGTCACTTGAGAGCTTCTCCACATGACGTGTTTGCTTTAATGGACCCAGCTGGCTTCTATGTTGTCTTTCTTCCAGCTGGCGCCCATTTGAAAGCATCCAACGGAGATGTCCTTTACCCCCCCCTACTGCCAGCTAACAAGTTTTAGGCCCCATTCGGTTAAACATTAGTTGTTTTGGGTTTGTCTCAAAGTTTGGTAACTGAAATGGTGAGATTTCTCCTTTGGTATCTCGTCAAAGGCAACCAACAGGGGAAAACAGCCCAAGAAAGATACATGTTCATGTGTCTTTGTTGGGGGAACCCATCAGCTTGGTGTACAGACACCAAACCGAGACCCGACATTTATTTTCATGGTTCCCAGGCATGCATGTTTTTTTGTTTTAAAGCTTTTGGGGGTTTAGTGGCAGTTTCCATTTAAAAGAGTTAATCTTCTAGCAGGGGATCAGTTTGGACAGTCCAGTTTGTTCGTTGTCAAGCATCACCTTTCGAGCCAAATTAAACATAGTCTGCGTTTGTGATGTTTATTGGGGACACCAAGATAAAACCCACAGGGTTTTGTGGTAGTTTCGATCTAACCCACTAAAACTTTCATCTCTTAGCGGATCTGAAAAAAACGGACAGCCCAGTTTGTATTTGTCAAGCATCCCTCTGGGGTCAAACATTCGTCTTTTGGCCGGGGATCTGAAAACGGACAGCCCAGATTTTCTGGGGTCCCTCTGGCCCCTCTGCTCCCCAGAAAGGTTCTCAGAACCCTAGGGCCCAAGAACCGTTGATGAATAACCCCCAGTGTTTTGTTTTTTCTTCTACCGGCGGCTCTTTTGGGGCTTCTTTGAGGTGCGGCCCAGCTGGCGCAGCGGGTGCTGGTGCCGCGCCTGCGGCGGCCGGTGCCCAGAGACGATCAGGACATCCCAAACGGCGGGACCGGGGGGGGGGGGGTGGCCCCCCCCGCCTTTTTGGGATTCATTGCTAGACCTAGATGTGGCCCTTTGTTTTTGGAACGTTTGTTTTGTTTGAACAACACGTGGTTTTTTTCCCCCTGGGATTTGTTCCTTTCAAGCAGCAAGTTTAGGGAGTCCAAGAGGCTCTTAAGCTTGGTCTTAGGTTGGCACTTGTGATACCGGGAACACGAATGGCCTTTGGTGTCGCAAGGGTCAGGTTTCATTTTTTTTGACTACAGGACTTCAGCTCAGAGGTTGATTTCCCCTTTCGGAGGAACCCTAGGTCTACGTCTACCTTGGGACGAAAAAAAAAAAGAAGAAGTAACCCTGACATGGTTTATTTCCATGGGCAGAGTTCGTTCTCGTCTCGGGTAGGCCAAGATCACAGCTGATTTGGGTAAAGCAAGGGACAGTTTCTCAACAATAGGGCTCATAGGGGATGTCCGTTCTTTTGACTGTTGGCTCTAGGGTTTACTTACAGGCCCGTGCCTGGTTTTGATTGCGACTCGCTTGGGTCTGGCTACAGGACATAAGGCTATCATGAAAAATGAAAGCTATTGCGTTCCTGGCCGTGAAGGCATCCCAGGTTTTGATTGGCACGTATCCCATTTGCAGGTGGACCCTTCTTGAATTGACGGACCCTCCTTGTTTCGGCGGCACCCAACGTCACCGTCACCAGGATCTAGTCCCATCACGGGACTGGATCTTTGCACCTCTCCTGAGGGCATACCTATTCAATCCGGCCAGCTGTTGCCAAGCCATGATTTTCTGAAACAGGCCAACCATATCAATGTTCAAGAGCGGGATAGTCAGGAAAGCCCCGGACTCTGTTTCAAGCGGGAGATGACAGGGTCAGGAGAAACCAGGATACTGGAGCGGGATGCTTCGCCAACCTGATAAATCCCCAGGTCCCATAGACAAGCGAGTGCTTCCTAAAAGGGTGCGCGTTGCCTCTTTTGCCATCCCAACTGGGTGAGAGAAACACACCACCCAACCCCACGCCTCATGTTTCCAACAATGGGAGGCCCAGATGCCAAAGATCAATCCAGCCAGTTCCTTTCCAGGGCCCAATTTCTTGGAAAGCGCACCTCTCCTTCAGTGTTTCTTTCACAATCACATTCACTTGACAATAATGTTTCGCTGGGATTCAGGTTACTTGCTGAATCAGTTGAAACAACCAGACCATGAACACAAAGGGAATTCGAAACGAGACACGTTCAAAGTTTGAACACTAATTACTCGATTTAACACGCTTCGACAGGTGCAGGACTGCTCCCTTCCCAAACCGCAAGAGTCAAACATTGGCGCAAACCTTCAAACCACATGCCCAGTTTTCGAGATTTTACACAGTGTCTACCCAGTTTGTCCGATTTTCTTCCATATTTTCGATGTCCAACCAGGTGTTTGGAGATTTGGAGATTTTCTCTCCCAGTTTCTGCAGTGACCAGGACGAGGGGGCTGCCGTGAAACAGGCGCTTCTTGCGATGCGCAAGGACGGCCTGGGGGCCCAAACTCTTCGGACCCACTGGGTTCGGTCACGGACTCTGCCGCTTCCGCAGCGAAGGGTCGGAGAGTTCGCCACCCTCAAAGTAAGGAAACCTAACCTAGGTCCCCCAGTAGTGCCCTTTTCCCCTGTTTTGGGGGGAGGGTTCCCCTACTAAAGTAGACAACAGCAAAAAGTTGGTACCCTCATTCTAACCTCTCTGGAGGACCTAGAAGCTTTTGTGAGCCGGCATCGGCTCGCCTCGTGGGCGCGGAGCATGTTTGGACGCAACAAGTTGCAGGTGTCCTTGCTGGCTTCCGTTTGAAGCATCGAGTGGATTCCACCGGGGGGAAATTATCGGGAACCCTGCTGCAAGCTTCTGGGGTCTCCTCCATAGCTATTGTATATTTTTTGGGGCTGGGCTAGACTTTTTTTTGCATGGTTAGCAAGCATCTTGCGCATGTTGGACATCACGGCTGTCCCTTTTTACGTGGTTCGGACATATCTTTGCCAGGATGACTTTCTCCCTAGAGCCGAACAGGCCCTTCCCTTGCTGGTGCGATAGGCAGGGAATGAGAATTGGAATGACCCCGAGAGAAACCATCCCTTATGGTTTCCCTTGAGGGGGCCCCTGGGTGGATTCCCAACACCCTTGGCTCATTCCATACTGAGTACCAGCAAGTTCCTGCATGGTGCAAAGTACATTGTTGAATATCACAGCTTCCACCCGATTTCGAGGGCCCTGCAATTGGGAGCCTTTTGCCCAAAACAATTTCCATGGTCCAGCTCTATGAAAAGCGTCGCCGACATCTTTTCGGAGCCAGCTTGCGCTTGGCAAGCGGCAAACCGCACGGCGGTGTTCTTAGATTGGGTTTTGTGAGGAACGTTCGTGGAGTCCTTTGAATGTGAAAGGCGAGGTGCGTCAAGAGAGCCAGGTTTGTGTCCGACCGGGAATCCCACAACGGTTAAAACTTTAACACCAAGCAACAAGGAGGCCCAATAAATATGGCACCCAGGTGATCTTGATCATGGGCTCCGCTTGCCTGTCGAAGGCATTCAACGAGGAGAGGTTTACCAAGTTGAGGAAAATCAATTGGGCTCTGCTTTTAGATGATGTCCTAGTTAGAGCTTGACCCCATTTCCGCTCATAAAGACCATTCCTATCCCGGCATGGTTCCACATGGCTCCATACCTGGGGATCCACCCTAGAAATGGTCTTTGATCATGCTGTGTTTGGTTCTTCAAGTTGCTCCCCTACCCTGTATAGTGCCCCATTTCGAGCCCCTTCTTGGGTATTGGCCAGAGAATCTGGCTCCAAATACAAGAACTACTCCCCGGCAAATGAATTTGGAATCCCAAAAAAGGGAGGCTGAAGGGGATTCCTCTAGCTGTGGTGGTTTGTTAGGTTCTAAGTGGGTTTCCTTTAGGCTCAGCCTAAAAGCCACCAAAAAAAGCAACAGGGCACCCTCAAAGAACCCCACGCCTTTTTTTGTGGGAGGGATCCTTTTTCCGCGTCCTTCATCAGTGGGACACTACAACAAGGGACGCCCACATAGAGCAACGACCCCTTCAGCCCAGGCCGTAGCGCCGCAGACATGGCTGCGCATGCGGAGGTAAGGCGCATTGCCAAGGAGCCGCAGACCTGAAATGGGCTGCCCAAGTCCTAGACACCCAGGTGGCTTCCCATTGTCTTCTGGGGTCCTTCCAACATGAACAACCACAAGAAAGAGTTCCCTTTCTTCCCAGAACTACTGGGGGTCTGGGTAGTGGTTTCCTTTTAGTGGGTTTCTCTTTTGTGGTTTTCTTAACTACACCCTGGTTTGAAAGCCGCCATGTCAAAGTCACCACTTCTTGGTATGTGTCAAGGACCGTAAATAGTGGCAGTCCTTTTTGGTGTCACCCCAAAATACATATTGGACTTACCCCAAGCATTGTCTCAACAACAGGTCACCCAAACCCCCACCTAAGGCAGTTCATGTTCTTTGGTTGCAGGTGACTCCGAGCCGTGTCAAGATGATCAAACCGTTGAATTGTGGATTGGTTTCTTTTGGTGTCCCTTTCAGCACCAACAAATACGGGTTTCTGTTTTTGGAAAGCTAGCCTTGTGGAGGTTGGTTTAAAGGGAAGCTAAAGGGAACACCACTATTCAGAGGTCCCCTGCTTTGGAACACACCCAGAACCCAGATATAGGCCGTGTTGGAAGTAGGGTGGATGATGGATGCCAGCTGAATACTGCAAGTTGGGAACAAGTTGGACATCCCGTAATGTTCTCCAAGTTGCCCAGGGTTTTGTGGTTGGATATGGTTAGCAAACTGGCAGTTCTGGCTAAATGAAAATGGTGCAAACACGACCTCGGGATTTGGTTTGCGACCCATTTCACCCATGATGAAGTTAACTGTTCAACAAGTTTTGTTTGGCGAATTATTGCAATTCGCCGAGCTAGAAGGAACTATATCAATTATTGCACATATTCAACTGAGCTTAAGGGGTGGTAAACGGGGTTCATGAATGACAAAGGATCTTTGCTGCTTGCTGCTGTTCCCGTATGTTCATTATGTACAGATACATTTGTGCAGATACAGATGTGTACTGACATCAAACACTTTGAGTTTCTCAGAGCCCTTCTCACGCGCCTGGCTTTGCATTGAGGTATTGTGCCCTTTTCAAGGGGTGCAAAGCGCACATACAAAGAGCTTTCTGATGGAACAAGTGTGAACCGTGGCTTCAGGAAATTGTGCACCTCAGCGCCAAGAACGCGCATGGGTCTCAGATTTGAGTCCCATGGCAGACTTTTACCCCGAACCAACCCCGAACGCGGATCAGGGGGTCCTTCGGCTTGTGCGAACCGATGCAATGTATCAAGGAGCCGGCACCCTTTTCCCCTTGTTGGCGGGTTCTTAAAAAATGTTGAAGCCCAACCAAGTGGATCCCAGGCGAACCTACACAGCAGGTAACCCTTCGCCATGTTCTTTTGTTTTTAAATGGCTGGCAAGGTCTTGGTTGCCTACAGAACCAGGGAAGCGGTTGATCACTGGGCAAAACGGTCCTCTGTTGGGTCACGTGGCTGGGCCACGCCTCCTCTTGAAAGTCCAAAAGATGGAAGAGTCGGAGCGGCAAGCCATTTGTCCCCGCTTGGCTTGACTGAGTTGGTAGACAATTGGGTGTGTGTTCTTGGTATTCAAACTTTATGGGAAAACAATTCTGGTGGTAAATACACAAATCAGAGTGTTTTGGCCCCGGGAATTTGCGTGGGGAATTCGGTTCAACACCAAAAAAAACTTAAGGGTAAGGCAGCTTGATGCGCATGCTGAAAGGGGTTTGGGGTCATCTAAGCAGAAATGAGTCTTGGCCGCCAAGAGGAAAGGGCTTGAACTGCTTTCCGGGAAAAACTTAACTATGAAACCGCCTCTTCTGTACGAGCAAAATGCGTTGTGTTGGAGCCTAAATTCTGCTCGTATTTTGGCAGATTGGGCTTGCGTTTGCGGCAATTGCGAGTTTTCACAAAGAAAGCAGTGATCTGCAACAAATCCTGCATGGGCACATTTTTTAGGGTTTTGGCCACACGCTACATAATACGGAGCAGAACGTGTTTTTCTTGGTAGGCGTTTCTCAGAGGCCCCAGGTTCCCCGTGAACCAACTCCGAACAAGCTCCGAACGAACAAACTCCGAACGAACTCCGAACAAGCTCCGAACGAACTCCGAACGAACTCCGAACGAACTCCGAACAAACTCCGAACGAACTCCGAACGAACTCCGAACGAACTCCGAACGAACTCCGAACGAACTCCGAACGAACTCCGAACGAACTCCGGACAAACTCCGGACGAACTCCGAACAAACTCCGAACGAACTCCGGGCGAACTCGGAACAAACTCCGAACAAGCGAACAAGCTCCGAGCGAACTTTGGCATTGTTCCCGAGCCAACTCCGAACACACTTTGGCCATAAGTATGTTTTTGAGCCCAGGTATTTTGGTGGCCAAGCTGTTTTTTTTGCTTTTTCGGGCTTACCAAAAGAGGCCAAGTGATTACAGGGGCCAGTTTCAACAAGTGGCCTGGGAAGGTGTTTTTTGAGGCAAACAAACATGTTCTCAGGCCACTTGTTGAAATTAGTTCTTTTGGTCACTTGATTTTCCTGTTATGTATGTTTCGGGCTGGATTTACTTCCCGGACAAGCGCCAAACAAACTTTGGCCATATTTTTCTTTGGGGGAGCTGATTTTGGTGTGTCGGCCTTAAGTTTCAGTTTTTTCGGCTTTGTCTTGTTTTATTGCTCGTTTTTTTTTCAGGCTGTGATTTTTGCTTATGGTTTTTTTTCGGGGCTTAATTCTTGCCCCGGACGAACTCCGAACGAACTCCGAACGAACTTTGGCCTTAAGTTTTTTTGGAGCTTTTTTTTTTATTCGGTGTTGAACTTTTTGGGTTTTGGTCGTACAAAAACACTGGAATTACAGCTTGTTGATGCGTTTTTCGTACAAATTTAGTGTTACCAGGGCAAAAAAAACACTGAAACATGCTTAATCCAGGCTTTTCATGCAAGAAAACAGTTATTTCATACGACCAAAATCGGGCAAGCCATTACACAAATCGGGCAAACCCTTAAGTTCAACACCGGTGTTGAACTTAAGCTCTTTTTTTTGGAATAATATTTTTTTCCCGGATTAAGCCTTGATCAAAAGGATTAAGCTTTGTTTCAGCTTCAACAGCGAGCCTCAGCGTCAACCAAGCTGCGTGATCACCCCGGTAGCGATTTTAGCCCTCCGCAGCTCTGAAGTTCTACAAATCCGGCCCTGAACTCCTTCCCAGGCCACTTGTTGAAACTGGCCCCTGTAATCACTTGGCCTCTTTTGGTAAGCCAGAAAAAAGGCAACAAAAACAGTTTGACCGCCAAAATACTTAGGCTCAAAAACATGCTTATGGCCAAAGTGTATTCGGAGTTGGCTCGGGGGTTTGTTCGGAAATCAACCAATGACAAAGCTTGCTCGGAGCTTGTTCGCTTGTTCGGAGTTTGTTCCGAGCTCGCCCGGAGTTCGTTCGGAGTTCGTTCGGAGTTTTTCCGGAGTTTGCTCGGAGTTTGTTCGGAGTTCATTCGGAGTTCGTTCGGAGTTCGGAGTTCGCTTGGAGTTTGTTCGGAGTTGGTTCACGAGGAACCTGGGGCCTCTGAGAAACGCCTACCAAGAAAAGCACGTTCTGCTCCGTATTATGTAGTGTGTGGCCAGAACCCAAAAAATGTGCCCATGCAGGATTTGTTGCAGATCGCTGCTTTGTTTGTAAAAACTCGCAATTGCCGCAAACGCAAGCCCAATCTGCCAAAATACGGGCAGAATTTGGGCTCCAACACAACGCATTTTGCTGCGGACAGAAGAGGCAAGTTATTCCCGAAAACAGTTCAATCCCTTTCCTCTTGGCGGCCAAGACTCATTTCTGTTTAGATGACCCCAAACCCCTTTCAGCAGGAGCGTCAAGCTGTCTTACCCCTAAGGCTTAGCGCGCAGAAACGGCGCGGTCCCCTGGGAAGCAAGCAAATTGATTCTTGATTCGAGGAAACTGGCATCAATAGTACACTTTGAGATTTGCTTCAAAATCTGGGCTTTTCTTTTTTTGGTTTTGGCAAACCCTTAAGTTTGAGTAAAAAACCCTTATTCTTTTTTAGCACCTTAAAACACCCAAATCCCGAACGAACTGACCTGACCCATGAAATTTGGCCACTCAGGAAGTGAGTTTTCGGGGACCCCTCCAAAATGGTGGTTTCCTTTTCTCCTTGAAACAGTCGCCAAACAGGGTAACATCAAAAAAACCCTTTCTCAATTCAAGCAAATTTGAGCGCCATTCTGTTCATGCTTGGCTCCTCGGATTTGGCTGTACATCATTTGCCGATAGTGACAGTGCGCACTGTTTTGCCTATGGAATGGGCTCTTTGTGGGCAGAAATCCGAGTTGAGGAACCTCAACCCGCCTCCCCCTTAGACGGCCCAGGTCCCAGTGCTACCACAACGCAGGCTTCGATGAGGCACGCACTGGCCCCTTTGCTCCTCTTTTGTTAGTCGGGCATCTTTGTCATCATGTTGATGTCTAAGTTCCAGCTACCGGAATTTCTATTGGGAAACCCTTGTTCTTGGTGGGGGATCCCCTCTAGAAGTTCCTGTAGCTGGTTGCTATGATGGGACAAGGCCTGAACGTTTTCCAAGCGACGGGACCCGCGACCTGGGCCATGATTCCTTATCGGGTCCAGCGCGACGTGGCCCAAACGGATGTTGATCAAGGCCATCGGATCAATGCAAGCTAAAGCAAATGGAACGGGCTCCAGAACTGCGCATATTATTGTAGTCATGCTGGAATTTGGTTTGAACGTACCCCAAGACCCATGGCAACTATGTAGGCTCGTATTTTGGGTGTTCGGCCAACTTTGTAATTTGGTGGTAACCTGGGTGATAACTTATTCCGCGTATATGTCCCCCGAAGCGGAGGTAGCCATGTTACGAGCGGATTGTAAGTCAAGTGCCTTGCCACTTGCCAGCTTGGCCTGAGTGACATCCCGAAAGCTCCGGTCTCATAGGTCTGAGGCAAGATGGTTGAACCACACCAGCCACGAATTAAGGTGAATTGCCTGCTCAGCCTGCTCTTTAGCGAGGATGCCCTAAATATCACAAGGAGGGGAGCAAGTAGTTCTCCACAAATTACAAGATTTTGGCCACCCCCCGTCCTCCATTGGCCCCTTGAGACCCTACCCCTGCAAAGACCTCATGGAAACACAGATTTGGTCCCATGGACTTGTCTCCAAGTCGGAGATTCATATTTCCCCAGTATTCCATATGCCCAGGGTATCAAACCTTCTTTTGGGTCCAGAATTGGATAGGAACTTGGATATCACCCGTTTCTGAACAGATGAGTCGAATATATTTTCCATTTTCAGGTTGACTAAATACAGGAGTCCCTCAATTATCCCTTTTCTGGGCCTGCAAAAGTTGGTGATCGTTTCAAAGGAATCCACGAGAGAAAATGGCAAATACACCGGTCCCACGAACATGGCACTTGACAAGGGGTCCATACACCAGGAAAATGATCTTCCAGGAACCTCCCACAGGTGTTAGTGGAAGGGAGGGTAAATACACCGCATCCGAGAAAGTTGTCTCTTTTTGAACCCCGGGGGTTGGATTCAGGGCCGTTCCAATTTGGGCCTTGGATTCTGCGGCGTTCGCGGTTTTTGGGTGAAGCCCGGTGGGCCGTGGCCACTCCCAATGGCTCCCTTCGGTCGCGCAGGAGCGGAAGGCGCAGGTGGCGGCAGCGCTGCGGCTCCTGGAGCTCGACCCCCGGGGGTTTTCAAGGGAAAACCATTCAGTTTCCCTTTGGTTTCCCTTTGGGTTCCCTTGCTGTTGCGGGTTTCTGGGGGGTGGATTTTTTTTTTGGAAGCTGCAAAGAAGTTGTCAGAACCCTAATGGATGTTTTCTGCAGAAAATGAGGAGGAAAGGAAGCCATGGACATGAAGGGAGGCCATGAGGATGTTGGAACAATTGTTTAAACGTGGTTTAAGACTTCAGAGGTACAGGACTCCTGTTGCCTTTAGAAGACAACCGCATTTGTCTTTTAGGCAAGATGCATTTTCCTTGGTAAAGGAAAGCCAAGAGGACACCGCCCACGTTTGCCACATCAATCGACGACTTTCCCTTGGCTTCCCTGGGAGCGTTGCGGTCTCATGGCAGTAGTCCATGTCCCCAATTCACCACGCCTGAAAGGATGAGGCGGGGTTCCACGAACAACCCGGTTTAGCTGCGTCTCAACTTGGTCTCTGGTCTAGTGCGTAGGCAAGCTCATGAGAATAGGCCCCTCCAAAAATGAAGGACCCCCTCAAAGAGGTTGTTTCCCTTTGTTGTATCCTCCAAAAAAGACGTACTTTTTGGTACCTCCGATGTTTTTGTTTGTTTCTTTTTGGGGGGGGGGTGGATGTGTCCTTTTAGCAGAGTTGTCCCTCCAGCAGTTTGGGAGATTGGTAGCCGCTTATTGAGCTTTTCAAGCAGAGGTTCCCTTTTTAAACCATTTGGTTGCCATTTGAAACCGGGGCTCATTTGGGGCGCTCTTTCTCCTGCCATCCTTTTCGGAATCCTGGTTTAGACCGGCCTTGGCTGGTAGCGTACCGGGCAGGGACCTAATACTTCCTGCGAGATTTCTTTGCGGTGGCGGTGATGGCTAAATGGTAAGAAAGGATGCTCCGAGACTTTCAACTGTGATCAACCAGGCGTATACAGCACCAACACTTCGAGCCTGTTCGGATACAGCTTTGGAGATGATATTGCAAGACAAATGCTACTATAAATGGGATGAAGATGTGAGCCTGTTTTTCAGTGTATCTGCTTTGGACGAATGTTCAAAATGGTTCTCTTTCTTTAGGAGACCCCCAGAAACCAAAGGCGGCTTTCCTGCGGGTTTCCCTTTAAAACCACGTAAAAGGGTACCCTCAAAAACGACACACCCATATTTCTGGCGTCTTTTGGGCCAACACTGTTAACCTTTTCTTTCTCGGTTGCTTACAAAGGAGAACTCAAAACCTCATTTCTCTTAACATCCGGCCCCGTGTTTTTTTCTTTTCTTCAAAAAACATGGTTGGCTGCTTTGTGTTCTTTGGTCCCTTTTTTTTTTGGGGGGGGGGCGGGGAACCATTCTTTGGAGGGTTTCTTCTAAGCCCGGCATCATGCCTATTGAAGCCATGTTGAACATTGCCTTCCGGGTGCAAATCCAGCAATTTGCCCATAAAACATCCTTTTTAGGAGCGCTTCAGGTTTTGCACTGATTGCACGTTTCCAGGATGGGGAATTTTGGAAGACTGAGCCTCCCAACTGAGATGCGGAATAGATTCAACAGAGGAATCGGGTTTGTTCTCGTTCTTCTGGTGCGCCTGAAGCCACGGAGTGGAAGGCGGGAGCTTGGGGCATATTTGTCTCCATTTGCCCCCTCGCACCCTTTTGCCGTTTTTGCCACATTCCCCTCCAGTCTCACACAGATTCCAATCATCTGGGCTGTTCAAAGGTAATCCTTAATCCTTCCCTTGAGTTACGCAAGGGGTCCCCTTTGGTGGCTTCCCTAAGACAGTGCAAATTCGGATTGGCCCGCCTCTCCATGTTGAACAGCGATTCTTCTGGCCCTTCGGGCCAGCTCGTTCAACTTTGCAAGGCACCAGCTCTTCCACACCGACGATTTGGGCGGTGCGCCCACCAGCCCTGCCACGCCCGCCACGCCGGCCACGCCCGCGGCAAAGCCCGCAACGCCGGCGAAGCCCGCCACGCCGGCGAAGATCATGGTGCCGCCGTCACCCACAGGCCGGGCATGTTCTCTGGGATTATGTGTATGGATATGCACTTATGCCAACCAACGTGCATTAGTGCATTTGGACATTCATACATGTTATATATATATATATGTATGTATTGTTGCATACATATACATACAGACACACATGTATATATATACATATATATGTATATATATATACATATATATATATACACATCTGCACATGCAGATGACGACCACCTGCAGTAATAATATGTTGATGGACATGTGAGTCATTGGCGATGTTCCTTTACGATGCCTTCAAGTGGTCAGCTTGATTTGGCACATCTTATTTCAGGTCGAAAGGGCTGCAATTCCAGATGAGACGCATTTCTACTCGAGGAAATCCCACAAGTGAGTTCAAGTAGTCATGGTCGGGTGTGTTTTTTTGACGGTACCAGATTTTGTCGGTTTTAAAGGGACACCAACGGGAAACTCATGATTTTGAGGGACCCCCTAAAAAAGGCACACCCGGTTGGATGGGAATGAGCCGCTTTAGTATCGCAGAAAAGGGGAACACAGCACACGATTTTCCAAGATGCCCTGAGACGATTGCATCGGGACATCTTGCTTTGCTTCGCAGTGCCTCAGTGTGATCGAGTACGTGTGGCAAGGTGGAGCTTTGCATGCAGTACACAAGGAGTGGGCGCATTAGTGTAGCACATTTGGAGGGGCTCCCAAAAAAGTTGCTTTGGGCACCACCATTCAAAGGGCGATTTTGAGAATATCACATTGTTGGAACCAGGTTGGGAGAGAGAGACAGAGGGAGTGTGCAAGCAACTTTCGTATGTCGGGGACGGTCATTCATGCCTTGTGGCCAAGCATTGCGTTGGTTCCCTTTTTCGGGGGACCACTTTTTCACCTTGACAGACAGCTGGCGTTTTGGTCGTCGGAGTTCGCGGCCCGCCAGCGGACGTTGAGATACAAATGGAATCAAGCAACAAACTCACAGGGATGGGGAGAAAAACAAAAAAACACGACATCGGAATCAAAAGGGTTGTGTCGAGCCATGGTGCTTTTTCTAGCATATGTCTTCAGACATGTTTGATCCTTTCTCCCCTTGTGTTTTGTCCAATGCAACGCTGCTTCCACAGTTTTTTGGAAGCCGAGGTTGCGATTTGTTTCCATGACACGTTCCCAGTTTGCCCATGTCTGCACGCCGCGTTTCACCCGCAAAGACTCTTACAAGGACACTTCTTTTGAATTAATCTGAAGTCTATCAATGACCATGAAGTGCTTTCGAGTTCCACCTTGGTTTTAACGAATCTAATGTCTTTTATGCCCCCAGTCCCTAGCAAGACGTTGGAACTTTTGCCCAGCTCAGAGCTCCGCAGGTTTGCACGCCGAGGCCGGTCGATTCGATCGGGCGTTCGGAGAACCGGAGCTGCTCCCGGCATGAGGCCGTGTTTTTGGGGCCGCCAGCTTCTGCAGCAAGGGCATTGCGGAAGAACATGTGTTTTTCCTTTCTGGCTGTGTGGTTGGATCTTTGGGCTTTGACGTTTTGGGAAACAGCGGATTTTCTCATTGGACGCACAAAGAGTTGAACATTTTGGCAGGGGGGTCAACAGTGTAACAGCAACCAGGTTTTGGTAGCACAGAAAGGGTTTCGATTCGCATTGGGGCCCAAGTCTCGGGATACAAAACATCAGGTGAGATATAGGTGCACACGCGGAATCATGCGTGGAGGTATTGGTTGTTTAATTCAGGTACAGACGTATTTGATGGCAGCATATTCTAAGAATGTTTCCCCGCAGCTGGAAGCTTTCGTTATTTTTTGCCCAGATAGCCTCGGAGGGCTCAGAGTTCCCTCAGGGTTCTTCTGAATAGCACCCGGGCTCATTCAGATCTGTTGTATCTCCTTTTTCTCAGTTTGTTCTCTTTCTCTTTATTGGTTTTCATCTTTTTTTTTCTTCTCTCTCTCTCTCTCTCCCTCTTTCTTTTTCTCTCTCTGTCTTTTCTAATTCCCATACTTATCACGTGTTTTTCTTCGCTTTCTCTTTCTTCTTGGCCTCCTGCTTCTATTTCCCTGAATATTGCTGTTTTTTCTTGTGTTTCTCTCTCTTTCCTATCTTTCTCTTTCTTATCATTCTCTTTCTAATTCTTTTCTTTCTCTTTCTTCTTTGTCTCTTTCTTCTCTTTGATTTCTTCTCTTTTTTCTCTTTCTGCTCTTTCATCTCTTCTCGTTGTTCTCTGCTTCTTTCTCGTCTTTCGCCTTCTCTCTCTCTCTCTCTCGCCGCCCTGCGACAGTGAAACACGCAAGCAAAGACACTGATCTTTGAACGTCCACCCCGCTCCCTTGAAAGTCCGCAGACGGTTCCGCGAACGAAGTAAACAAGAGCAAAACGACCCCCAATTATTGAGAGGTGACCCCACCAAAGTCTGCAGAGAGTTGACCATTTGATGTTTGCACGCGGTAAAAACGGCAAACACCACCACTGCCAGGTACACGGAGGGTTGCGTGAGCGAAGCACGGACGAACGGAAACGCATTTTTCAAGCTTGAACGAGTTTTTGAAGTTCAACCCCGCGAACGTTCGCAGAGGGTTCATCATTTGACAGTGACGAAGCAGTGCGCGCGGCCGTGCCAATTGGCTCGTATCCGAGACAGTTCCGCTGGCGCACTACTCCGAGATTGGTTTGCGCTGAAGAGCGAATGGCCGGGCGTGTTGTTTGCCCGCTTCTACTCCCAATTCTTCTGGTTTCTGGCTTTCTCTAGCTTCTCACGCGCAGCGCATATCCTGTAAGAAAGCAGACTCAATCGGTTCCAGTGCTACAGAAGTTCTCTTTCAACTTCCTGTGATAGACCTGCTAGCTGGGGCATACTGCGGTTTAACGCCTTTTTCATCCGGCGGCGTGCCCCGACCCCCAGCAGTTTGCCAGGCGCTCGCAGAAGTCCCCGAGGACAGCAGCGGATGTCGGAAGCGGAAGATCCGCGAACACGGCCTCCAAGCATGCTGGTGTCCTTCTTTCAGTGGGGTTGGCTTGCAAGCAACCCACGTATAAAACATACAAGTCGGGTGGTCCCCTTGTTTAAGACACGTCTATATGAGCCTTTCTGGCCATGATTTTCATAGGGAACACCCTGAACCACGATGTCCAGAGTCCACCAAAACATCCCCCAGTCGAAACTCATACCCTTTTGATTGTTTCTCAAAACTAGGCACCCTTCCAGGTGATCGGGTTCCTCTTCATTCCCTTTTAACGGGGTTCCAGGTCGAGTCAAGGCCCCGAACCTTCCTGCCTGCGACGTTGAGTTGCAGGGGAATAACGGGACTGGGGAATGGTCCCAAGTCAAACCTCATGCAGGGGGGCCGATTAAACTTAAATTCCCCTTGTTGTACTTCTAGAGCGGGGTCTCAACACCTTGGCCGATTTTTAGATGTTGTTCAAGTGGTTTCGTGGGGGAGCAGGTAGTAACCTCTAACACAAATGTACAGGCAAACAACAAAGCATGCCCAAAGACTGGGCTTAGCCTCTGAGAGGACAAGCTGGAGGACGTAGCGCCGCTCTTGCTGGCCAAGGTTGCGGCGAAGCGTCTCTTGCAGCAGGCGGAACACCAGAGATTTCGAAACCCGGCCGCCTGGCGCGAACGTATGTTGACCTGGGGTTGGCAAAAACGGTCATACCCCGTAGAGAGACTTTGCCCTGGCCCGCAGAGGGAGGTTTGACCAAGGGGGGATTCATGCTTCCAGCTGCGCCGAATGGCCAGCCTTTGATGTACTGAAGTTGCGACGTGCGCAGGGAGTTGCAATTACCACAGACATGGTGCAGTAGCCCGGAACTGGTGGTAGTGTGTGATTTCGGCCCACTGGTTGTGCCGGAGGTACGACCAGTCCATTTCTGTCATGCCATGCCTGGCTGAGGGGCTGCCTAAGGAAGTAGCCAAAGTGCCTTGCACTGCATACGAGGCCCTCACTTTGTAAGACTTCTGCCGGCTGGAACAAATATGCACTCCATCCGGATCATCTGCTGCTTGCCCTGCATTTGTGGGCGAATCAGCCTGCCACTTGCGCCTTCTTCCCGATCAGAGGTGGGGTTTTCGGAGCAGCCCCTAATCAACCAAGCCCTGCATGCAGTGTTGGCACAACACAGAGTCCAGGCCCATGATGTACACGTGTTGTGTAGCATGGAGACTACCTCCACGATTTGCAGCAGTGAATTTGTTCTGTGGTGCAGCTTGGCACCCAGCACGCACGAAGCTCTAGGAGTTTTGACCACGGGTCAGGCAGTTTTGTAGGGTAGGCTGGCGTGCGCCAGGTTTTTTCTTTTTCCCCCGTTCGGCCGCTGAACGACACTGTCCGGTGTGTCTCTGTGTGTGTCAGGTTGTGGAGTCCAGTTATTTTTGTGAGTCAAAAGGATTCTTGAGAGCCCCCCAGTGAGCCTATTCTATCAAAGTTCATTCTAGCTGAGGGAGGGGGCGTGCAACTTTTTTTGCAGTTCAACAACGAGATCGTGATGCGTGAGTCTGGGGAATCCTTGAGGAATCCTTGGGGAATCCTTGGGTCGCTTCCGCAACTGTCCCCGGAAAACGCGTCTTGGAACTCCACCTCTCACTGGGTCGGTTTACCAGTAGTCAGGGTTGTCCAGTTGCCCACCAACCCTACTGCACTGGGCGTGGTGGGCCTGTAGCAAGCCCTGCATGAGGGTTTGTTCAACTGGTGGAACAGGGAACCACAAGGAAACCACGATTTAAGGCTCCACTATTTGGAGAACCCCCTTGCAACCATGCTGGCAGAAACCAAGGCCAATGGATTTGAGCGCTGTTGGCTTTCTTGCCAGGCAAAACGAGAAGAGGAAGCAGCAGCCGCAGCTCATGAGGCGAGCGGCTGGGTTTGCCAAAGCTTGCGACCAAGCAAGTGGATGCGCGGAACGTTTCCCTTTCAAACCATCCCAAAAAGGGTGCCCGCAAAAAGCATAGACCGCATATCATGTTAGAAAACATATCCAGACAAGTCATGACGAGCTCTGGACTAGAACAAACACAACCCATGATGCAGGCTGTATCTGGGTAGTTCTTATGTCCAGTTTGCGAGGTGCTATCGTACTTTGCCCAGGTGGATGCGAATGCGCCAGTTTGGCGCATGATGTTTTTATGCCTGTAGATGGTGACACCAGTTTCTTTGCATGGGGATTTGTTGTTTGATAAAGGGAAACCAAAAAGACACTGCCTGCTTTAGGCGTTCCCCATTTGGGTACATGTTTTTTTTTGGGGACCTTTTGGGGGAATTCATTTAAAATGGGAATTTGTGCCTACCACCCCCCCCCCCAATGAAAATTGATACCCTTTTTCCAACAGTCATGGCGGGCGACAGAAGGGTTTGGTAGACCATGCAACCCTCTGGAAAGGCCCATTTGTCCAGTTCCATTATTGTTGGACAACGGGTAGCAGTTGGTAGACGCGCACATTCGGCGGCCCCATGAGACAGGGAAGCAAAAGTGAAAGAAAAGACCGCGTATTTTCGGGTTTCCCAGTGAGGCAAGCCCAACTGTTGGGCCACCTGGCGGTCTTCGCCCTGAAACCTGTCAGGTGGTCCGCATTGAGCCTCTGCGGCGCAAGGCCAGCGGAAGCTTCGGTGAATCTATGCCCCAGCCACATATGTACATGTATAAACACACGTTCAATGTGTATATGCATTTTAAGCCTAGAATTGTATTAATATAGATACATACCGTATGTTATGCTTGTTTAGCATGTATTTGACATGTGCATGTGTGTGTGTGTGGCGTCATATGCTTCGGGGGTTCTCAATTCCCCTTTTTTGGACCTCCTAAAGTGGACGCCAGTGAATTCATCAACTGTTCAAGGGGGGAACTCCAGTGACCCCTGTCAGAGCCATTGCCCTCGCGACAATCAGACACTATTGCCATTAGCGGCCACTGGAAAATGACGGGTTCCCCACTGAGAAGCAAAAAGGTGACTTTTTGGCAGGGGGCCGGGGGCCAAAGGTTTCTTTGTTAGAGAACTCTTACTTTCGGCTGCAGGCTCGTGTCAAGGAGATGCAAAGCAAGACCGAGGAGCTCTCTGTCTCTTGGCTGGTTCGAGGGAATGAGTTGGAATGACCCCGAAAAAACCCCATCCCCGATTTGGTTTCCTTTAAGGGAATCCCCTCATTCCCAACACCCTGGGGGTTCAACTCGACCGCAGGATGGTTTGTTGGCAATCCGCAAAAATACCTTCCCTTGGGTTGCACAAAGTAGTTGGATGGGTTTGGTTTGAATTCGTTTGGTTTGGTTGTTTGGTTCTTTGGTTGGTTTGGCTGTTTGGTTCTTTGGTTGGTTTGGTTGGTTGGTTGGTTGGTTGGTGGGGTGGGTTGGGTTGGGTTGGGTTGGGTTGGGGTTGGTGTGGTTTGGTTGGCTGGTTGGTTGGGTTGGGTTTGGCCTTGGTTTGGTTGGTTTGGTTGGTTTCGTTGGTTGGTTGGTTGGTTGGTTGGTTAGTTAGTTTGGGTTGGGGGTGGGGTTGGTTTGGTTGGGTTCGGTTCGGTTTGGTTGGTTGAGTTGGGTTTTGGTTTTGGTTTGGCTTTGGTTTGGTTCGGTTGTTTGGGTGGTTGGCTTCGTTGGTCGGTTGGGTTTGGTTTGGTTTGGTTGGTTGGATGGTTTGGTTGGTCTCGTTGGTTGTTTCGGTTTGGTTTGGTTGTTTGGTTGGTTGGTTGGTTGGTTGGTTGTTTTGTTGTTTTGTTGTTTGGTTGTTTGTTTGGTTGGTCGGTTGGTTGTTTGCTTGGTTGGTTGGTTGGTTGGTTGGTTGGTTGGTCGGGTGTTGGTTGGGTTGGGTTTCCGATTCGGATTCGGATTCGGTTTCGGTTTGGGTTTGGGTTTGGGTTTGGATTGGTTGCTTTTTTTGGTTGGTTGGTACCCTTCAAAAATACAAATTGTCTCCAAATAATTAGGGGATCCCCAAAATGAGTGGTGTCCCTTTGGTTTCCTTTTGGTCTTCTTTCAAAGCAACCCCAAATCTTGGCGGTTCTTAGCCGTCCCCTTTGGTTTTCAGGTTTCTTAGTTGGTTTAGTGGTTGGGTTTCCATTTAACTCACTAAAAGTTGCTCAAATCTAGCAGGGGTTTGGCCCGTCCGAGGACAACCAGTCGGATGACAGTCAGCGCCTAAGCCGGCGCTTCAGACCTCGCTCAAGGCGGTGCCCTTTTCTCCTTTCATTTTGCTTTTCAGAAGATGCTTTCGAATCGCCTGGATTTGAAGGAAGCTTATCAGTTCGGGTAAAAATTGACTTCTTCCAGGGGACTTAAAGCACATAGAAGTCTCTCTCTCTCTCTCGCTCTCTCTCTCTCTCTCACTTTTTGGAGGCGTTTTACCTTGAGAGTCAACGACCAGCAAAGAGGGTGCGAATGTTTCTCGTGGAAATCCTCTGGAGATCTCGGTGGTTTCCCTTGGCGGCTGGGTGCCAAGTAGACCAGAGCAGATCTTTCTGCAAGTGACAGCCTTTGAAGTGACAGCCTTTGAGTTCCTCTTTGGTTTGTTTACCCCTAACAAAAAGTCACCCCAGCAATAGGAATGGGACAATTTGCGGGTGGTTTGCCAGGCCGATCTTTCCCACGGTTCGGCCAATGAAAGGGATGCATGAAGTGAGACCTGCCGGAAGGGTTGTTTGGGAGTTCTACCCAACGACGTTTTGTCGATTTATGGGTTGCCCAAGGGAGACTAAAAACCCAGGCGTGGTTGATTTTCAAAGGGGAAGGCCTGGGTTGAAGTCAGCAGAATTACTTCCAGGGTGCGGCTCCGCTGGACGCCCACCCAGATCCCTGCGGGGGTAAGACTCCAGATTTGGGAAGGTGCCAATAACATTGCGGCCAGCCCCTGAGGTTTGCCTGCGCCCCGAACCAACGCCCCAACACAAAATCCCAAACCTAAACCCCAAAAACCATAAATCTAAACCCTAAAAACCCTAAACCTCAACCCTAAAAACCAGAAACCTAAACCCTAAGCACCCTAAACCTAAACCTTACAACCCTAAGCCTAACCCAAAAACCCTAAACCGAAACCCTAAAAAAACCCAAACCTGCTTGCAGAAACCTAAGCCCAAACCCTAAACCTAAATCCTAAAAACCCTAAACCTAAGCCCTAAAAAACCCCAGACCTTCCTGCTACCCACGCCTCGTGGTACCACGGCCCCACGTTCTGAACAGAACGCAGGTCACCACGTGTCAGGTATGGCTGCACGAGTTGTGCTACTTGAGTAGTAAAGGGTGCCATACTTGAACCACGTGCTGGACAAGGGTGGATTAGGGGGTGCCGGCAAACCACGGGGGCTGTGGGTAACATTGGAAGAGTATACCGGGCCCCTCAAATATTTTCGTTTCTCCTGTCTTTTTTTAATTCACATGTAACAAACGTCCTGTGTCACATAAGGGGTCCAGAAAGATTGTCGATCCGGGGATTTCACTTGAAGCCATTGAGCCTGCCCCTTTATGTTCCGTTGAAGTTCGTGAGGCGCACGCTCTGACTTGGCCGACTGCGGTGCGAAGCCCAGATTTCGGGCTACCCAAGATGGGGTTCCTGCTTTTCCTGTCGCTAGGTTGGGAAAGTAACAGCAACACCTGCAGGTTGCTTTTATAGATAGACAATATTTGATAGCATTTGCCCTTCACTGGACTAAGCTTAGCATTTAAACTGCTTAAGACCGTTTTGTTCTCTCCATGTGCCTTTGCAACCTGCAAAGTCTGGCCCAGACTCTGAGTCAACGGTTGATGACATCTGACACATTGTTCTTTTGTTGAATGATGGCAGTAAAGAAGGTGTAGTCTTGAACGTTGACAAAAGGGCTGTGGTTGTTTCCCCTGAAACCATCAAGGCCTAAGTCGTTAGAATCGTCGCTGTTCTTTTTTTCTGTTTGGGTGGCTTTGAGCATGGTAACATGACGAGGCCAGCTTGGCGACACAAAACACGAGTCCGACCAAATGTGCCTTTTGACGCAGGGGCCAAATGGGTGAGGCTCGTTTTTCGAGGGCACCCTTTGTTGGGTCGTTTCCGAAGGAAAGCCCAAAGGGACGCTGTCATTTGGGTGTGTCTTAAAGTAGCGGGCCGTAAATCAATGTGGTTTTCCTGTTGGTTTCTCTGTACACCCACGCAAAAGGGGTCATTCCAACAAACAGACACCCGTTGGGTGGCTCCCTATTTTGACATACATGAGTTCACCCATGATGAAGGTGTCGTTTCCAGGCGGTGAATTGTAGAAGCTTTTGCAGATTCATAGAAATCAGAAGGAATTTCTGCTGGAAGTTTGATTTCCAAATGCCGACCAAAAACAAGCATGTAGATGTTCCTGTACAGACAGTGCTGGGTCCTCGGGGAACTTGAGCAGCGAGGCCTGAACTAGTGCCATTTGCAGTGAGTGTTTGGCGAAGGGGCGCTGTTGAATGTTAAGGCACCACTCCCGTCACCCAACGCAATGGTATACTGCCTTGGCCAAGATATTGAGAAGGTTTAGTCAACTAAACACATAAGAGTGTGAAGAAAGAAGAAAGAAAGAAGAAACAAATTACACCAGCCTTGACCCCAAACAGCAAAAAATATGACAGGTCTGTATAACCCAAAAAAGGCATGTCTTCTTCATGTAAAGTGCGAAATGGAGTAGCTTATGTGAGCAACACATAGTTCTAATCAGTCCATGTATGTCCCTGTAGGAAGCTCGCTTTTTTGGGAAGAGGACACATCGGGTCCATCCATCTCCTTGACGCCGGCGATGTTGTTCATCGACTTCAAGGAGAAAATGCCATGTCAATGGCATGTTCGAGAGTGAAGCTTCGGGGATTCGGGGTGAATCAACCTAACACCTGGCATTAATCAAAGGAAGTTTCGACGGATCTGTCGTAGCATGGACAATCAATACACTTTTCCATCACCGCAGCATTTGGTGGCCGTCTCGCTACTCCGCTGAAACTTGCGCATCAGTCTCAGCCACAAGCAAAAGCAACAGAGCACTTGCATAAACCTGCAGACTGCGCCTTGTAGCGATACGGCCGGGACATCCTCGCCTAGCAACGCAGACACACGCCGCGCCACATTGGCAAGCGTCAGCAAAGGTGCCCGTTTGGCGCGCACCTCTGTCACCCGGCACAGCTCCAGAAAATCCTCAGTGTTTGAGCCGGCAGTAGCTTGGTCATCCAGGGCCTTCATCTGTCGTGTCCAGCGCGCCGCGTGCTCCCAAGATGGCCAACGCATGGCTTTGCTCCATGCGCCCAACGCCGCTCCATTCTGGAACAAGCTTGGCTTTGAACGTCAGCTCCAGCCCTGCTCCATCTCGGAACCGTGTGAGAACTTTGCCCCAACTTACCAATGCTGGCTGCGCAGTGGAGTTGGCGCTTATGGTTCGCAGATTGGTGCTCACATGTGTGGTGAATAACCGGCGGCCGTCATTCCAATGCTCGCCGCTGGCAACAACTTCTGGGCCTTGCGTTCGAAGAAGCAACAATGGCAAGACAAATGGCGTTCAGCTTGCGAAGGGCTCCTTCTTTGAAGCGTTTGTGAAGCGCGGTGTGCCATGGGGGAAGTACTTGTTGAGCACATTGACTTTCAGTTGCCTATAAACGCATAGGGGTGGCTATGAACAAAGAACTTAGCAATTTTGCTGCACATGTTCGTGAATTGTGGCGCGCCATGCGTGTGTGGACAGGGCTCAAACAATTTTTACGCTTATAACCTAGCTCAGACAAGTAGAAATTATTGTGAAAATGCATAGGAATAAACCATGCGGACAAGGCAGTCGCAACATAAACACGAGTTTTGATGTGGTGTGGCATGCAGTTTGGCAACTAGGCTAAGTTCTTGATGTTGTTGGGTAAGCGGTGTGCCAAGTTCGTGGGATAGGCGGCAAGTTTCCCGGCGGGTCGTATGCAAAGAGAACATCGCGTAATTTGCGTGGTCCACTTGTTGGAAAAACCATGGTGTTTCCGGTAGAATAGGGGAAGTAGGGTTTCTGGGCGTTTCGTTTCGCAGGCCCACATCATTGTACACCAGCGCTGAGCAACAAACATGCAGAAGCCTGAGCACACAATTTGTTGAGTAGTCTTGGGTTCTTGTGAGTTGCACCCTCTTGAGAAGATATACGAGGCAGACCTCCGAAGTGAGGCCACAAATTGGTTGTCCAGTGGCCTAAAAAATCAACGGACAAGAAAGGCCCTCAGTCACTGCGCAAGCAAGATCAAGCAGAAGCATACGTTTCTGCATTGAGGTCAAGGTGGCAGGCTGGCGATCGCTCGTGAGCCGGGTGTTGCCGCAGCTCGCGATAGGCTCACGGCCAAAAGTAGCAAGGAGTCACAACAGGTCACCCCCCGGACAGGTTCTGCGAACCCTAAGAATCCGTTCTAAAAGTTAAAAGGACTTCGCCTAGGGCGGGGGGAGGGCAGCCGTTGGTTTTCCCCCAAAAGATGTGTTGAAGGGCTGGTGTTTGCATCAACTCGGCTGGAACGACGCACCAGTTCCCTTGGATACCTGCTGCACTACATGAAAATAATAACGTGTTAAATTCTGTTGACTTCGGATCTTTGAGCTTGTAACGTACTTTGAAAACAAATTGTGAGTCATGAGCATAGTTTGAATAACGGGTTGGTGGACATGAATTTTCACCGAGCTGATGTCCAAGGGCCCTGATTTAAAAGTCCTGCCCATGTTGACCCAGTTGCGTCGCATCAGGCTTCCACTCATGAAGACGCGTGTTTCCCTGGAAGCAGCATTGCTGACGGATTCGCCCGTCCCAGTTCATGCCAACAAACTCAACACACTGTTCCTCAAGTTTTTTGCGCATTCTTGCATTTGGCAGAGCTACCATTTCGAGAGATGCTTGAGTGTGCTATGAGTCAGGTTGTCAAACATACGGGTTATCACATTAGGGGACGTTGTGTGTTGTCTTTCAGTGGGGTTTTCCGCCAGGAACAATACGTTCCATCCAACAATTATGGAAGCTGAGAGGAGGGTTTGGAAGACTCCTTCCCATCGAGACGCATGCGCTTTGATGTTCGAAGCTCTCAGGCTCGGCTCAGAATCACTGCTGAATCCTCATGCCAATTGGCGGCTTCACTTGTGTCCCACGGATGAAGGATTAGGAACAAGGATGCCCCCATTTGGGTATGCGTTTTTTTGAAGGTCCCCTTTGGTTGGTTTCAAGGATAGCACAAGGAAGACCGAACTCCATGTTTGGCAACCAAACGGTTGTGACCCAGCATTGTGTACTTCTTGCAGGTCCAAGTCCCTATTGTGACAAAACAATTGTGAACAACTCAGCCATGAGCTTTTGGTCAGGCGCCGTTGGAGCGACCAGCGCTTGCCACCTGGCAGCAGCACGGTGAGTTTGGCTGGAATAACTTCCAGCACTTTTATCTTACTGTGGATGGATAGAATCCTGCACCACCTCAGAAACCCTGGAATGATGACTCCCCTGTAAATACCCACAAACAATGGTTTCAGCCATGGCTTCATTTCTTGGTGCGATACCATCCACAGTATGGTGATGACCGAATTTTGATTTTAAGTCCCCCCGTTCAAATCATTTTGGCACGTGTGGATGGCACAGCCCCAGTTTGGTTTCTTGGCTTCACAGGAATTGGTGGCATCTACTTTCTGGGTATTGGCCCCCTGTCTTCCTTTCCGGGCTAAATGTGACGATCGGGTCTCAGCACCGTAGAGAGAGGCCTGTGACAGTTGATGCTTCAACTTGGCTGGTCTTTGGAGTGAAGGACCTTTCGGAAACAAATGGCCTTCTTCTGCTAAACCTACAAAAGGTTGTTCCTTTTGCTCAGCGGCGGCTTGGAGCAAGACGAGATCCGCCATCATGTTGATCCTGCATCAGTGAAGGATTCCCACAACTTGCGTCGCAATTTGTGACGATGTTTGATTGGTTTGGCAAATGGAACTGGGCCCCCAGTCCCAAGGTAGTTTGCCCACTTCTGTGATCAACCAACAGCTGAAACAAAACATGTTTTGAGTAAAGCCCCAAGACTCACGGTTGCTGGGGTGTCCAAAACTATTTGGTATAAGGGTTGACTGAATATGACACAGAATCTGATGTGGGCCAAGGTTAATTCCTCCAAAAGGTCCTTGGGGCTTATGACGGCTGTTTGGAGTGGAGCTTAGAACAAAAACTCTTATCAGGGTATATGCTGCCCGAATTCTCTTATACAGGTTGAAACCTCCGCTTCGCCAACCAACCCACCGATCATCGAAGATTCTGGGGGGTGGATCCACATGTGTTAAAGAAGCAGACCCCAGCTTTCTGTAAAGGGTAGCCAACCGGAGGTGGTTTAAACTTAAAACCTTGGTTTAAACATGTGTCTAGACATGCTTTAGACTTAAAAACGCGTCTTGGCACAAGCTTAAACAACGGCTTGGCACCTTGCCTGGGGCATATGCTGACTCAACGCCATATCAAGGCGAACCATTGCCGCCCAGTAGAGACTAGTGACTACTGGGACCTTCAGTTGCAGAAAAGGGCCACAACCTTCAACCTCCCGTGGTGGCAAAAAGGGGTTGTTTCACGAATGTCTTCTACTTGTACAAACGGTTCGCAGCTTTTGGGCTGGCTCTGTGCCGTGAACGATCGAGGAACTCCTTGCTGCAGCGCGTCGCCCTTGGGAGTCGGATCGAAAGTTGGGCGCGTTGAAGCAGCGGACTCTTTGGGAAAGCAGCGGGGAACTAGCCATTTTGACCCAATTTACCCTACGACCGTGGAGGGATTTGAGCGACTACTTTCCTTTTCGGGTTCAGAACCCCCCTGTCCGGTTCCATGATTAGATAGGGGGTAGCTTCACAGTTGCCTCCCGTGTTTCCTTGCGCGAAAAGCTTTGAGGTTGTCAGTCGCTGGTTTCCTTTCAAGCTGTGCGGATTCCTTTCCAGCGGAGCTGGGGTCTCCAAGACTCTTTAATATCTTAGGGTTGACTAATATGAAACATTGTGAGAAACTAGCTTTTTCGGTGTACACCAGCTGTGGGCCAAGGAAACCCCATTCATCAAAGTCAGCGTCCCTTCCATTGCCCAGAAGTGCGTTATAACTTACAATGCTCAGTCGTGCTAACCCCGACGGCGAGCGAACAGAGAGGGATGCAATGGTGAAACGGAAGGGCAGCGAAGCGAGGAAGTCCGCACCCCTTGGGGTTCTTGTGTTGGAGAAACTGAGGCAATTCTTGAAATGGGGGAACGCCCAATTCAATTCAAACATGCACCCTAAAAGGGCACTGTCAAAAAGACATGCCCAAATATGCTGGCAGAATATGGCTGAAATAGTTTGCCATGCGTCCAAACTTGCAGTGATTCACCCATTCCACACTGCGGGCTGTGTTTGAGAGCTATCAGCCAGGTCCGACTCGGGTAAAAAAGATACATTTGCAGGTGTGATGACATATTTGGAATAGTTATGCTGCTGGTGGGGTTCAGTGAGGAAGGGACAACTTCCCGTTCCAGGTTCCACGATCTGATTTAAGGTGTTGTGAGTTGCCCAATTGCCAGGATCAGAAAGCAGGATCAGAAAGCACGATCTTATTCGACCCAGGAAGCGATGGTCCGACAGGGTGTTACAGTCGTTGAGTCTTACTGACCCACAACCTCATGAGATCAGCGCCAAAAACCTCATTGGCAATTCTGGTTTTAGTAGGTCTTAGTAGTTTTATTGTTGTTTTTTTACTTGGCTTAAGAGGGATGATACGGCCTATATACAAACGATTCCAATTATGTTGGTAGAACCAAAAGTCAATTCGTGTTGGGCGCAGCCCATGAGAGCCACGTTTTGGTTTCAGATGGTGGATCCAGCCCAACACAATTGTTCCCATTTGAAAGGTATGTGATAGGATGCGAGTTCACCATCCACAGTGCATGGTTGGTTTACCAACGTTTCCCTTACAACCCTACAAGAGGGTTCCTAGTTTAGACAACATCCGGTGCAGGCATTCTGCAAACCTCAAGGTTAGCCGATCAAACTTGGAGCTTTGGATCCCCTCTAAAATGGATAAATCCCCAAGATGTCCACCAAGGAAGCGTCACTCCCGTGAAAAATCAGCCAGGTCACTAACGAGAGGCTTTTGCGGATGAGAGCTCAAACCCACAGATCCCAAAATAGGTGATTCTGCCCAATGCCGAGGTGACTACTCGCCCATTTCAGGAAGCCCGCGTGAGTGCGCCCTCCAGATGGTTTGTGCACCACATGGGGCTGCGTTCGAACAGTTTTTGCGCTGGCTGAAAGGGAAACCAACATGAAAAACACACCATTTTGGGGGCCTATAAAGAGTTGGCCCGCCCAAACGGGGGGATTGTTTGAAAGGTTCACTGGGACGCTCAAGCGAGCCTTAGGGCCACGCTCCTGTCCCTGTGGCCGATATGATCTCCAAGGAGATGCCCTAAAGTCCCAACTTGAGGGCGCTTGCTACGTGAGATTTAACCCACTCTCGACTTGAGTTGAAAGTCGGGCATGTCAAATACGCACTTTTTTTGTTGTGATTCACGGAGGTTTGTTTTGGGACACCATTCTTTGCTTTGGGATTCATGGCAGTAGCAGCAGTTGGCTGCTCAACTTCCTTTTGGCCCTACACACATCGATTGCGTGGGCAAACGTGCGGAATTGGTTTGGGGATGCCTTGGGTCGAGCCACTTGCCCATGCGATTCTGCAGCTGTAGGTTTTTCTATGACTTTGATTTCCTCATCGTGTGTGTGTTGAGAATGAGTTCAGTAGTTAGATCGTTCACGTTCGATCTACAAAGAAACAGGAACCGCCCGGGCGTGGCAATTCGGATCTTCGAACCAACGGGGTAGAGCCTTCATCATTTTCTGACCCAAACCAGAAACACAAAGAGGGTCTGTGTGAAGTGAGTCTGTCTACAACCCTATGACTGATTTTGGGGGCCATACCATGCCATACTTGAGAACTTGAGACAATCCCACCACAGTCAAAAGGTTTGCTTACATGGTTGGTAGGGACGGCCATGTAAAGGTTCCTATTTAACTAGGGGCAACATTCTACTTCTTTCCAAGGATCCCTCCAGAAACCACAAAAAGCCCAGGGACACTGCTGGTTGTTGAAGAGAGAGAGAGAGAGAGAGATGTATTCTGGAACAGTAACCAACCCCTAGAATCTCTCAGGAGCCACCCGTTTTCTGGGCTTGGTAGGGATAGTCGTCAACACCCTGGGCGCATGACCGGCTTTCCGGGGTTTGCACTAGGTTCAAGCCCAAGGGTTCCTATGGGAGGCATGACATCCGCCGATGTCCGCTCTCAGCGCCAGGTCCGCCTCCTCGCCGAAAGCTCGCGGAACGCCCAAAGGCGATTGGATGGGAGCCGTGAGCGAGCGCGCGCTTGGGCCAAAGCCCCCAAAGGGCTCCAGGCTGAACAGGGTTAGACGACAGGCTTGCTTCCAGCCGAAAAGGAAGCCTGGCAACACAGAGTTAAAACTCAGCGCTGAGTGGCTTGGGCCCCATCTTGGGCTCGCTCAAGGCCGTTTGGGAAAGATCTTTGATCCCGCGATTGAAAATTGGGGTTGGCGGCTTTCTTTGGTTTCCTTTCATCAGGATAATCCTGAGTTTCGATCGGGAGCCATGAGCAGGAAAGAGGGCCCCCCAAAAAGAGAGGCCCTTTGCAACAGATCGGGACTCCATCGCTGTTAATCAACCAGTGGTTAATTGATGAATCCTGGGTTTCGATGTTTGTTTAAACGGCTTCCTTTTGGTTTCCTACGCCCAGGGGCTGGTTGTTTAAACACAGCCCAACCCTCAAAGGGGTCATATGAGTCATATGACAGTCCATTCACTTGTCCCTGGTTGCAAGGTTTATGTGCTCTTCAGGTGCCCTGCACGGGTAAGCTGTTCTTCAGACCCAACCATGTTGCTGGTGATACGTGGCAAATAGTTCAGCACTTTTCCTATCGGATTCTCTCTTGATGGTTTGGTGGTCTGGAGCTTAAGCAAGGCCTTCACAAAAACCCTCAATAGCCTGGGGATCGGATCCCAATCCAAACCAGCTAACGGAGCTAACGGGTACCTGAGCCATCAACTTCCACGACACTAAAAGGGGAGGCTCCCACGTGTCTGGTGCCTTCTTTGGGCGTGCAGTTGATTTCCGTAGCAAGCATTGAACTACCCAAATCGAAACAAGTCCAAGAAAGTCGGTCAATATTACCAGGATACCGGTTTGGGTAGGCTCTTTTTTGTTTTGCAGGTTCATTGGTGTGGGTTTGGGTAGTCCACGTCCTATCATTTTCTGGTGGTGATATTGTTGCGTTTTCATGTTGCAGACGCAAGAACAGAACAAACGCCCACACACCCAAAGCCAGAGAAAATCGGCAGACAAAGACAAAACAGCAGCCAAACAAGGCGGCAACCACCGTGCCACAAAATCCAGCGTGCGTTGCAAGGCTTCCCTGTGCCGGAGGAAGAAGTTGAGGCCGGAGACGAATTGTCTGGAGCCCTGCTACAACTGGAAAGGGGGGCTTTGCACTTCCATATTTGGTGAGATAGTACATGAAGTCAGAGTTCCCAGAGTGCATGGTTGATGTTATTGCCAAGGGTTGAAGGGCCAGAAAGAGGTGCAGTCAAAAACGTTGCTCGTAGCCTTGTATTCTAGATACATTTGTAGCACTTTCAAGATCACGAAGCCGACCATGTCTCAGATGGTCACCACTACACCTTTGCTCATTGAGAAATGCCGATTGGCTGGGCTGGTCCCTCATCATTTGCTTGCACCAACCGGCCTCTGGTGTCACAATTGCACCATGATTTTGTTCAGAAGCCGTCGAGAATTGCTGAGTCACCTGGTTTTGTGGGAATTTCGTGGGTCAGCTTATGTCCCTCCCAAATTGACGCTTGACCAAACCTCACATGGTTGTGGGACGTGTTCCTTTCTGTGATACATGCAATGCCCACAAAGACCTCGTTATGCGCAACCATGCCCTATCACCAAAAAATAAGATTGGCCACTTCAAAAAGCGAGGGGAAAGACGGCGGAAAAGATCTACTCAGCCAAAGGGCATCAACTGCAGATAGATGCTGGAGTTGGAAAGGGCATGATCACACACATCAAACAATCAGTTGCCTTGGATGGATGATCTACAGAGAAAACGTTCTTTGGGGTAAACACACATTTGATCGTGGGGTGAAGGATGAACTTGCTTTTCATCCGAGACGTAGGTCACTGCCTACTGCCTCAATTGGCACTGCAAGACATGGCTTTTCTGTGTGACCGAATTGCGCCCTAGACTTTGGGAAACATTTGTTTTCCATTAAGCCAACAAAGGTGATTGACCTTTTGCTCGTTCGAGGGGTTTGACGCAACCAGAAAAGGAATCGGCTTTTTCAGGGCGTATTCATGTCCTTTTTATGGGTGAAACATCGAGTGCCATCTGGGTATGTCTCCTTTATGGGACCATTCTTGGCGGTTTTAAAGTAAGAGACGAAAACCGTTGCGCTGGGCCTTTCGTCCATTGCCAAAAAAAAAGACATACGCAGAGAGACGGGCTTCCGCTGGGCTTGGTGCCCTTGGACACACGTCGGCCAGTTCCGGCCCGAGCTTCTGGAATGGCACCCCACCGCACGAAGCCTCGGCTCGGGGAACATTGGGGGTCCAGTGCCTGAGACGTTTAACCAAGCAACCAGCCAACCAAACGAAGTTGCAATGCAAGGCAAGCAAGAAACAAGCACACACACACAACCAAATAAACCAGATCAAGCGGGCAAGGACACAAGCAGAGCCGAGCGGCAGCAGCAATGAATGGCACGCTACGTGTCTCTCTCTTTTGATACGAACATGGACAGTCGTGGGCCCATGGAGAAATAGAAGTGGCACCAAGAAGCCATCGCCAGGCTTGGCTGACCTTTTTCCCTCAACTTTCTGCCTTTTTGGTGTGCCTTGTGCCCTTTCAAACAGGAAAAGCTAACTTTTTGCAGGGAGTCTAAGTCTGGCCAAGAAGCAACATAGGAATGATGCTTCCAGCCACAGGCCATTATCCATGTAAAAAAAACCTGTCAAACATGTGTGGCAAAGCGCTTCCCAGATATCACTCCCTCATGCTTCGGAAATTCAATAAGAGCTGCATTTGACAGCAACAATTTGCCAGCAGTCCCCGATGATAAGATCAGTCGTCCACTCTGTTTCCCGATCAGAATTCTGCACCACACAGGTGTTTCGGGAAAATAGACCTTGCCCCGCCATCCCTTTCAGGAAACATCCACGTGGTCTTCAATGGGCTTGGTCTGTCAAACCTGGGGCATTCCTCCACCGCGGCCCCTCATTTGTTTAGGTGGCTTGGATTCGCAGTCGTGAGTGCCGAATCCCTGGAAGCCATAGACCAAGGTTCTACTTCCCCGGCTTTATTGGTGTTAGTTTAGACAACAGTGTATGCTTTACATGTTTTTTATCGGGCACTATCGACCGCGGATCGAATCTGCAAATACTGTGTGCGTGTGGCGGGTATTGGACGGTCACTTGTCACAACCTTTGGAATTTATTAGAATTGTAGTGTCCCGGAGTCTATTATCCTTTTTACTTTTTACGTGATCAAATTGTACGTGCACACCTGCCAAGGTCTCATCATAAAGCATTCGAGTGTTAAACATGCCTGCAGCCATGTTGAACCTCACTATGACCGGTGTGAGGATTTGTATCAATTGCCACAATCAGGTAGAGGCAAAACGTTGGTTTCGGCGCCACGCCCTCAGTAGACAAGGTGAAGAACCTCTTGCAGTCTGTGTCCCAGCGCGGCAGCCGGGTGCGCTCGACGAAGCTTGGACGGCAAGCGGGCAGACCTTTTGGGCGGAGGATCTTATGATTATGTTTGTCTCTAGTGGAGAAAAAACAACGTATGTGTTTGCGTGTCCTGGAAAGCAGCAATGTTGGTGTGTGTGTGTGTGTGTTGGCGTGTCTATGTGTTTGTGTGGCATTTTGCGATTTGGCTTGTTTCTGTGTTTGTTTGTGCGCTTGCGTATTTGTTTGCTTGTTTGCTTGTCTGTTTGTTTGGCTCTATGTGTGTAGGTGCGTAGTGTGTGTGTGTGTGAGAGTTTGTTTCTGTGTTCGTTTGTGCGCTTGCGTGTTTGTTTGCTTGTTTGTGTGTGTCTGTGTGTTTGTGTGTTTGTGTTTTTTGTGTGTTTGTATGTTTGTTCGTTCGTGTGTTTGTGCATTTGTTTGTTTGTGTGTTCGTTTGTTCGTCTGTTTGTTTGTTCGTTTGTTCTCTGTGTCTGTGTCTGTGTCTGTGTCGGCGTGTGTGTGTGTGTGTGTCTCTCGCTCTCTCTTTCCGTGTGTCTGTGTGTTTGTTTGCCCGCAGCACGGTCTGTAATTGAGAGGATTTTGTGTGAGCTTTTGATTCGGGGTCCACCATTGTTTCATTACCGAATTCACGATCTCCAAAATAACATGTTGAGGGTAAAAGGTGAACAAGAGCCAAAGGGCGCCCCGCATCAGAGTCGTGTGGAAACCATGCCCAATCAATCTCTACTCGGGGGGGTCTAGCAGGCCTCATTTGAGAGCTGTTTAGTTAAAAGGGAGATGCCTCGTTTACGATCCTTTACGTGACCTTTGAAAGAAGAAACAACGGACCGGTGTAAGACATTGGGAGCCCTTGTTTGTGAACAACCCCTATGCGGCTATCAGTTTTGCTGCTTGGAACAACTCCGAAAATGGTCGGTGGACATGAAGCCAACCATGACTTTATGACATCCACAAAAAGGTCCATTTCCGTTCTTTTTAAGCAACCCTCATTTGCGCATTGTTTTGGGGTTCTTACTCTGTTTGAGTTGCAAATCAAGGGCAAGCGAAGGGCAAGCGCCCATGTGAGCATCGTGTCCTCACCACCTCCAGCCCGTTGTAGCCTCGCGGGTTGCATGTTGCGCGGCCGCGCCCTGCGCAGGGTTCGGGCTGGTGAGGCGTTAAGAAGGCGGGAGCATCGCAGAGTGGCAGGGGGGAAGGAAAACCTCCCAACCAATTGGTTTGATTCGCTCAAAGCGGGGGGACAGAGTTGGCTTGATTCCTTTGGTTTCCCTTTCAACACCATTCAAAGGGGTCCCCGGCTCAGCTTCTGGACGTTTTACCTTGGTGAAGATCATTATTCTGGCAACCCCTGGTGGGTGGTTTGGATTGATTTGGATTTGGATTTGAAGCCCTGGTTGTTACCGAGGGTAAACCAAATCACCAATGGGAGGGAAGCTGAATAGTGGTCAACAACAAGTTCCCACACTTTGGTTTCCAGAAAGTGAGGAACTGGCCAAACTTCACGGGAGAGAACCAATAAAGATCTCGCAACATTTCCCAAAACCAGTGGTCAAAACCATCATTTGTTCGTGTCTTGTGGACCACAGCCTTTGGGCACGGATGCGGCCCCAATGTGTTCCGTTTCACATTTCTAGAGTGAGGAGTATGTGTCATAACCCACTTTTAAGGGGTAGAGTCCTGATGGTTGGGGACACCCTTTGAACAACTTGCGGTACTTGTATATTGGAATGTGTTCATCTTCCAGCGTTTTGGGGCCTGTGCACCAATATGTCCATCTCGTTTTCGTTTGAGACGGAGAGAAAGGGCCAGGCCCGGCCGGGGTCCTAAGGTTGTAAGAATTCTTTGGAGGAACTCTAAGAAGGTTTGCGTTTCGGGAGAGACAGGGCCAGGCACCCCCTAGAAAAGTCTTTATAGGAACTCCTCTAAGGCGAAGCCTTCTCTTGGTCTCCCCCGGGTCTTCCAGCAAAGCTCTGAAGGTCAGCCAGTGATTCTCGGGTCTCATTGCCGTCCGTGGGCTCTGCCGTGGGCCCAGCATTCGATGTTCTGCCTGAAGGTTGGGAACAAACCTGGGCTTTTAGGGCCATCGTTTTGTGATAAGAGAATCAATCCCCTTGACAAGTTGAGAACCCACAGAGAGGAGGCATTTCCCCGAACCACGCGCCATGTCAACCAGGGTTGCGGCAGAAGGGTCGAAAATTGCTATGGGGCCCTTTTTGTCCTCTTCCAAACCCCGACTTTGGCTCAGGGGTTTGGGATGCAACCTGCTAGACTTGAGCTGTACACTTGCTTCGTTTCTTCAGCTTCCTGATTTCCTGTTTCGTCCATATGCTGGAATTGAGTTGTTCTGCTTTTCCTGGGTTTTCTGCGAGAAACCGCCGATACTTTTATTTTTTGCAGTTTCTGAATCGAAGAAAGGACCGGGGAAGTATAACTAGCGTTGCTTGTACCTCAAAGCATATAGGTGGGTTCCGACTCAAACAGGGGGGGGGCTCTGGAGCTTGAAACTACCTTACCTGTACTTCGTGGTTGGGATTGGTTTGGATTTGGAGTTGAACCCCTTCTTGTAGAGGGTCAGTGGGTAGCCACCCCTAGCCTTTTCGTGGGAAGCTGATAGCTAGGCAGCGAGGCATCCCCTTCCGCAAGGTTCGTTTGGAATATTCCAGAGGGGTCTTGGGTTGCCATTGACGGTGTATTTCCCGTGCACAATCCAAAGACTTAAGGCGCTTTCCCAATTTCGCGAGTGTGTCAACAACTATAGGAACCTTTTTACAGAGGTGAGAGCTCGCCTCCTCTCGTTTGTTGTTTTTCTGACACAGGGCCAATCTGGTGTTTCGGTCGCTGGCTTGCCACAGCATCTGCGGGCCGTGAGCCCTGATTTCCAGAGCCCCAAGGTCCCGACTCACCTGGGGAAGAAAACAAAATCAAGGGCAAACCTGTCACCTAGGGGAGGAGCCCGGTATTGCTCTGGCAGTTTGCGTCGGCTTCGGCTGGATGTGATTTGTTTACTGGCAAGATTCGGGGATCCGGGAAGCAAACACGTGCATTGGATGCCCTAAAAAGTCCAAGCCATGGCAAGTTGGGGAACAAGTTGCAAACCCTGTAATTTGTCACATACCATCGTTGGTTGGACGTGATTTGCTTACTTGCAATATCTGGCTGGAATCCACCGTTTAAACATCATGCCTCGCCCGGGGAGTTTTGCGATGCAAGGCCTCACCTTCAAGAGGTGTGGCCAGGAAGTTCAAGAAGGCGGTTTGACGCGTTTAACATTGGGGTCGCAGGAGGTGCGCTAGTGGAACTTGCCACTCAAGTCCACTCAGAGCCACTGAAAACGAGTCTGAGTGGCTCTCAGTGGCTCTGAGTGGCTTGGGGTTCCTCTGTGGAACTGAGCGGCCTTGAGTGAATGCTGGTGCTGCAGAGTTGTTGTTTTTGCGGGACGCGTAGCATCCAGGTACGTATTCTCCAAAAACGGCACCGCCGTTTGAAGGCAACCCCGCATACCAGAAACCTTTTCTTTTGTGTGGGACGTACGGCTGCGTGTATGTGTTCCACAAAACACGGCCCCACTGTCCCAGGATTTCTGTAGACCACCTTCGTTTGAAGGCAAACACACATACCAGAAGCCTTTTGTTCTTTCTTTTCGTGCGTGTGTGGGACGTATGGCTGCTGTGTATGTTCCACAAAACGTGCGATCGATGTCTTAGGATTTCAGTTGGGGGGGAGAAAGCTCCACTGAGCTGCATCATCAGGGGACCCGCATGGGTGAGCTGTGGGTCACCGCCACTCAAGCCCACTCAGTGCCATTCGCTCAGTGCCATTCGCTCAAGGCCGCTCAAGGTCACGCAAGGCCGCTCAAGGCGGCTAGGCCACTCAAAGCCACCCAAGGCCACTCAAAGCCACTCAGAGCCTTTCAGTGCCACTCACCCAGGCCTTGACTGGCCTTGCTTCTTTTGGTCTGGAGTAGTGGCTCAGAGTGGCAGTTTCAAGTTGATCCCGGGTTGCACGTCCTCTAGCGTTTGACTTGATTTTCTCCACAATGAGACGGTTTCCTTGAAGGCATTGCACACCAGGGAGAGGGGTGGGATCCGAAAATTCAGGTCGATCATGTGTTTTGTCTCAAACGCCAGCCAAGTTCTTGTCTGTCCGGCTTTCTGGACAGAATGGGGAAGTTTCCACCGCCAGCGCCACCAGCACCACCAGCACCAGCACCAGCACCACCACCACCACAGGTTTTGATTGTGACTTTTGCTTTGCTTGTGGTTGGTTTCTTAACCTGGGCACGTTTTGTTGTGGTTTCCCCTGAAACCAAGCACAGGGGGTTTACACCCCCTTGTTCAAAACAACCTTTCACTTGGGGCTAGGACGGTCATCGACCGCTTGGGGACCTTAAACCACAAGGATCTGATTGTTAGAGCGTGGCGTAGGGAGTTTCACCATGGTACATATGAGTGCACCCTTTTTCGGGAAGGGAAATCAAAGCGACCCCCCCCATGTTGAGGGTTCCTTATGAGACAAGCTCGTTCATATACTACGCCACAATCCCTGCCTTAGCCCTGGAAGTTGTTTGGTAGCCCAAATCTACCGAGACAAAGTGGAAGTCTGGGCGCTGGAGCGGGGCATGTGGACGGCGCCACGTTGGATGTGGTACTGTTCAGCCAGCGCACAAGAAGACTAGGGCCTAGAAAATTACACACAGATTAACATGATCATACGAACAGAATGTGTGTGTGTGTGTGTATTCATTTTGTCCCATAGGTTACGTTTCAGATGCCTGACCCCGGAAAACCCTGATGGAAGTCGACGTTGGGGACGGTTTGAGAGGTTGCACCCAAGAGCACAACGCTTTGAGTCCGTCCGGCGGAGCTATAAACAGACCGGAAGGGACGCAGGTGAGGTTTGGCTGAGTCTTTTTTGAGAGAACCGGGGACCTCAGTTTAAAAAGGGACACCAAAAAGAAATCAGAAGCCATGTTTTGTGTCTCCCCCTCTTTTCCATGGACACCAAAGAAGACTTCCAGATGATCTCACGGGAAACTCCTTGCCAGGGCTTCCGGAAGGCAAAGGTGGACCGGTTCCGCGTGGAGGCCGGGCCCTGGAGGTCTGGAGGCTTTCGGTTATCTAGGTCGGTCCCCCAGTAGTGCCCTTTTCCCCTTTTTTGTGGGAGGGTTCACCTACTAAAATAGACTACAGAAAAAGGCTGCCCTTATTCTGACCTCTGTACTGCAGGAACTAGGTATGTTTGGGGTTGGATCTACCTTTAACTTTTTGGAACAATTAATAATTTTTCCCCCCCCACACACCAAAAAGGTTCACTTTTTGGGCAGGGGGCCAGAGTCAACATGAACCATTGCCAGTAAATGCTTATATAACAATTACAACCAGGTACTCAACCATGTCCCAGCAAAGTCTTAACCTGTACTTAGTGACTCAGTGGGTTTTGAGAGTGCTTAATGACCACCTACCAGTGAAAATTTGCTTGTGGGGTTCTCAAACATGAATTCTTTCAGGCCCCGGTTTCCCTTCAAAACCGTTTAAGTCCTACTGGAGGTCTATCATTCTTCCTTTGGGCCGCCCGAAGTCTTTGGGGTGTTTGGTTCTTTTTTGAAGATCACTGGATTTAAAGGTGGGAGATGCTGAGATTCGGTTCGAAGTCAACCATTTTCTGAAACACAGGAAGTAATTGTTTGGTTGGTTGCATCAGATCTGGTCTGAAGAGATGCCGGGCGAGTTGCGACCGCAAGCATTTTTTCCAGAAGATTTGGTTGCTGAAAGGGTACTACCCTTGCACAGCTGCTCCCCAACCCAAGATCAATGTTTTTGGACCCCACGCCATGTTTCTGAGGGGCGGCACTAGAGGATGACTCTGCCGTGTGTTTTTTGTGTCTTTTTTTTGGGGGTTTCTTTCGGGGTGGTAAAGCGAGCGAAAGCCATTGCAGGATTTATAATTTATAATTGTTGTGCAATGTGCAGATGATTGTTTAGTTGCCCGAAGGAGTCCTTTTGTAGAACTGGCGCACTTCATTCATGGGAGCTTGATTTGGGAAATTGCAGGAAGGTGGTGAATCCACTTGCTCCCTTCAGGGTTTGAAACCTCGCTCTTTCAACGTATTTGCCTTTTCACATATTTTGACCAAACAACAACCAATAATGACAAAGTTTGGATGATTTTTCGGGTTGGAAGGTTTGCCGAAACGAAAAACTGGACAGGGGAAGTTGCACCCCGCTACCCCAACGATTTTGTTTGATTGTCTCCGGGCAGGCCACGGCTTAGAGACACAGAGCTTCAAAACCCAACCGGGACAGTGAAATAATTAGAGACCTCGCCAAATCGAATAGACGGGCTGTCCACTTGGGGTCGTTTAGAAAAGATGCCACCAATCTGGGGGTTGTTTTTGGAAAAACAGAAGAGGCCAACATTTGCAAAGGACGGCTATTCTGCCGAAGCTTAAGGTGTTGCTATGCGCATGCTTCCAGGTTAGCAAAAAACATCGCCCACCGCCGTGCTTTTCGGCGGACAAAAGGGGGCATTTGCTATGTTGGGAACCTCGGATGAAGCAGAACTCCTGGTAGAATTTTGGTCGGGATTAATTTGGGGTCAACAGTATAGTGGTTTTAACAGACCTTGGAGATTGACACGTTGTTCAGTGGATAACCTCTAAATGCGAATCTTTTCGTTTGGGGTTGGAAGCCACAGATGGAATCAAAGCAGAAAAGAGGCTTCCAATTCTTTTCCTTGCACTTCAAGCTGGGGCTTGACAGCGGAATCCAAGCATGCCGACGAGGGTCATTTGGGCTGCAATCAGGGGGCATGAAGGGCAAGGGACTGCCCCAATGCGGATTTCCGCCCTAGTTCTTTACATGTGGGTAAACCAAAGGAACAAAGTAAGTACAGATCTCTTCTTTTTGGGCTATAATATCCAGGAGCCAAACTAAACAGGTTTTGATTCTGACTCACTTGGGGTTAGCTCCAGCTTGCAACTAGCCTGCTGAGGGATGGAGAGCCAAAGTCGCTTCTGACCTGGGGCGCGGCGCCCGGTACAGCAGGTTGATTCAGTAAGCCCTCTGGGTGTGTCTTTGTTGAGGCGACCCCCCGCCAAAACAAAATGTATTTTCTTCCAGGGGGGGGGAAAACACCCCAAAAGTGGGGGTCCCGAAAGAAGGACACCTTTTTTGGGGGTTTACCTTACACCTTCAGTTGGCACACTTCACATGTCTTTCATTGTTTTCAGGCAGTGATTAGGCCACCAGGGTCTTTGGTCCGCTGGTCTAGTGAGATGCTTGCCTCGGAGAACTGCCACACCTCAGGCGGGGTCCAACGATTTTCGCGCAGAAACCCAGATCTGGGTGGTCAAAATGTCACGCCAGCCAGCGCCGGTCCCCAACCCCGGATGTTTTCGGACAGTTGAGAGTTTGGACGGAGCTGTTGGGGCGTGGAAGGAACCGGAGGTTTTTGTCCTTTCCATTTGCCAGGGTTCCAGTTTGGGGTAACCTTTGTTCGGCACATACCCATCTTGCTTTTGACCTTGTAAGATTGCATTTGAGAGAGTCAAACCTTTGGGTGGTTTGAGAAATGTTTCCGGAGTGACTCTTTCAGGCTATCGGATAGGGAGCCTTGTGCTTAAAGCCGAGCGCTTGTCGGAGTTGGGGGGCTCTACCCGACCTGTTCAAAGCCCATATTGGGGTTCCGGGTGATGCTCCGTGGCGGGGGGGGGGGTCAGTTTTTTTCGTCTGTTGGTTGTTGCTTTTGGGGTGCCCTGTAGATGTTGCCTTCCCTTTTCTTTTTCTCCCTTCTTTTTTTTGGGTGGGGGGGTGGGGGGGAGGGTTCAGCTGTTCTATTGTTCTGTTTTTGATTTGTGGGATTATTTGTTTCCCCTCTTTCTTTCTGTTTTTTTTGGGGGGGGGCTGTCGGTGTGAGTTTTGGTGCCAGTTCATGTTTTCCTTCGGCTGATGCAGCTGTGAAGGCAAACCGAGCAAATGACCAGGAGTGATCCACATTTCAAGCGGGCCACGTGTAAAAGGAGCCTGAGTTGCCCCGTTTGATTTTATTCCATGGCAGGGCTTGGATGAAGCTGCGTGTTTCAAGGATGTCGGCTGATTTTGTGGGTTGTATGTACATGGAAACTGAGCTTAAGGTCTTGTTTGTTACAACAAATGCACTTTCAAACGAAGCCGCAAACAAAATCCCACTTGAAGGTAGAAGACAAGTGTTCAAGATCCCACGTGGAAGTGCTGTGTTCAGAACTGCCCAGGAACGTTTCACTGGTGGTGGAGAATCCAGGCGGGAGAAATCGAGTGCTTTGCTTTCCGCGAAGGGCGGTCGCTTTGGTTGAATGGTAGTGGTTGAGCCGGAACTTGTCAGGCAGGTCCGCCGGAACGTTGCTCAGTGGGAATTCCGCATTCGCGTGAACTCTCCGGCACATGGTTGCAGCAGAGGCGCTGAAGTGGGGGTCAATAGAGCACGATTCGCTGCCACACATCAGTGGCAGACAATACAATCGGAAGTCTGGTAGACTACCGATTGTATTCGCAGAAGTACTGTTAGTTTGGGGAGACCAGCAAAAACCAGTGGCCCAAGAGAGGGAGAGGGAGAGGGAAAGGGGACGGCTGCGCATTTAACTGGCTGTTCGGTGAGGAGGGGAACTTGAATTTGCACTGAGGGACTGCTTGCCAAGGATTGAACGTAAATGGTGTCATGAATTTCGACGTGGAACCACCTCCCAAGTTGTTGGTGGACACGAATCCCTAAATGATGTGCAGCAAGAGTGTCCAATTAAATTTCACAGCTTTGTTCAACTCAGTTCGCAGCCAATGCCCAGTTTCTCAAGTTTCAATCATCACATGTTTGCCGCCAATTCCATGCGTAGCCGGTGTTTTCAGGCTCTGGGTGTTCAGAACTCTCCAATGCTCCATCAACTTTGCGCCGAAACGGTACCCCCAACAACCGCGCTTCGACGGATAAGAGCGAACGCATTTCCCACAGCGTGCCGTGAGTGTTCGCACAATTGCGTCGCGAGGTCACCAGCGAAGTTCCATTCAAATGGCCCGACAAAGTGGGGGATTCAGACGGGGGCCCGCGTGGAGAACCCTGCCACCTCCGGTGCGCTTAGTTGGCTTTGGAGAAGGTGGAACCCCTTCGAATGCCGAAAGCAGGGAGGGGGGCTTTTTTTCTATGGTCGCCGGAGGTTCAGGCGGTCAAAGCGCAAAAGGTCACTGCCTATGCTGAAAGATCCAGGGGAATCATCAGCAGTCCCTCAATTTCCTTGTTTTGTTGGCCTCACCTGTTTACTTGCATCTTTTCCCACACAAATCCAACTAGCCCTGACCATGTGATCCATGCGCTGAGCCGCGAACTGGAATGTAAGCTCTATAAAGCGCTTTTGTGACAACAGCAGGCTGACCTCAGCAGATCACACGGCATTGCTTGACCTGGGAACAGCTGGGGGTGGCTAAATGCTTAGTGGGGGACAACTAACTGGCAAAACGTTTTTGTATTTTGTTTCAGGGGGACTGCTGGCCACCTAGCTAACTTTCGGACTATGCAAGTAGATACCATAATTGCAGCTCACCAGTTTGAGTGACATATTTTGTCAGGGGCAATGTCCGGATACATGTCGCATTTGGCCTGTGCCCATGCCCAAGTTGTGAAACTTACGTGCATCTTGCTGTTTTCCTGCCGCGGCAATTTTCCAACAAGATGCATTCTTAACAGGGCCACACGCAAACTTGTATTTTTGAGCACCTGTTTTTTGTCCAGCTGAGCGATTAATAATTAACATCTGGCAGTTGAACTTTACGGGAAAGTCCCATGCGCTTCACAAGGCGTTTCCGCCATTATATCACAAACTTGCGGTTTTGGGTCGATCATTACCGTACATTGCCCATTCTGTTCAGGAATCCTCGCAAACATTGTCCGAAATCAAGGGAACATGGGGTTTTTGAGATAGATGAAGAGAGTGTGGAATCAACCCGCACAGTGGGTGGTTTGAAGACTGGTTTGAAAAATGCCGACTCGGATTAACCCTTCAATCAATCCTTCGAACCCTGAGTCAGTTTCCAGAGAAGAAACCTCTGAGCCTAGGTAGGTGTGTGTCAAAATGCCTCCAAGATATGTGTTTTCCTTCTGGTGTCGCCTTCAAAGCAACTTTTTTGGGGGGGATTTCTCAAAATTGGGGTCCATTTCCCAAAATGGTTGGTTTCCTTTGTTTCCCTCATGGCCTTTCCTCCATTCAATCAACTTGCAAATTTTGCTGAAATGGGTTTGTGTTTGAGGGGGGTCGTTTGTGGTTTCCCTGAATTGGAAACGCAAGACACAAACGGGAACCAACGAGGATGAGGAGACTTTCAAAACCAAAAAGGTGAACTTAAGCGTTTTTGTAGGACAACTTTTGAGAAGCCCCCAATCAGGCGGGTCCGCTGAGCAACGGGCGCCGCCGTCTCTCGTTAATGCCGTGGGGCCCCAGGATGCCGAAACCGATGCCGAAAAAAGGCAAGGGCCAGCAGAACTTCTCATTGTTTGGGGTCTCCAAAACCAGTATGACGCCCTGAATTGACCAGGTCAAGATTTGGAGTGGAACCAGAATGGCTCACAAAGATGTAATATTTAGCATTTACCTATATATGTATATGCACACAGTATACATGTACAAGTACATTCATGTGTATGTATACATTCTCCCCCCCACCCTTCCCCGCTAGAAATACATGTTCTGTTTTGCGAAAGCATATTTCATAATATGGTCTAATATGTTTGCGGCGAGTCCCTTTCCACTACGGTCCTCGTCTAACTGGGGTCCCCCCTGTGCCGGGCACAACAACCATCAATATCGTAGCTGCCGAGCAATGAATTTATGTAAAATTGCTCGGGCGACTTTTTGGTTTTGCCAATTCAAACTTAAAAGGCAACGTTCAAATTACATTTTACAGCTTGAATAATCTACAATTCAGAGAAGGACAGTGGCTGAAAGTATTGCCTAAGAATGGCTATTGGATTTGTATTGGGTGAATTGCAAGCAAAGGGAGAAGTAATTCTGGATTGTCGCCTGAAAACTCATATTGCTTAGTGGGGGTGGATTTATTGATAGGGGGAACGAATTCATCTTGGATATCATAATATCGGTGCTAAATAAGACTTAATTCTGTTGTCAGGGGTTAACCGTGGCAGACAAAAGGTAAAAACAAATGTAAGTCCTGCTTCTATCCTTCCAACATGGCACAATCTGTAGATTCGGAATGATGGTGAAGGGAAAGGACATGACCATCCCTCCAGACAGACCAGAGAAGGTAAACAGTAAATAGGTAGGAGATGGAGGGATGGAGTTAAGGAAATAATCTTAATAAACATATTTCAGATTTATAGAATATCACAAATTAAGAAGATTCAGAGTTTACCTCTATTTTTTGGAGTTTGGAAATGAAACGAAAGGGTTCACAAAAGCAAGACCGCTATATAACCGATCCTTTTTAGCATGCGTGGATATGAATCATTGCTAAACAATCTATTTGGACATCACTCTCACCTCAGCTTTTGCCGGGCTAAACAAATATATGCTTGATTCGGATGAATCAAGCTGGTTTCCCAGTTACCCTCTACAATCTACAACAAGCAGGGGTTGTCCCCAAACCACGAAATCCAAACCTCCAATTGATTTTGAGCTGAATCATTCCTACGGTACCCTGTCCCCCTTGCCATGAGGAAAGTTGCCATGCAAAAGAAATCTTCCAGGTGTCAGGGTTTTCGAGAAAAGAAAAAGAGAGCACTTCATACTGGTGTGCGGCAAGATGATAGGAAGCACTTCTCAAGATTGACATATGCACGCATTCTCCTGAGTGGGTAGAGACTTCGTTTTTTGGGCGCTATCTGCGCACGGTTCCAAGAACCATCCATCATGCCTTTTGAGCATACCCTGGACCCCCCAATGAAAGGAAGCTTCATCATGACGGAGCTTGGCGTATGCTCAAAAGGGTCGCTGTAGGCCGCACCTGGACGAGCTGAGGTTGAGCCTGGGGGATCACCAATGTGAAGCCTTGGGCGGATTCAGGCGGCAGCAGGGCAGCTCTTGTCCATTTTCAAAGATCAGTCGTGTGTTTTGGTTTCTTCTCAAAGATCAGTTGTTGTTCGCATTTGCAAAGGAGATGTCCCAGTTTTCAATGAGCCAAAACACCACTGAGCTCAGTCCAATGGAACATGTGAGTCCAGTGGCCAATCCGCTCGTGGCAGGAGCATGCGCTGCATTTCCCGCTGGATATGTTTCACCAAGAGAGAAAACAACGTGCAAGACTTCCTGTGAGTTTTGGTCGGCCTTCCCATCTGGCAAGAACTTTGGGGGACTAACGAAACATCCTAGGAACATCAGGGAAACTCCCTAATCTGCCTGTAAACCGCAGACGAGTTTGTGTGGGAAGCCGTCTCCTCAACCACAAGATCAAAGAGCAGTTTGGATGAACATGCGCCAGGCTTTCATGAAGGTTCACGCTGAGAATTGGCACGCATGGGATGTATCTTTCTTCTTACGGGATCCCGGATCCCCCCAAAATGGTGGTTTCCCTCTTGGCGTCCCTTTCAAGCCACAAAAAAGGGGTACCCTCAACAATGACACACATACACATTTCGCCAAACACGTGCAGCCTTCTGAGATGTGTTTCTCTGATTTGTATCCGAGCCAGATTCGCGAGCGTGCTTCAATGTGGCGTTTAATCGATTAACCTCAACGCTGAAAAGTGCCCGTTGGTGCGGAAAGGGCAATTGATGGGACAAGTCGCTAATCACCCCCTACTGGAGCACTGCTCAATCCCTCCATCGCCGAATCCCTGCATGATATCGCGCAATCCTGTCCTGAGCAGCCTTTCTAGGTTTCTTGCCTTCTTTGACGGGCTTGTTCAAAATCAATCCGCAAGATCCTTATGCCAATGCATTTTGCTTGTGTCCCACCACAGATTGCGGACGAAGACTACGCAAACCTTCCTAAGGCCAATTTAAGCTGGATTTTTGGTGGAAATACCCTGCTATACCCTTTTAGGCGCTGTTTTTCTGGGTGGGTGAAATGGGATATGAGGACTTGTGGACTTGTGGACTTGGGTTAGGACATCGCCCTCACCCCCACGCCTGAAAGCTGCTTGGGCTCCGGCTCCGACCGTCTGATCCGACTTGGACGGCGCTTGGAACTGTGGGGGCCCCGGAAAATGTGAAGCTGCAGAAAAAACATGTGTCGCCGAAACGGAAGAGCGGCCTTCGGCGCGGCTTCAGTCGTGCATTAGCCGGCACTCTTGAATTGTGAGAAGGCCATGGTAGTGATTCTGCTATGTTTGTGAGAAGAGGCCACGTTTGTGAGAAGCCCTTGCATAGCATTATTCGTAACCCTCTGCACTGCTGAGTAAATGTCAGAAACATAGCAAAGATCCTGAATATCCCGCAAAGACCCCTTCCAAGGATGTCTTTGGGGTGGATTTGTTTGGCGCCTGAGAGGAGACAAGCAAAAAGAAAAGTTTGGCGGGGTGTCCTTTGACCCTTACTCGATGACTCTTCCATGCAGCCTTTACTTGACCAGTGTCGAGTAATTGCGACACACCCACACACACACACATCATTCAAGCCCGTAAAAGGCAATCAGCTAGTTGCTAGTTGCTTCAAATTCATCATGCTGGACTGACTGCTTGCCGTTCCACATGCGCAATGCGACTTGAGGCACGCCAATAGCTTTTCCCACTCCTTAACCACCCAAACGGAATTTTGCCTCCGCGCAAAGTGTTCAGGCCTGCGCGGAATTGATTTGGACGGAATTGGATCCCCACGCGGGGCGACTTCCTCTCGGCTCCGCGGCAGCAAATTTGATGACTCAGGCAAGGATGTAGTGATGCGTTTCCAGCCATCCGGTTCCTTAGGTTTTAGCTTAGGGTATCGTGGTAGCTTGCATTAACCCGCTAGAACTTAAACTTGTAGCAGGGGATTTGAGGACAGCTCAGAGTTGAGAACGCGGCTATTGAGCGTGTCTCTTGTGCGAACTGCGTCCATCTCCCAAGCGGGGTCTTTGCACATCTGGGTGATGTGCGGGTCCCATTCGAGTCTTCGATCAGATTGACACATCTCGTACGTCTCAAACAGGGAGAGCCCAGTTACTTGGATGGTTTGGGGGGCATCCATGGATATCATCGTGAATTGAAAGACAACCTGGGTTTCAAAAGGGTAGTGGCTTCCTCAAAATCATGTTGGCGGGAATTCAGGAGAGGTGAAGGTTCTGAAAACCCTTCCGCTTCCAAGCAGGTTCGAAAAACCTTTCCAGGGGCGCTTTTGCTTTTCCCCCTAGTTAAACGAAAGAACGGTTGAGTTTGGGGCACTCGTGGGCAACTTTAGGTGCTTCTGGGAAGCGGGCCCCCTCAGCTCATGGATCGCCGGCTGACAATTGACATGGGTGTCCTTAGGAGGAACCCCAAGTAAATCCAAATAAGTTGATGCTCAATATTTCGGGAATCAATCTGTTGTTTTTTTGGGTTGTTTGCCCAACAAGTCGAACAAATGTGAACAACGGATCCCGAAGAATCCAGCGTTGCTTCATTTCGGGTGAACAAACGGCTTGTTGCTATGGCTCTCACAGCCTCCCAAGCACACGGTGCGGTTGCATGCATCACATGGAATTTTGAAAACCGTCATGGTGGTTCGCCTTTGGGCTTACCTTTAAACCAACTTGGGTTCCTGTGTTTGCGTTGGTTTCGCAATGGCTAAGTAGCGGTTGCCAACATGTTCCCTAATAGGACTTGATGTTGGGGTCGGCGGGAAACCTGGCCGCTTTGTCTTGGCTGCTTCTAATTTAGTATTGGAGTCTGGGCAAAAAGTATTTATTCTTGGGGGCCATTGATTCAGAGAGAAATAATTAATTTATCACCGCAGCCATTTTGGCTTTTGACTTTTTCCGCCTCTCCTTGTCATTTCCGGCCATGGCTCGCATGATCCGCGGCGTCTTGCTGCTGGCGGTCGCCTTTGCCCTGTCCACCGCCTTCGTCCCTACACAGCCCCGGCTGAGGCGTGGGTTGCCTGTTCGGGTTGACCAAAGAGACACCGACAGCAAACCCCTTGTCAGGTCACTGCTCAGGTCACCCTCCAAATCAGGTCCTCTCGGGTTTGACCCGTAGGCTCTCTTTTTCCCGGCCCCTTGTCAGGAATCGGGTGTGTCTCTCTTTGGGTGCCCGCTTTTGGTTGGTTGTAAATTGACTCCAAAAGGAAAACCGAAGCCAATTTTTTAAAGGGCCACCCACCAAGTGGGTGCCTCTTCCGAGACGGCCCCCCCCAAAAAAGGACGGCCCCCAAACCGCAAACCGTTCCCTTTGGGCCCCTTAGCGCCTGCAATGAGGGGCGGAGCTGCCGCGGGCATCGCCGGCGCCGCGGGCATCGCGGGGAGCGCGCTCCCCGCGGTGGCGGAGGAGGGGGGCCTCTTGAACTTCGGAAAGGCTGGGTGGACGGCAAATCCCCCCCAGACTAACATGGAAGCTCCCAGGACCCGTTTGGAAGACTGAGTTCCATTTGCAGAGGCCTTCTGAGAGATTCCATGTTTGTCTGAGGGAGTGTGTGTGCCGTGGTCAACAGGCCGTCCTTATGCTTCGCTCGAGGGCTCACTGGATTTCCCCAAAACAGAAGTTGCAATGTACTGGTGGTTCGACCCTCTGGATTAAAGCAAAAGGAAACCAAGCGAACCATTCTTTAGGGGTCCCCTATTTTGAACCCTTGCATGGTCGGCCACTCCTACCACTACAATGATTCTTGTCAAGGGAACCATGACCATGGGCCATAGAAGTATTTTTTGCCATGGCACAGATGTGTTGCTTTTGTTTTTTTTCGTGGTACTTTTTATTTTGTGTGTGTGTGTTTGTGTGTTAAGGGAAGAAAAAGGGAAGCCACCCTTTCGTTTTCCCTATTTTGAGACAAGCCCATATTCAGCCAGCCTCTAATTTGTGGTTTGGATTGGTGGTTTGGGAGAACAGGGAATCTCCCCACTCACCCTTTGCACAAAATCCCCAAACCAATGCAAACCACCAATTGAGGGCTTTGTGAAATATGGCATGAATATTAATGGGGGATCCGAAGAAATTACTAATCTCAACTTGCCCAAAGCGAATCGACCTTTTGACTTTCGGACCTATTGTTTGTTCCATGTTGGTCAATTCTTAGTCAAGGTTCCGAAAGGTTCACCTTTTATTTCTGGGTTCAAACTTGTTTGCGGGGGCTTCGCAAGCAGGTAGAGCTGGGCATTGTTTTACCAACACTTCTCCGGTTTTGTCAGTGTTTTCCAGGTGTTTGCCCAGGCGGAACACTGGACGGGTGTCTGTTTGATTTTACCCCATTGCCCTTCTTTTCCTAAGAGCTCCCCAAGTTTTTGGCGGTTGGAGGTTTCAACCATCACCTACGCGGTTTAAAGGGAGTTCCCTTTTGGGGGATGATGTTAAGGGGAAATACAGGGAACCCTGTCCAAAACAGGTTGATTGCCCCCCCCCCTCCCCGCCCTTTTTGTGTTGGCCCGTGCTCCAACAGACAAAGGTGGAGGTCCAAAAAACCGGTCTGGGGGTGGACAAAAACAAGACTGGGTCTCAGACTACCCCCAATAGGTTTAGCTTGGGATTTGCAGTCTGGTTCCTGTAGAGGATAGGGGTTTCCCACCCCCCGCACCACCCCCAAATCACCAAGGGAAGCTGAGGGTCCAAGAGCAGGTGGATCTCCCCAACGCCGGGCCCCGCTCCATTCGCCAAGGGCGATTTTGTGTTTTTCCCCGCAGGTGGAGTTGGGCAATGGCTTCGCGCTGAACCTGGACATCCCGGACCATCAAGTCATGAAGTTCTGGGAGCGTTCTGTAGGGTACCCTTTGGTCCGCTAACATGACACCCACGAAAGGGTGCCTCTCGAATGAACATGGTCCTCCAGGCGCCACCTGTGAGGTTCGATGATTGTGGATGGTTTGGGAGCCCGCAGGACAATTTTTCCCAGTTTGGGGCTGGGACCCGCCAAAATGGATTCCGGCTTTCAGGGCACGAATTCGCAAATTGAGGAAACCGGCCCAACACTCAAAAATGAGAAACCAGGAACCAGCACCCCCCAACAGCAATTTTTTCCATGTTCAAAATCCGAAGTACTGTCCAAAAAGCAGCGGTTGGGGGGTGGAAGGAGACCAATCTGATCAACATCTCCATCCTCATCGCGGGGCTCTTGTACTTCCTGGCCCCAGTGCTCGGGGAGTCCATGGCCTCCAGGGAGAAGGAGCAATGGAAAGGATTCAACGCCTGATTGTATATATTTGAACACATACATACATGCATGTATTCATACGAGCATGCATACATGCATGCATGCATGCATGCATGTATGCATGAATGTATGCATGCATGCATGCATGCATTCCTACATACCTTCACATACATACATACATACATACATACATACATACATACATACATACATACATACATACATACATACATACATACATACATACATACACACACATACATACATACATACATACATACATACATACATACATACATACATACATACATACATACATACATACATACATACATACATACATACATACATACATACATACATACATACATACATACATACATACATACATACATACATACATACACACACACATACATACATACATACATACATATATATATATATATATATATATACATACATACATAGATAGATACATACATATATACACAAACACATACACACATACACGCCTACATGCACACACATACGTACATGCATACATACATACATACATACATGCATACATACACACATACATACATACATGCATACATGCGTACTTACACACATACATATATATATATATACATATGCGTCCATGCATATATATATATATATATATTTATTCGCACGGGAGGCAACCCTGAACGCTTGTGTTGGGCTACGTTTGAGGTCCCCATTCCAGTCATATATATATATATATATATTTATGAGTGGTTCTCAAAATAGCGGACCCCTAAAAATGTGTGTCTACCATTCAGAAAGGTATCTACCATTTCGAGCCTAATTGGCCACATCAGATTACTAAGATAAAAGTCACCGTTCAGTGGTGGGCTAAGGGAAACACCATATTCTGACTTTAACCACCAGAAACAGTCAACATGTAATGACCCCAGAATTGGGTAATACAATTTAGGCGCACATGTGGGGGTGGGCAACTCCTTGCTTTGCGTCATTCGGGAGTGTCTTTTAAGGCTGGACCTCCCCCCCAAAATGGCATCAGTGTGCTTTCCGTGTTCCTTGAATACCACCAACATGGGGCACCCCCAAATTTCATGTATCCCCCATGTCCCCCCCCAATGTCCCCCCCCCAAAAAAATATATATACGGTGGCACCAGAAAGTGTTTTTTGCCTTATTAAGGGCTTATTAAGGCCTGAATAAGGATGTTGCTCAAACATCAACTACAAACTTGTTGCGCATCAGCTGCCTAGCCTCTTCTATTGTACATGACCTTCTACTGGACCATTGCATCCTCAGACCGGACAAAACTGGCTGAACAGCCCGAGCAACCCCCTTGTTTGTTGCCGGCGTGTGTGTTTTGTTGCTTTTTGGGTGCCAAACCGCCTGGTGTGCCAAAACACGCAGAGGGTATGAAAAACCAGGTACCCCCCCAAAAAAAAAACATAGATAAGCCCTTGAGCCAATATTTCAGGGGCATCCACCGCACCTCTCTAGAAATCGACTCGGGCTTGACCCCTTTCATGCATCCTCCTCGGGTTCCCTTTGATCGATGCACCCAGCTTCCGTATGGAAGCGGATAAGAATCAGTTTATGGAACCCCCCTCCTTTTTGGGTGTGTCGGAATGGTTGGTGGTAGGGCCAACAGGAAACTCAGGAAACCTAAGTTTTTTTTTGGGGGGTGGGGGTCCCCAAAGACACACCCAATTTGCCACTCATTCCCGGACAATCTCCAGGGTTGCGAGGTCTGTTTCGTGTGTGTGTGTGTGTGAGTGTGCCGGATACCCTCTTTCCATTTGCTTAAGAATATGTTTGAGTTTCCCCGGCTGGTTTTGTGGATAACCTATCACTACTGGACATATTTGTTATTTTTTCCAGGGGGTTTTAGCAAATAGAGGCCTCTTTCCAGCAAATAGTCTTCCAAAACCCTCCTGTCAGCTTCCGTGATTGTTGGAACGAGGGTAGTGGCAAGTTACTTGCGGTGCTTGCAGGTTGCTGGCAGGCTAGGGTGCCACATTTGGAGCGGATGTTCCGAGTTGGTTGCGACAACGCCAAAGGTTACCTGGACGGTAATGAAGTGCTTCCCACTCGCCGTGTTTTGAACCTGCGATGGTGTGTGCCATGAAACCTCCGCATATAGTAACGCTGCATCATGGCATGCGGACAATCTACATGTGGGTGCTTCGCAAATGTGCGCGGCCAAACTTTTGGCTTGTTTTAAAGGGACACCAAGAGGAAGCACACACACACACACACATGTTTGGGGTGCCCGATTGAAAGATGCAGTTTGTCACGTGATGTCCCGGAAAATGCGGATGTGTCAAAACCAATGTCGACTTCGGATGAATCGGGCGGACCTCAACTGTGAGGCAGCCCCCTGAAGTGCCCTAAATGGGGAACCCTTTGGCAGCCTGCCTTGGTTGACAGCTTTCCCTGAAGCCGGTTTCAGCTCTGGGACGAGAAACCAGAATCATTGCGAACACAACTTGGCTTGATGTGTGCCACTCGGGAAATCGCATGGAGCCCGCAAAACCCATGGATTATTTATGGGAGCCTTCCCCGGTTTTTTGCCCCCACCCACCCCCGCCCCCCGCGACGTGTTTTCGCTGGGTTCCTGTTGTTCATTTGCCGCGGCAGGGTTCCATCTTTTGACCTCCTTTTTCAGACAATAACAGAACCTGATTGGCCTGGTTGTGGAAAATGGGGCTTTGGTTTGCCACCGTGTTGGGCCAAGGGAATAAACTATTTTTGAGTTGATAGAGTCGTGAATCAACCATCTTGGCAGGCCGTCCATTTCCCATGTTTCAGGGCGGTCCAGGCTTGAAAGGCTTGAGCTGCGTTCCGTTTGTTTTGAGTGGGGGGAACCTCCCCCCGTCCCCCCCACCCCTCCCACCACCCTGACCCCGCCCCCCCGCCCCCCCGCCCCGCCCCCTCCCCCCAACGGCAATCGGAGGAGATCACCACGGACATCGAGGACGCCATCGCCAAGTACAACGAAGCCACCGCGCGCTTGGCGGAGGCTGAGAAGAACAAGGCCAGACACTTCTTACAACTGCCATTCATGCAGGTAACCCTCGGGCCCCAGAATTGTGGCTTGTCCTTTTTTGGGTTTTCCTTAACCACCCAAAAAGGGGTGCCAACGCCCCCTGGTTGGCGGTTCGGTGATTTGGATTTGGGTTTGAGCACCATCTACCCGTGTTCAGAGTGTTTGAAAGGAGCGTCAGAATGTGTACCCCATTATCTGGGGTGGGGGGTGTGGACAGTGTTTATTCAGTGGGGTTTATGTAGGGGTCAACATTACGGGTGCGTCTCTAAATAGGGGAACCCAAATCCAACATGGGAGTTTTCTTAGTGGTGTTTGTTCTCCTTCTGTGTTTCCTTTTGACCAGCATGAAAAGCGGCACCCCAATCAAAACCGGGATAGGTTCAGGGTAAGGGACAGTCCCAACAAGGTGTGGATATCCGCCCTTTTGATTTTAATCGGATTTGGGTAAACACGTGGTTCCAGTTTTCTTTATTATTCCTGTATGATTTAAACAGCCAACCCCGGATGAGAAATCAAAGGCTGGTGGATGAAGCTTAGCAGAATCCCAAGCATAAGCTCGGGTAGACCTGTTCGATACTGTGGATGACAACCAACCCTTTTGCAATTGTTTAAACAATAGTTGGCAACTTGTTCACTGGTCCTCTAGAAACAGGCCATTGCGATGACTTACTTGCTGAATCAGGCATGGGTCCCCTTTGGAAAGGAAGATAAATAAACGGATGTTGTTTAAGGTTTATACCCAAAGGATGCTGTGAAAAGCCAGTTTGGTTGGGCAAGTTGCTTGCAACGACCATTTCCTGGCCCCTGGGGCACGCCTAGGTATCAACCGCAACCCGCGTTTTTCTTCGTCATAGTCCCAGGCACAGGCGGACCAGGTGGTGAAGGAGATCAACGACAGCATCTCCAAGGCACCGCAACGGCTTATGTTTCCAGGTCGATCGTAGATGCCACACTTCCTCACTTCCCGAGTTTCTGAACTTTCTACTTTTTGGGAAGGCCATTTTGGTGGTAAGTAGAAAGTTTGAACTTCTTTTGGCCTATCTACTCAAGAAGTGAGCTTCTCCCATTTGGTGCAGTCATGCCCTTACCCAAATAAGACTTCTTTCTTTGGGTGGGGTGTCTGGGGGTATGTTGTTTTGGGCTACCTCATTCTTGGTGGTTTTGAAGAGAAACCAAATGGAAAGCTACTGATTTTGGGGTTCCGCTATTGTGAGAGACGCCTATGGTTCCCTATTAAGCCAGGTCAAACATCATTGTTTGTGCCAAGTGCGGCTGAGTTCCCTCTTGATGTCTTGAATGCTTAAAATGCCGGAAGAAAAACATCGAAAAAGGAAACCACAAAAGCGGGGTTCGTATGTTTCCTGGACCTCATCTTGGTTGGAAAGCAAGCGCAGGACATCAAGGAGTTCCAGGCCAATTTGGAGAGTCAGGCGGGCCGACGTCTGAGGAAGCCACTTGAAAGTGAAGGTACTGGGAACCCCGGATGAAATTAAGCCCATGGGTGATGAATGCAGGTGGACGAAATCCATTTCCAACCACTTTGTTTTCTTCCCTGGAATGATGAATCCACTATAAATACCAACGGACGATGGCTTCCCATGGCCTGAGAGTGGAGTTTGTCCATCCACAGGGGGATGTCCCCTTTGTAAAGACTTAGTGGGGTTTGCCCACTTTTGGGGGAACACCCCCTAAGAACCGGTTTGCTAATAAAACCACTGGGTCCCAGGGGTTTACTATACAAGCCCCAGAGACTCCATGGGGGGTACCAACCACATTTCAGACCGAGCCTCAAAGAAACATGGCCAAGAGAATGAACCACTTTAGTCTCACAGTGCCTTTTCCCAGCCCGAAACCATTGGGACCCAGGGGATTAATGGGGATATACAACTCCCAGTGATTCCATGTGGGTATGTGTCAAAATTCGGGTACCACCAAGGTGAGTGTGCTTTTGGTTCCCCTTTAAACCAAGAGGAAAAGGGTACGCCGCAAAGCACCCATGTATAACAGGTGCAAGGGAACCGCCCTTTGAACCGAAGAAGAAGACAAGAAGCTACTACCTGGGATTCACCGGGACTGTCTCAACATTAAGAACGCCCCCCCCCCCCCAAACAAGCAACAAGAGGCATCTGCCTTGTGGTTCGCCTTAACCCAACCTCAAAAAGGCACCCTCCGAAAAGCCACTCTCATATAAACGAGCCATTGCAGGTTGGTTTCAGGGAAACCACAAGGAAATTCGCCGTTGTTGGATTCCAAACCCCGATCGTGAGTATATACTATATGGGTGTGCACCTCCCCGAAAAAGTGCTTTCCCTTCGGTTTCCCTTTAAACAAAGACACGCTGATATAAAGCGAGCCACAATCAACCGTCAGGTAGATGAAGGGTACAGTCGCCAGACATAGGTTCGGATATTTGCCTTATTGATTCTTTGCATGGCTTTGGGTTGCCCACTTTACCAGGTTTTGATTGTGAGTAAAATGAGTAATTGTAAGTGCTATTTTCACCTTTCTAAGCATTTTGGTAGAACCAACATTCAATGCAACATTCACTTTCTTCTATCTTGCTAGTCACAAAGATCTGTATAACCCCTAGAATGAGTCAACACGTTTGTGGCCCAAGGGGTGATGTTTTTCATCACAACCAGGCCAAGAAGACCAAGGCGATCCAGGACGCCGCCAATGATAAGAGCCTTAAGGAGCTCGAGCAGAGGACCCAGGAGAATCGGAATCGCTCTGGGTGGCTGTTTTTTTGTCGCCGATGGAAACCAAACGGAACACCGTAGCTTTCTGTTTGGGGTTTTCTCTATCTTATGTCACACCCACGTCGGTTTGGGTGTGGTTCCTTTCGTGGCATCTTCTCTGGGTTGCTTTTTGATGACGTTTGAAGATTTGTGAAGGTTTCTTTCATTGGGTTCCCATATTCTCGCTTGGTAAACCATGATTTGCCCAGATCTTGTAACGCAAGGGGAAAGGCAAACCAGGCAAGCACCAGGCCAATCCATCTCCGGGCAGCCGTTGATTGTTTGGGCCGGAATCAGCAAGTCACCTGCGCTGGTTCCTTCTTACAGGTGCCACTGGGGATACTCTTTGGACTTGTTAATAAGGGCTCCGTACCCTCGGGGTGGTCTTAAAGGTAAACCACAGACCATGTTGTAGTGACAACACGGCAAGCAAACATATCATGCTTGTGTGCTGCGCGCAACATGAATGAGCTGAGGGAAATTCAATTCCTTTGTGTATGTGTGTCTCTCTCTCTCTCTCTGTCTTTCTCTCTCTCTCTCTCTCTGTGCGTGTGAACATTCGCGTGCCAATTTGCTGCACGTGTCTCTTCGCGTTTGCATGTGCCTGTGTAGATACAGTTACACGTACATGTCCCGTCCCTAGCCCCCTCCTTCTCCCCCCGCACGGCGCAAGGTGCCGCGGGTAAGGCAACCAAAGCCCGACAAACCCACCCACCCTTGAAAACAGGGTGATCCCAAAACCCATTCCAAATTAACCCTTCAAGATTCCCTAAGCCAACCCTCAGCCAACCCGAAGCTAACTCCATCCAACCCCCACCATTCCACAATAGGGCAGGGCTGGCGGGCCAGTCAGTCAGTCAGTCAGTCAGTCAGTCAGTCAGTCAGTCAGTCAGTCAGCCAGCCAGCCAGCCAGCCAGCCAGCCAGCCAGCCAGCCAGCCAGTCAGTCAGTCAGTCAGTCAGTCAGTCAGTCAGTCAGACGAATCAACGAATCAAGGAACCAGTAAAACAGTGAACCAATGAACCAGAGAACCAGCGAGCCAGCGAACCAGCGAACCAGCGAACCAGCGAACCAGCGAACCAGCAAACCAGCAAACCAGCGAGCCAGTGAACCAGTGAATCAATGAATCAATGAATCAATGAATCAACGAATCAACGAATCAATGAATGAATCAATGAATCAATGAATCAATGAATCAATGAATCAATGAATAAATGAATCAATGAATGAATCAATGAATCAATGAATCAATGAATCAATGAATCAATGAATCAATGAATCAATGAATCAATGAATCAATGAATCAATGAATCAATGAATCAATGAATCAAATGAATGAAATGAATGAAGTGAATGAAATGAATGAAATGAATGAACTGAATGAACTGAATGAAATGAATGAAATGAAATGAATGAAATGAATTAATTAATGAATGAATGAATGAATGAATGAATGAATGAATGAATGAATGAATGAATGAATGAATGAATGAATGAATGAATCAATGAATCAATCAATGAATGAATCAATGAATCAATGAATCAATGAATCAATGCATCAATGCATTAATGCATTAATGAATGAACGAATGAGTGAATAAAAGAGTCACTCAATTTCTCAAGGAATTAATTAAGCAGTTATTCCATGAGTATATGAATGATTGAAGCAATCAGTCAATCAAACAATCATTTCGTGAGTCAGTAAATAAGTCAATAACTAGCTTAGTTTAATGAATGAATACAAGAAAGGAACCATCCATTGATACATTAATATCTATGAACAATGCACGCAAACAGAATTACACATACAGACAGCTAAGTTCAGACATACGTAAATCAACGAATACATGTAAGCGTGCATATATATATATATATGCACATATACATATGTGCATAGGTATTGATATGATCCCGAGGCACGTTGTTTCGTGTCGCCTTCGAATTCAGGAGAGGCTGGAGGCCTACATCGACAGCCAGGCGGTGGAGCGAGGCTTGAAGGAGCTGAAGGGACTCAAGCCCAACCAGAAGCAGAAGTTTATGGACGCGGCCATCGCATCCCTTTAAAGGGATGAATTGGAGGGGTGGAAGGTCACTGAAAAAGATGGGAAGGAGATGGATCCTTTGTGGGAACATGTTTGAAGCAAATGCAAGCCAGGGTAGTTTTACAAGATGCGTTGAAGGGTGAATGACAGTTCTTGAACAGTCGAGATGAATTTTTGTTTGAACATGGATCCTTAGACAACGTAAAACATATTCACCTGTTCAGCAGGCAGTTTGTCCCAAGCATCACACGCCCACAGCCAAGTCGCCCGTCGCCCCGAAACGACATGGGCCAATTCACCCCAGCGACTTCTTCGTGCCCATCTGCGGCGCGATGCCGCGAGCTTTTTCCGGAGGAAAATGGCCGAGAAGTGCGCGGGGTCAGGAGGAGGATTGCTCCCATGCAAATTGAGATGGAACCCAAGCAGGTCCCCGAAAAGGAGATTCCTCAAAGGGTGCTTTGGGTTCCATCCGGCGGTGTTCCCTACAAACATGGGGTGTTATCAACACCAGGGTCAAGGTTTGGTATGCCATCTTCTATCTTTGACCTGTGCCAAAATGATGATGCGGGAGCATATTTGAATCCTCGGTCTAGGGTTGAACATTCAACCAACTTTTGAATTGGCCCATTAGCCAACAAGTTCTACCTTTTGCCCAGAGGACGATAGCCACCGAATTTGAGACCTGTCAATTCTGTTGATGAGACTCCGAATGGTTCCAGCGGAAAGTCTGGCCATTATCATTTGCTCTTGACTTGAAACGTGGTAGCTCTGAATGGGATATCTCATGAACAGTGAGATTGGCGAACGCTAAGAACGCACCTGTCAGCCATGAGCCAAAAGCATTCAACTGCGAGCACGAGTTGGGTTGACCAAATATGGCGATGGTGCCATGAGCTCCAAGCAAATCAGAGATGAAGCAACCAATAATTTGGAGCTATCTCACCCATGGTGTTTCCTGTCGGAGTCCAACTTGATTTCAGTCTGAAAACAAAAGAACTCGCCCAGAAGTAAAACATTGCGTCGCCCATACTTTGGTTGTCGGGTTTCTCTCAGCATCACGGAGTTGAAGCATACGCGCGACGATCTTTCACCATCATTTGTTGCAGTCAAGCTACCACCAGAAAATGGGGGATTGCTGTCATTGGGGGGACACAATTAGTATTCATCGTTGCACCCATACCTGATTTGAGAAACCAAGGAACAAGCTGCAAGTCCGTGCCGTACTGTGGAGTAAATCCTACAAGACCCCAAACCCCTCTAAGGCTTCGATTTACCTAAGAATTTGTTGATTTCCCCTGTTGGTGTTAAAGGACATCTATCACTGCTGCACATTGTTTTACATGATTTTCCAGGGGGCTAAAGCAAATGGATGAAGATGACTGTTGGAAAGGGCGCCCGGGAACCTCCATCTTCGGGCGAATCACGTCGGACGGACATCTCGAAATGGTCTCCGAGGTTAAAAGCCCATCATGTGAGGATGGGCTTCTCCGAGGTCAGTGATGGAATGATCGATGGGCGTCACTGCCTTTCTAATGGCCCATCGAGGCCGCATAGTCCTTGATAGTCACTTGAGTGCAGAGCGCTCAGAGGTTGGCTCAGAGCGCGTTCAAAGAGTAACGCCTCCAAATTTTGAGCCCCGGTCTGAGATGCCAGGCGATGCATGTTGGAATGGTCCTTGCCAACATGGGTGCTGCAATCATGTTTCCTCAGTCGGGGTGTTCGCGCCGCAGGTTAGGAAGCCAAGCCCGTTTGGAAAGATCAGGGGTTTTCGTGCGCCCATGTTTATGAGCAACCCTAAATAAAGCAAGGGCCGTTGAACCGCTTTTGTGCGCAACCCCAAGGGCCGGTTTGAATCGTTTGATGGTCAGAGTCAGAGACTAAGTTTCAGTCCGGCTCGCAACATCCCGGTGCCCAGCAGCGCCTTGCAGCGAGATTTGAAAAGGATCGATTCGAGGGACCTGGACAAAGCTCGTGGGTTGGTTTTGTTTGTGGCCAGAGACGAAATTTCGCGGTGGTGGAGGCGGCCCATCACTGCTTGACTTCGTCCAGTTTTTTGTTGCGTTCTTTTTTCGAAGCATGACGTTACGGGATCGCGGATGGATCTTGGATCGACCAGTTCCAGGGTTTAAGCATCTTCGCAGCCCAGACCCGAGGCAAACAAAGAAAATGGCTGGCTCTTGTGCCTGTGGCTGTGAGCTGATTTGAACGGCTGTTGAAACACTGTATGAAGTCCAAGCCCCCTGCTAGAATTTATGGCCATGCAGACAGATGATGTTGATCCCGTACTTTATTCCACAAGGCACCAGGGGATTCAATGAATTTCCATGTCCGGTATCCTTTAACCGTACATGTTGACCATGGCTCACATCGCCAAGTTGGTTTGAGGCCCCAGAAATTCAGCCCAACCGCACATGAAGCTTCTGTACCCTTTGAATGTCTTCAGAGTAACATGACCATGCCAATCAGAGTTGGTCCCCCTCCGATCAGTATGGTCCTCCAGAAGAATCCGGAGTTGACATTGACCCTTCCTCCCAGCAACATGGCATCTGCGGGAGGTCGCCTGGAAGATGAATTTGCTCTTGAAGGGGCCCGAGTCACGTGCCGTGTTTGTGGAATGAGCACGGGCTTTTTCAGCAGCCGCTGCTCAAGAGAGCACGGACTGAGTGTTGACGTGCGTGATGGATGTGGCTCAATCGTGTACCAAGCCAGCGAAGAACCAGTTGCATGGGTCTAGCAATGGCCTAACCCCAGGGTCGGAGTTGAGATTCTGACTGCACAAATGCTCATTGATTCTGGGTTGCGCCCTCTTTCCAAAATGTGAAAATTGAAAGTGGAAGGCTTTGGAAGACTACTTTCATCAGGCCAGGCCGCCTGTCCGCTTCCACAATCGGACTTGGGGTGTTTGCGGCGTTCCACTGCAAGGCAACCAAGGTTTGCCTTTGAACATGGTGAAACTTGTTCGTGTTTCAAAGCTCGCAGGCCCGTTTTGACCCAAAAGAAGCCCAGAGGAACCGTTTGCCCTGAGGGGTCCAACTGCTTTGGATGGAGCTTGGATGATGTCTGAACACCGCTGAAACTGGGTGTTTCACCACGCTTTCTTACTCCCTGAGTTCTTGGGCTTTTCACACTTTTGGGGGAAGACCATTCGAGTGGCAAACAAACTGGATTTTTCTGGCCAATCCGCCGGAAGTGAGCCTTAGGCGAACGGTGAAACGACGCCTCGCTCGCCATGGCTGCGCGATGATCGCTGCTCCGTCCGTCCGAGCCTTCGGGCATCGGCCGGACCTACCAAGGCAGGGCCCCTCTGGGTAAACTGGGGGGCCATGGCTCAAAATCCCGTACTCTTAGTGAACATCCCAATCCCCACTAAAATAGACTAGAATGGATGGTGCACCTACCCAAAATGGTACCATTGGTTTTGACCCACAGCCAGATGAATGTAGCAAAGGGCACCTTGGTAGATGGCAGCAAAGACCAAACCCTGCGCAATCCTAGCTCCTCGATTTTGAGCCGCGCCCACTTGTTCATTGCCAAAAAATTGACCTTGGGATTCCTGGTTTCCTTCATTCTACCCCAAAAAGTGTGAACTTTTCGCTAGTCTGGGGGGGCTTGCCTTTCAAGTCCTTCCAGCAAACAGATGTCCCTAGTGTGGATGGACGAAATCCTGCACCACTTTGAAAAGCCATGGTAAACCATTGTTTGTTGGTACTTGCAGGGGAATCATTATTCCACTGTTTCTTAGGTGGTGCAGGATTTTGCCCATCCACAGTATGGCAAAATCCACTGCCCGCGTGTCTTCCCTGGCTCAAAGCGGGCGCTCGCGCGCTGTGGGTGACCATGACCCTCATTCAGTGGCCTGGACTTTTGGACTCCCAGGACGAGCTGCGACCGTCGTGTCGTGTCATTTGGGTCTGTGTGTGTGTGTGTGTGAGTATGTGTAATGATGTTTGTACGTGTGGCAGGGTAGGTGCACTTGGTGTGTATCTTCACACGTTTGCATGTGTGTCGGTGCGCATGTGAGTTTGTGTATGTGAGCATGCGTGTATACCTGTAAGTGATTGTGTGACTAGGTTTTGTTGTCTTCTTATTTTTTTTTATGTAGGTGTTCATTTGCGCACGTATGCATGTGTGTTGGTTTGCATTTGTGCATGTGTGAGTGTGCGGAAATAGGTGGGTATGGGGATTTATGCATGTGAACATGTGTATGCCTGCACAATTTGTGCATTGTGTAGGTGTGCATGGGTGCGTATGTGCGTATGTGCGTATGTGTGTGTGTGTGTGCTTTTGCTGTGTGTTGTGTTGTGTGTATGTGCGCACCTGCGGCGGGTTTAATTTGTTGTGTGTGTGAGCGCGCACAGACGGTTAGTGTCAACACGCAACGGTTCGTGCCTTGTCGTGTTGAGCGGACGCCCAGATGGCGGACTTGCGCAATTTGCTTTGCGGTCAGCTGAATAGGTTGCAACAGGTAGAACGACCTCTCAACAAAAACCTTGAGCACAAGGGAAAGAAGGCAATCGGCGAAATGCGCGAGCTGCCTTTCCGCACAAAGTGCTGCAAGAGAGTTTCATCAGGGGTGAACGAGATGGGAAACCGGAGAAGCAAGGAAGCAAGGGCTGCCAGGAAGACTTTGGAACGCTACTTTCTCTGGGGAACTTTTCGGTACACTTTAATGCTGGGAAGGGGGAAATGCTTGACATCCTTTCAGCATGCCTGTTTTATGGTAAGCTCTAGTAACACCAGCTCCCCATTTAGGTCCTTTGCTTGATCCAATTCTTGTTTCAGATTTGAGACTTTTACCCAGTTGTGGTATTCTTTCTCCCTTAAATCGTCAAAACCCCAAAAAGGGTTCCAACTTTCTACCAGGGTCACTGAACAGCTGGGTATAGACTTGCTGGACCTGGGGAATGTGGGAATGAACCCAGGGATTCCCTTCAAGGAAACCACAAGTTGGAGGTTTTTTCTTCAGGGTCATTCCATGTTCCCTGCATCTCTCAGCAACTAGAACTTGCCAATGTCCAGGAGGACTTGGACCGGGAGGCCTCCGCTTCCCCGCAAGCCGCCCCGGTGCCCTCCCCGGCGCCAAGTCCGACTCCGACTCCGCCAGCTGCGGTGCCGGCATCCCCCACCTTGGAGTATCGAGGCCTGGGGCGCCTGGAGCCACTGCCGCACCAAAGGCTCACATGTTCTTTGCTTCTTTTTTTTTGTTTTTGGTTGCTTTTTAGTCCTTCCTTCCTGGTCTTCCTTCTTGTCCTCCATTTGCCCCAAAAAGACACATCTTGCCTGTTTGGGCTTCCTTCATTTTCGCTTCCCAAGTGACACCTGTTTGTGGTCGAAGTGGTCGAGCCTTTTGCCGACTCGCCCAGGAGCCGGTGCCGGAGACGGACAGCCCAACGCGAAAGGTGCCCTTGGTGCTGCTGCCCAGCAGAAGTGAGCAGGCGGGCAGCTCCGGTCGCTTCCGTTTGCTTGAGAACATGTCTAGTTTGCCCCTGTTGGCTTTACAGGGAATCTATCACCTGTTTTTTTGGGCAGGGGACTTAAGCAATTGCAGGGTTGCGTTTGCTTTTCCTTGTTTGTAAGGGGGTGTCCTCAAAAGTGCGAGTGCCAACATTTCGACTGCCCTTAGGGCTTCCCGCAAAACTTCGACTACGCCCCTCTCAGCATAGGGCAACCCTTCAAAGATGTGGGTTTGTTCTGGTTTCCCTCTAAACTAACCCCCCAGAAGGGTACTCTCTAAAAGAAAGACACACTCTGCTGGGCTACCCTCAAGCGAGCCACAATCAAAACCCGCGTAGAAGCTTGGTAAGGGGTAGTCCCAGCCAGAAATAGGCGGGGCCTTCTGATTTTCCTCCATGGATTTTGTTGATACCACCCAGTGATTCCATTCCCTTGTAGGTAACCAAGGGAACCAGCCTTTCAATCCAAGGAAAATGAATTTGGATACTCTATGGGTACCTTAGGCAACCGGGATCCACCGGCCCTACTGTAAAAAAGGTACCTCAGGCTTGTTTCCCGGGCTCCACTGGGCTTCCTTGTGACTCCACCCCGTCAGGTGGCGGAGCTGGTGGAGACCGTCCGTTCCTCCAGCTCCAGCGGGCCCCGCGTCCGCGCCAGCGCCGCGGGCGCCAGCGCGGGCGCCGCGGCTGCGCCGCTGCTGGAGCTGCTGGTGTCGCGGCCTGCGGGTGCCGGCGGCAACAGCTACGCCAGGCGGTTGGGAGGGTGGGGGGAGGGGCGGTCGTGGGGGCAGGGAGCCCCAGAAATGGTTGTGAAAATAGCTTTTATATATACACATAAAAATCAAAATGTGTTTTTGGGTGTTTGCGAAAGTAGCAGGACTCCCCAAAATGGTGTTATTTTTGATATATACAAACATGTATGTGCGTGTGTGTTTTGTGACGCTCGGCACCCCTTTGGGGGTGAAGTAAGAAACGGAATACAATTGGAGTCTGCCCAGTTTTCGGTTTTGTAATATTGCGGAACACACCCAGGTTCCGGGACAAACACGTATACATGTGTTTATGTATATATATATATATGTGTATGTGTGTGTATATATACATATATATGTAGATACGTATATATATATATATATGTATACATATGTATATATATATATATATTATATATATATATATATATATGTAGAATCCAACGTGCCATGTATGAACATATGTGACATATGTTTGCTATGGCATTGGCACTTTGCGCGCACCGATGCTTTCGGTCGATGGATTCGCGTCTCAGGTCTGATGCCCGCGAAAAGCAGCGTGAGGGCCGTGAGGTCCGAGAGCTAGAGGAGGAGTTGCAGGCGCTACGTGCCAAGCACCAGGAGCTTTCGGAGAGTTCTGGGCTTCGAATTCCTGGACTTGATAATTTTTGGGAAGACCACTTTAGTGGTCAAAATTGGTGCAAGTTTGGTAGTTTCGCTTTACTTCCCTTTGAAGCCATCCCCAAAAGAGTGCCCTCGAAACATGATTGTCAGGGGCCTCCCATTGTGTCCGAGCTTGGTTTATGTCCAGGCTAAAAAATCAACCATTGATTCTAAAGTTCAACCCTTGGATTTCGTGATTTGGGCAGATCAAGAGCTTTCAGAAAAGGGCGTCCCCTTTCTTCACAGGAAGTCTTGCAGGATTCCAAAACGGATTCCCAACACCCGTGACCTGAGAACCTGCCGGCGTTGGGTACAGGGAACTCACTTCCAAAGTTCCTGGACAATATAGTTTGCGGATTCGGACTACTTCAGTGGCAGACAAACAGTTTGATCCCAATCCAAACGTTTTCTGTGGGACTTTACACTTCAGTGGCAAACAAGTTTGTTTTCTTTTTCTTTTTTACAAATTGTCTGGACTGTTTCCGGCCAATCCGCGGAAGTTGAAGCCAGCGGCACCTCGCCGACCGAAGCCGCAATCCCCAGGACTGCGAGCGCCGCGAGGAGCGCCAGGAGCACCGTCTGCAAGCGGAGCGGGCCATCGCCGAGGAGAAGCCGAGCCCGGGGTTGACGGATTGGCTAAAACAGAAACGGATGACAGGTGTTCAGTCACATGCGGGGCCCAAGAACACAGTCGTATTCATTATTGTCCATATTATCTTCCACCAAATGTGTGTTTGCACAAGAGGGTGACCTGCCCGAGCCAGGCTGCAATGTCACTGGGTGCATTGCTGCTGCCCTTTTCGAGTTCGCCTATTTTGAGACAAGAGAACCAAAATTGGGACCCCCTTTCAGTCCCCTTAAAGGATACCAGCTGGGGCCAGTGACACATTTAAATCTTGCCAGCTGGTGTAGCGGATGCCCTTGTGAAGCAGGAGGTTCTTGAAAGGAATCCTGCAAGGGGATCTAAGACACCAGTACTTTTAAATGAGCCACAATCCAAACCCGGGTAGATGAACGTTAGTAAGGGACAATCCCAACCATACATAGTTGCGGCCGCCTTTTTCATTCTACCCATGGTTCTGGGTAGACTATTTTGATACCGGGTTTTGATTATGACTCAAATAGGTAGTGCTTTCTCCGCCTGTGAAACAGGAGCTGAGGGCGGAGCTGGCGCAGCAGGCGGCGGCGAGTTCGGCGAAGCAAAGCGCCGCAGAGGCGCAACTGCGGCAGATCCAGCGCCTTGGATCGGCGGAAATCGAAGCCAGTTGTGGGTGTGTTTGTTATTAGGGGAGCCCCCCAATTGTACGACAGAAACACAAGCGGAAACCCAGGATGTAGGTCCTTCACTTAGACATGTGTTTTTGTTTTAGACATTTTATGTTTTTTGACGTCACCCATGAAGGTTCCTTTTTTGCGGGGGGGGGG